TGTAAGCTCTCCGAGCCAAATTCGTAGCGGGAGAGAGCCGAGAGCTACTGGCAGTAGCCCCAGGTCTTTTCCACAGCGAATAGAGGAGGGTGGGGGGGGTTGGAGGGCTCGGAGAAGCCTCTGGAGCTCTGAATCTCTGGAGCTGTGGCTATGGGCTGTACCTGGCGCTGCGAACGCTCACAAACGACTGCGAGTGGTGCTGGCTGCTCGGCGGACTCGTTGCCTCCAATCGAATGTCCTGCGAGTCGAAGTCCGAAAGTCGGAGAGTCCGAAAGTCGAACTGTGGCGCAGGGCGCGTGCCCGGGATCGATATTAAATGCGAAACCAGCTGCCTTTCCGCGGGGGTGGAACGCTGCTCCGTGCTGCGTGGTCCGTGGCCTGTGGAATGTGGCAAGCCCGAAGAAAAGCAGCAGCAGCAGCAGGTGCTCTGTCCGAAGTCCGAAGTGCGATGTCTAAGGGGTGGCAGAACCGGTTCCGAATTCCCACTCACTTCCGGCGGAACTGTTATCTGTTTTGGAACTGCTTGCGAGGCGCTAACTTCAAGCGAGGGTGGTTTGCTGCACTTGCACGGACTCAAAACCTGACTAAAATTCGAAATACAATCTCCTGCTTATTTGCTTTATATTTTAACACATAACACCTTTAATACCTGTAAATATTAATTATGTCGTTTACATCTTAAGAGTACAATTTCGTAGAACACAATGTAGTTGTTAAGGTGCTTACATATTTATGCTAGTTGATATTTTAACATTTATATATATTATCCTAGTTTATCTTTTAATTAAATTGATTGCATTTGAAGTAATTCTAAAGTTTTACTGCTTATAATTTATTTCAAGTTTTGCATATACAATTTCTTTTTAAATTAGGAGATATCTACATTATTTAACGCGGTTAATGGATAGGATTTCATAATAGTAAATAGAGTTCAAAGATTTGTCTGATTCGAAAGAAGCGCGGTTATATTTTTAATTGTTTGAGACATAAAATAATATACAATAATGTTGCAAACTAAAAAGGCTTCGTTTAATACATCAACGCTAGGTGGCGCTCTGCTCCGAATCAAGAAAGCGCTGACTGACAAAGGCTCGCTGCTGCAATTAGATTTCGTATTGCCTAGAATTGGACTTCAAAGTCCATAACTTTACCAAATTTAATCCGATTCCAAAGTGGCATACCTTTAAAGACCTGTGATTCGATCCTCTAAAAATCTGCATTCAAAATTTTCAATTTAACGTTGGTCAAATTTTTGACCCATTTTCATGTTAGTTATTTCTCATTTTCCGATGTCTTGTAATATAGTGACTCAAAATTGAACCTCTAGAGTCCATAACTTTTTCAAATTTAATCCGATTCCAAAGTGGCATACCTCTAAAGACTTGTGATTCGATCCTCTAAAAATCTGCATTCAAAATTTTCAATTTAACGCTGATCAAATTTTTGACCCATTTTCATCTTAGTTATTTCTCATTTTCCGATGTCTTGTAAAAGAGTGACTCAAAATTGAACCTTAGAGTCCATAACTTTTTCAAATTTAATCCGATTCCAAAGTGGCATACCTCTAAAGACTTGTGATTCGATCCTCTAAAAATCTGCATTCAAAATTTTCAATTTAACGCTGATCAAATTTTTGACCCATTTTCATGTTAGTTATTTCTCATTTTCCGATGTCTTGTAAAAGAGTGACTCAAAATTGAACCTCTAGGGTCCATAACTTTTTCAAATTTAATCCGATTCCAAAGTGGCATACCCCTAAAGACTTGTGATTTCATCCTCTAAAAATCTGCATTCAAAATTTTCAATTTAACGCTGATCAAATCTTTGACCCTTTTTCATGTTAATTATTTCTCATTTTCCGATGTCTTGTAATATAGTGACTCAAAATTGGACTTCTAGAGTCCACAACTTTTCCAAATTTAATCCGATTCCAAAGTGGCATACCTCTAAAGACTTGTGATTCGATCCTCTAAAAATCTGCATTCAAAATTTTCAATTTAACGCTGATCAAATTTTTGACCCATTTTCATGTTAGTTATTTCTCATTTTCCGATGTCTTGTAAAAGAGTGACTCAAAATTGAACCTCTAGGGTCCATAACTTTTTCAAATTTAATCCGATTCCAAAGTGGCATACCCCTAAAGACTTGTGATTTCATCCTCTAAAAATCTGCATTCAAAATTTTCAATTTAACGCTGATCAAATCTTTGACCCATTTTCATGTTAATTATTTCTCATTTTCCGATGTCTTGTAATATAGTGACTCAAAATTGGACTTCTAGAGTCCACAACTTTTCCAAATTTAATCCGATTCCAAAGTGGCATACCTCTAAAGACTTGTGATTCGATCCTCTAAAAATCTGCATTCAAAATTTTCAATTTAACGCTGATCAAATTTTTGACCCATTTTCATGTTAATTATTTCTCATTTTCCGATGTCTTGTAAAAGAGTGACTCAAAATTGAACCTCTAGAGTCCATAACTTTTTCAAATTTAATCCGATTCCAAAGTGGCATACCTCTAAAGACTTGTGATTCGATCCTCTAAAAATCTGCATTCAAAATTTTCAATTTAACGTTGGTCAAATTTTTGACCCATTTTCATGTTAGTTATTTCTCATTTTCCGATGTCTTGTAAAAGAGTGACTCAAAATTGAACCTCTAGAGTCCATAACTTTTTCAAATTTAATCCGATTCCAAAGTGGCATACCTCTAAAGACTTGTGATTCGATCCTCTAAAAATCTGCATTCAAAATTTTCAATTTAACGTTGGTCAAATTTTTGACCCATTTTCATGTTAATTATTTCTCATTTTCCGATGTCTTGTAATATAGTGACTCAAAATTGGACTTCTAGAGTCCACAACTTTTCCAAATTTAATCCGATTCCAAAGTGGCATACCTCTAAAGACTTGTGATTCGATCCTCTAAAAATCTGCATTCAAAATTTTCAATTTAACGTTGGTCAAATTTTTGACCCATTTTCATGTTAGTTATTTCTCATTTTCCGATGTCTTGTAATATAGTGACTCAAAATGTGACTTCAAAAGTCCATAACTTTGCCAACTTTAATCCGATTCCAAAGTGGCATACCTTTAAAGACTTGTGATTCGATCCTCTTAAAATCTGCATTCAAAATTTTCAATTTAACGCTGATCAAATTTTTGACCCATTTTCATGTTAGTTATTTCTCATTTTCCGATGTCTTGTAATATAGTGACTCAAAATTGAACCTCTAGAGTCCATAACTTTTCCAAATTTAATCCGATTCCAAAGTGGCATACCTCTAAAGACTTGTGATTCGATCCTCTGAAAATCTGCATTCAAAATTTTCAATTTAACGCTGATCAAATTTTTCACCCATTTTCATGTTAGTTATTTCTCATTTTCCGATGTCTTGTAAAAGAGTGGCTCAAAATTGGACTTCTAAGTCCATAACTTTTCCAAATTTAATCCGATTCCAAAGTGGCATACCTCTAAAGACATTCAAAATTTTCAATTTAACGTTGATCAAATTTTTTCATGTTAGTTATTTATAATTTTCCGATGTCTTGTAAAAGAGTGACTCAAAATTTTTTAAACTAGAGGCAATTGCCTTTATATCGAATAACTATCGATGATTTACTATGGTAAGTGTCTTGGATATGCTGCAGTGTGGCCATTTACTTAACAAATTTTAATCCCAAGGAAACTAAGGAATAGGAATTGATTGAAACTTTCCTTAAAGTTATTACGATTGCTTTGCAATTTTTTTAAATATCTCTTGACTTGGCACACGCTCTGTGTGAGGCGTACGAATTTTTCAAAAGTTTGCGTGAAAATGGTATTTTAAATAACAGAAATTTAGTTGGTTTATGCCATGGCTAACGAATTGGTTCATGTAATGGATTGGGCAGCACTTTCATATCCCTTTCCCAGTGATTTTCACACGGATGGATACGAGTCTAATTTATTTTGTATTATATATCCTTGAAGAAGTGTCCTTTGAGTTGATTCGGAACACGCTTTGTGGGGTGAGATATTCTCCAAGAGAATATAAAAAAAAATAAAAATAGCCCTTGTGTTCCAGGCCCAACCGTTCCGTAATAGACGTCAAGTCCCCGTCGCTAATTTGACACACATCGATAGATAATAGATAAATATAATACCGCGGTTTCGATTAAGAGTAGATTAAAATATGTATATTTAAAAAAAACATTTATCAGAAAATCTTTGCGAATTCAACATAATATCCCCATTTAGATCAGATGGGCAATTTAAAACTTGAGCTATTACCTCTTTTTTTTAGTAAAAACAAAATATTATTTGGCAGTGTTACAAATGTAACATTTTTAAGACATAGAATATCCTATTATTATTTAATTTTTTTAACGTATTGCTGATTTTTTTTCATGAATTTATAGCTAGAAACTAGCTAATTTTGAAATCATAATTATTTATTTGAGTAAAAACCAAAGATTATTTGGCTGAGTTTAAAATGTAATAATTTTGAGGGCATAGAATATCCTATTGTTATTCAATTTTTTTCAAGTAATGCAGAAATTTTATGAAAATCAGCTGCTATTTAGCTAATTTTAAATTTATAATAATTCGCTTTAGTAAAACCAAAGATTATTTAGCTGTGTAAAAATAGTAATCATTTTGAAGACATCGAATATCCTTTTATTGCTTGCCTTTTTTTTTAAGTAGTGCTGCTTTTTAATGGAAATCAGCTGCTGTTTCTAGCTAATTATTAAAATCTGACATTTAAATTTTCAACACTGTAAAAAGGCTATTTAGCTATAAACAATGTTGGTAATTTAGTAGGCCTGGCAAAAAGAGCTCATAAAGTTTTCGAGGCGAACAAAATGCCAACGAATTGCTCAGTCAATTTTTCAATTTCGTGCGGGTCGGTTCACTAAAAAGAAGAAAAAAACTAATTCATAGAAAGTCAAGAAGTAAGTTGTATTCAAATATTTATCTTATGGTTAAAATTGGTTTTGTTGAACGAAAACTAATTGTGATTTGTGCATAAGAAAACCATTTATTTTGATTTCTATGAAACGTTTGACTAAGATTCTTATTCATTTTTTCTAACATCCAACGATGCATGTAATATACATATACAGTTTCTCAAACATTTTCTATTTAAGAGCATGTAGCCCTTTTTTTCATAAAACAATATAGCTGATACACTTAATTTGTATGATAATAGAATACATTCAGTCCAGACTTAAAAGTAAAGTAACTACATTTTGTTACAGCCATTGGCATATTGGTTCAACTTCTTAGAAGTCATCAGCAGTCTGGGAATTTCTTGTTTGTGAAAAGGGGCTGCTCTTCTACTTGACCCCAACAATGAAAAATATCTCGTTTTTGTTATATTTAGGAATATTGGCTCTTCAACGATTCCATTGCATTCATTATCCTATAAAAATAGTTCAATTTTATTAGTGATAAATCGAATAAGATCAAACAAGAACAACTTACACTTAACTGACGCTTTTGCGTAGTTTTTTTCCGAATTCCTTTCTCTTGCGTTGCAATGTCCGGTTTGAGTAGCTTTTCCCCGGTATTTAATTTTCCGAATTCCTCCCTTTTCCGTTGCAATGTCCGTTTGCAGTCATCGTATAACATTCAAATTTCCGCTTATTTCTGGATGTATCTTTAAATAAAAGAAATAGAGAATATTATCAATAAAGAAGGGAACTATAAATCAATATTCTGTCTTACATAGCCTTCGAAACAGAAAAAATCAAACAACTTAATTTTGTAATACTAATATTGAGAGAATATGGGACATGATATTTTAAAGTGTAATTTGCAAAGATGTAAAATATATTAAATATATGAAATATATATATTATATTTCATAATAAACAGAAGCCAATAATATTTCCCCTCCTTCTTATAAAAAAAAACTTTAAACAAGCTTTAAAAATAATTTCCTCAGTAATTAAATTATTACGTCAAAAATGTCAAGTGGATTGTTTCTATGTGAGCTATGTATTTAATATAGTCGTCCGATTATATACTACCTGCCGTTTAAATAAAACTTTGGGGCACATTTTATCCAGATAGATTTAAAACTGGGAGACTAGACGGACAAACAGATAGATAATACTAATAGGCTAGATCGACTCTTCTGGTTACGCTGATCAAGAATATATCTATGTACTTTATAGGGTGGGAAATATCTGCCTTACCGCGTTTCAAACTTTTGACAAAATTATAATCAATCTTAAAAAAACAGAAATTTGTGCTGTTAACAGTTCTTTACTAACGCAGTCATAGCGTTGTCAGTTTCTTATTTTTACAATACAGTTGGTTGTCCTCGCAACAGCAAATTAGTATTGAACCTTGGCGATCCAGTTTGAAATTTAAAATTTATATCGCTGTAGCTAACAACATAGTTTTTACAAAGATGACGACCTGCATCAAAAAAACCTGCAATTTTAAGAAATATATATACATATACACACAGCTGTTCAAATAGGTGCGTGTCTGCGGTAAAGAAATATTAAGTATTTTTTCAGAAACGTTCCCACGTTTTCCCAACGAACCAATGACAGTTATTAATTTATTTGTGTTTCTCGATGTATATATTTATTGAAAACAAGGCAGTTTCATCCTAATATGAATTGTGTTACTAATTTAAAGTGAATTCTATACAAAGAAAGGTAATCCTCTAACAAATAACGTGTATACGATTTGAAAGAGGAACAGCTGTTTTGTTAAGTTGGTTTTAGTCTTCGGTCAGCGACTTCATTTGGTATTTTTAAAGTGTTTGTATTTTGGAGTATTTGTAATAGCTTTCCCTATATATTTGTTTTGTTTGAAATAAACATTTTGAATCAGTAAATTGTGAGTTTCGTTGTTAGTTAACAGAACGTTGTAACAGTAAAATAAAGTCAATGACGCTACCCGAGTTTCCCACATTGGCTTTGGTCTGGAATTTTAGTATGTTTTCAGCACATTTCATAACGCGCTAGGGAAATTTTGGCGTGGGTCGTCGGGTATATTTTAACGATGCACCACGGTCACTCTGTTCAAAGTGAAACGGCCAAACGAAGAGACGAGACGTATCGTGTGTGCTCAGACTTGTGCTCTCAGAATTTATTTTTGGTCATCTACATTCACCTCTGGTACCGATACTGACAAATATTTAATAACAATGCAACAACGAAACGCAACGAAAAACACTGAAAAAAAAACTCACACTTTTTTTGGAGCAAGCAAGATTCTCGGCGAGCGAAAATAAATGACTTGCAGCCGCCGCACACCATGATATGCGGATTAATTTAAACAAAAAAAAATAAGAGGGGGTTTCCTAGATATTTGGCACACATTTTCTTAACTTTTGCGTTTACACCGTTCTAAGTTTTTTTTTTTACCTTTCGTCTGTCATATATATATACACATATATATAAATGCACGCGAAAATTCGCGGAAAAGCAGACGCACAACAACAACTACAAACGAACAGCGACGACGTCGAAGGAAAGATTTTTACTCGCGTCGCGGTATACTTCAACTGTTTTTGAACTTTTATTGCGTGTTTGCTGCTGCGACAAAACTCGCGCGGCGCCACAAAAGCGAACAAAAAACAACGTGTGTGTGGCGGAGAGCATGCGCTCTCTCGCCCGTATATGTATATGGTTTTGGTGTGCTAGTGTGCGTTGTCGGTACGAGGTTTTTAGTTGCGCCGCGCTGGTCGTTTCGCTCGCGTTTATCGCGACTCACACACTGAAGGCGGGCGACAATTGCTGCCATTGCCAATGCCACAGTGTGCCGTTTTCGCCGCGCTTCACTCTCGCCGCGTCAATTCGCCGGGGTCGTCTTGTCTTGCTTGCTCCAAATTTAGATACACCCAGGCCCCCTTTTCAAACTCCCCTTTTGTCAGTTTAGAGAGTATATAACAAAAACATTCAAATCAAGAGCGGATCAAGCCAATAACTAAGAAGTACGTTTAATCAAAAAGTGTGTTAAATCGTTAAAGAAATCATAAAAGCAAAAACCACAAAACAGCAGAGAGCATCGCAAAGTTAACAGCGAATCCAGCGGCAGAAGCAGAGCAGCGGAGCGCAAGTGCAAGCGAAACGGCAGCAGAGCTCCGCTGCAAGGCAACGGGAAAGATAGAGACAGCACAGCAACAGAGAGTGGGAGAAAGAGAGAGAGCAGCAACAGCCACAAAGCCGCAAAAGAGAGCAAACGCGCAAGGGGGAGAGAACGAGACGGGACAAAAAAGGTGATATTTTTTCATTTCATTCTTTTTACTTTTTGATTTTTCTTTCTTTCCCCCCTTTTAGTTGTATTTTTTGGTATATATAGTTAATTCATTTATTGTACGCCTAGTTAAGTTAAAGAGAAAATCGTACAAAAACCAAAAGCAAATAATGTAAATTGCTCTCTTTCTCTCTCGCACACTTCCTCTAGCTCTCTCGCTCTCATTTCATAACTCGTTTTGCATACATTTCAGTTTCATTTATTGTTTTTATTTTGTTTTTCTTTCGCTCCAATGAAATTCATAAACTTTATGTTTGTTCTCGTTTGAAATTCAAATCAAATCATTACGAATTTCGATTTGCAGCTTTGTGGCTCACTTTCATTGAAACCACAAAAAAAAATTTGAGAGAGAAAGAGAGTGCCCACATAACAGAAACGAGGGCTGTTATTAACATTTCAGCAGTGAGTAAAAACCAATAAACAATAACCAACAAAAAAAAAGAGAGTTGCTAAAAACCAAACAACAAATGTCTGCATTTTTCAATACTTTCGAGTGTGTTTTGTGGGCGGGATGACGTCACGTGGGGCTGCTTCTTCTTCTCTTAGTCATTTTGGTGTGCTTTTGGGCATTTGGCTCATTGTGGCTAAAGCTGTGAAGTATGTCAGCCATGTTTTCGCAAGCATTTAAATATATTTATATATATTTTATAACGAGCCTGCAAGAAATCGTTTGTTTACTTTCCCCACAGTGGGCGAATGTACTTTCTTTTGCCGACTGTATCATCTGTCTATTTGTTAGCATTTAGAGAGAGAGCCAGCGGTAAATCTTTGTCCTTTGGCATTCAAAAATCGCCTAACATTCCGTGCTGTTAACATGATGTTGCTAAACATAACAGCGGCGGCGACAGACAGGGACAGCCAGAAAGAGAGAGCGAGTCAGTGGATGCGTTTGCCAGTAAATCGTTAAATATTTTTTCAACAAATACCACTGCTTCGGGCCGCGCTGGCGGCAGACTGAACCGCGTTGTCACACATTCAAAATTTCAACGAACTTCACTGCGCTGCCGACGTCGACGTCCCATGCCAAATAAGTGAAGCGAGTTGAATTCGCCGCGCGCTCACTTGTCGCTTTGTCGCCGGCCACTCTCCGCAGCGCTTTCTCTCTCAGGAATAGTTTTAATGATTTTTCTCGAAATAAGTTTCTAGCGGTTGTAGTTGTAGTCGCGCCGTAGCTTGGATTTTATTTTGATTCCTTAGATATTTAATCAATCTACTGGTGTTTCGATCAGTTGTAACTCACAAATTTATACATTTTCTCAGTCGCCGTTTTTTTCGTTAGATATTTTTATCTGTTTTCTTTTTTTTTTTACAAAACTTGGCCATCCACTCGGTATTTCTCGCCCAATTATTCATTTTTTCATATTTTCTATCAGAAATTTAAAATGTGTAGTCATTAAAGTGAGTTTTTCTCACTTTGAGATTATAACTAGCATCACTCATTTACTCAAGCTTTTGACCTGAAATTAGATGTAATTATTTTAGTTGAATGTAGTTTTTGTAAATATTTTCGTTTATAGTGACTGAAGACAAAATAATATGACATATTTGAACTGCATTAATTTAAAAATACATAAATTTTAAAAAAATGTTCTTTTTAAATACAATTTATTTAAATAAACAATCCAAAATATCATTTGTACCAATTAATTTTGTTTAGTTAAAAGTACAAGGAGCTTCTTGGAACTACAGAAGTGCGGATTTATGGTCACATTGTTTATTTTCCATCACAATCTAATCTTTATTTATTGGAATTCACATGTTGGAGAAGACAAAATGAGTGTAATTTTCAATGCTCAATTTGCTTCCGTTTCAACATGCTCACTCACCCACACATTTGTGCGCATTTAGTGTGTATGTAAATATCTAATGCTTGTGTCAATTTTCCTAGTGATGTAATAGATTTTTTTAGGTGCGGCTTCTTTTTCCGCCTTCGTTCGCTCTGCCATATTCCACACTTTTTCATGCTCTTCTTTATTAATTTTTTTTAGTTTGCCAACGAGGTCAGACTGGCACAAATACACATGCACGCACACTTGAGCGCACATACACAGGCACACAACCCTAAATAAATCGCAGTTTGCAGTTCTGCTGTCCCCTCTCCCTCTCTTTCAATCGTCGGGCTCTCTCGCACTCCCATTGGTACATATGGACATAAGCCCTACCTGTCAACGATCGGTGTTGTTGTTACTGTTAAATGCATCTGTTACGCTACACACACTCGTCTTCTTTAAAACGTTACTTCCGGCTTGATCTCTCTCTCCCTTCTCTCCTCTCTTTCTGCATAAATCAGATGTGCCTGCATTTTGTTGTTATCGCTAAATTCTGATGGTATACATATATGTATATATATACATACATATGTATGTTCATGTTTGGGTGTATTTGTTTGTAGTATTACTAAGCCTTGTTTTGACTTCACGCCTTTTTTTATTAACATATCTGAAAAATGTAAGGCGATCCAGAGATTCCGTTAGCCTTATACAGAAAAACAAACACTACTAGTAATAATCATCATATTTGCTTTTACCTACAATGCAGGTCAAAAAATTAATACTTCAGCGATTATGCTTGAAACAAACGCATGACGACAGGTTAAATTTTCGAAATTCCATACTTTGTTTCCCATTTTTATCTTTCCATAAAATGTAACAAACAATGTTGCAATCCAAATTTTTCATCTACCAAATCTTAAACCGTATTTTTTTTGGTTGCTAAAAATTTTTGGCTTGTAATGCGAGATATTGAACGAATTTTGAGATAAAAGCCGAAAACCTTTTCAGAATTGTTCTTGATATTTCATAGATTAGTTATTTAGACGATTGTGTAGCCTTACTGAATTTTTTTATATTGTTTTTCTTTTCATTTTACAAAAAGTAAAACAGAAAAAATGTATACCCCCTTTGTTCCGCCCGTTTGCAATAAGTAAACGATTGATGTAACTTTGTTAGTACTCGCTTCCTTTGTCTTTAAATTAAGCCCATTAAAATTAATTAAGATATTGACCTAGTTCGCTGGCAGTCTTCGGAAAACCGCTGACACAAATCCATATGTACACATGTACACACATAGAAAAAAATTGTTTCAAGTGCCTGACATTTTTACATTAAAACAACAAGCCACATGACGTCATTTAAGCTTGTTGGGCTTATGTTTTTGCTCCCTTCTTAGGAAAACCACCATAAACAGTTAATAATTGGCGAAGTAAATATTCATTTTTAACTGGAGCATGTAAAATGTGTGACTGTTTATAGGCAGGGGAAAAAAGCAGTGTTAAGAGATGTACAGTTTACAGTATCTAGGACCAATAAGTTGTTGTAAAACGAGATTACAGTTTAATGAAATTTTCTTAGTTGTATTTATTTTATTATAATTTTGAATTACTTTAAAAACGTCCACAAATTGGGGGTGTTCTTTTACGGGCAGTTGCTCTGCATTTTGTCCTATTTTTTTATTGTAGTAATCGTTTGCCAGGGAGTAAAAGACCGTGAAAGAAGGGGGCAAAGTGAGGTAAGGGAGATTGTTTTAAAGCATTTGGTGATAAGGCGATAAGCCACCAGCAAATTTTCTGCCTGATAGTTGATTTTGAACCATTTGTTTATTTTGGTGGAAATATTTCAATTCTCTGTTCTCTCTCTCTCTTCAACCGTGTGAGCGACTCATTTTGGTTATTTTTTGTCGCTTTTTTCGTTACTCATCATCATCATCAACCTGTTGTTATTGTTGTATTTTTTTTTGGGCAATTAAAATCGGCAGCAAACCCAAAATAAAAATTAAAAAGAATATACACAACGGTAAATCCAACTTTTTGCGGCGTGCGAACGAGATGGCGACTATTTGCTGTGAGAGATTTAAGTCAACTATGAAAATGAAGCTTAAAAAGAAAAAAGACAAACGCAAAATGGCAGACACAGTGAAGACTTAACTATGAGAACATGTACATATGCCGTATAAAAAGGCAGAATTATATTTTAGCCCAACAAAATTTTCAAATATTTACCAAACCACAGTTTACAAAATAAACACAAAAAACATACACATTCCTCGATAGTGTGCATTGATATTGAACTAATAAAAATCCTAGGGAATGTACTGTATCAAATTTGTTGACCGGAAAACGTTTTGAGTATAAGGTATATCTCAATTTTTTCGAAAAGTTCACATAGTCAAGAAAGAGTAATTCATCAAAATCTCTAATTTATAAATGAAAAACACTTTGTATGCCATCACTGTTATATTTTTAATAATGCCCTTACCGATTTATAAACTAAAAAAAATATTATGAAAGAAATTAAAAGCAAAACATAAAAATCCATAAACTACTAAATTATTTTTTTTCCAAAATGATTTTTTGTTTTTACACTACAAACGCAACCTTGTTTTTACTTCTTGTCTTTTTATTTTCTTCTCAATGATTTTTTTTTTCCATTTCGCATACATTCCAAAACAAACAATACAAATTCATTGATTTCGACTTTTACTTTCCTCCGCATAACTGTTAATTTTTTGCTCCTCCGTTTTGGTCGCTTTCTTTGCGGCGTCTTCATTCAAAGCAGAACACAAAAGAGAACCAAAATCTTCGACAGAGAGAGAAATAAGTGTGTCATAGCGTTTTATTAAGTGTGACCCCCTTTTCAATGAGAAAGGCGTACACACCCATGGAAAACTATTACATTTTCCTAACTTGTCATTTTCTGACGTCAGCTGAGCGAAAAAGAAGCATAAAAAACACTACAAAATCCACGCTCTCAACTGTATAGAATATGTAGATATGTATATAATGTATGTAAACATGTACATATACTGCTTTAATTGATTAACACGTAAAAATTTGCAATATCTGTATATGAAATGAAGTGTAATAATAACCAAACTACAAAGAAGCACTTATAAGACATTCATAGTATTTTTGTTAAAACTATCCAATAAAGTTTAAATTGGGAGGCCTGATAACATTAAAAATAAAAACATCGATATTTTTGTATAATGAAATAATACTAATTTGTATTAACCGAATTATAATTGGATTGATAATACTTTTTTAAAACACTTTTTTAGGGGAGAACTCATTGCCAAGGAGGTCGTTTATATTATTTTTTTGTGTTGGTCGAACACACGCATTGTGCTTACAGCAAGTTAGCAGTTTACGCCAAAACGCAATCAATTAGCACATGGTTTATGCCAATAGCAATGCTACATTAAACGCAAATGCAAACAAATATACATATTTATAGATATATACCTCTGTAAGTATGTATGTATGTATACCTTGCTTTCAGATACCATGAACAACGAGCAGCCCCAAGGTCAGCGATAAAAGCTAATTTCCGTCTGACTTTTTATCCTGTCTCGCCAGACCGTAATCCCTCCGCCTCTCCACAAACGCCACGAACTTTTTCCTTGGGCCACTTGAACTTTTGCTTTGGGTGGGAGTATTGATTTCATTATCCTGCTTTCGGTGTTACCCGAATAACATGTGAAAACTTATGCAAGCCAATTCGGAATACTCTATATTTTTATAGGGGAATGTCAAGGGATTGAGAAATAGCATTAGTAATAAAGAATTTCTGAATCTTTCCATGTTCTTAAAAAGACCAAATCTTCTTTACTTTTAAGGACCCTATAATGATGTGGGTTGCTTTTCAAACAGGGTTCGAAAATATGTAGATCAACGAGGATCATGGTATCCCAAATTTTATTCAATTTAGAAAAGTTTATCTCCCAAAAGTAAGGGTATACTAACTAAAATACATTGCCCTTTCTTCCCTCCCCGACTCTTCATCTCTTCCCCCACTAAATAACGGTTAATCATAACAAATCGACAGCTGTCTCTGTCTGCAACCCATAGTTTCTTCGTATCTTTTTGTGGAGGACATGTCAACGACTTGTTTTCGTTACTTTTATTCGCCTTCTTCTCAGCGTCTTTTCCTTTTTCATAAGGAGTGGTTCAAAAAGGGAGAGGGTTGGCAAAGATATACCAGTTCATTGACTTAAGGGCGAGACGGTGACCAAAATTTTGGGGTTGTCTTTTATATTTATTGCTATTACTTTTTCCCCATAGTATATTCTTGAATTGCTGGGGATATTCAATGGCATGCTATGTGGAGCATGTTGTGGATTTCTCAACACTGGCACGTACTCTCTTGGAATTATTAGTATATATTGAGTCACACATTGTCCACTGAGTGCACCGAACAAATTATGTATTCATGCAGTTAAGCATACAAAAGTATATTGTGCGACTGTGTGAGTGTCTGGGGTGTTTGTTTTTCTATCTTGTTAATGGGATTTTTGTAGAGCTCGTTGATTTCTCGTGCACGCAGCATTTCCGCTCTCCGGGTCTTTGGATGTCTTTCTGTCCCAAGCAATTGTCAACCCATTCTGGATTTCAGATACAGAAACAGCAGCGGCCGCAATAATAGCGCAACAGGCCTCTGTTGAAAACCTGTTATGAAACAAATTCCGGATCCAAATCAAATGGAATTGTTTGAATAATGAAATCTGAAAAATATTTTTTTTTCAACATTTTAAATTAAGTTCGATTTTTGTAACTATATTGAAAATTCAGTATCCTAACTTTTAAGGCCACATTTAAAATAGCAAAAAGGCGAGAAACCGGGCCTTATTATTTGAACAGTTATGTATATATTTAATCAGACACTAAATTACTATTTTTGGGAAAAATTCATATCAAGCTTAGAAAAGCCTCTCAGTATTTTGTGGAGATCTTTAATAAATTGTTGTAATACTTTAATGGCAGCTGCAATTGCAGGTAATACAAACATGCAAATGTTAATTTATATCTTCAGCACACCTGGGCAGATTTTTCTTTCCTGCCTAGTTTTTTGTTTCGTTTCTTTCCTTTGTCTTTGACCAGCTGTTTGCTTTGCGTTATGTTTTTCTTATTTTCTCTTTGTTTGCTACCACGCCCACTAACGTTGTTTGTTTTCTTATTTCTTTACAGGCTCTCCGCTCGAGAATTCTAGCATCTTCAGCCAAGAAAATAAAATAACCATTCAAATAATTAAGGACTTTTAAGAGGTGAGTAATCTAGACGATCATGCCAATGTCAAGTGCAATGTTAATCGCGAATGTTAACTGGTCACGTTAAAAGCGGCCATGTTAATCACAACTGTTAACCACTCGACAACACGTGCAAAAGTTTTTCTCTGAGTAATGCAAAGAATTGGCCACTATTTCGATGACGAATCCCAAAAGCCGGTCGTCTCTCTTCAAAAACTTATCCCCTCTCTTCTCGACTTCTCCAACTGGTTTTTCTTCCATGACTTATTTGGTTACCATGTGCACCATAGATGCTGTAATTGGAAAACGTGACTAGTAAATTAGCAGTGTTACAGATAAGTCTGAAATTCGAAGTGTTTTAACAACAAGGGGCGAAATAGAAATCTTTTTTTTGGATTACAATTAGGTTGGAAAGTACATACTTATGTATAATGTATGTTGAATCCACAATAATGTTAACTTATCTTCCTCTGATAAGTCATAAACTTTTTACGAGATGATCTGACTAGCAAACTTACTTTTATTAATGTTTAATTATGTTGAATCCATGTTTTAAACATCTACTTACCGATTTTTTAAATACTGTTTTTTTTACGTTTTTTTTCCAAATACCCAAAACATCTGCTTTGATCTGGAGTTTTTTTTGGTGTATGACTTATCCTTATCGATGAGGTCACTTAAAAGACAGTGACTAACTCTTAAGTCTGCGTGTTCAACAAGCTTTTATAAAAATTTAATGAATCACTTTATCACTTTGGCTTACATGCATTCTAAACTGCATTTTTATATTATATTTTGTCATTGATTCAATCAATATTTTAACTATTATAAACTTTCGTTAAGCGATTTTTCAATTTACCGATCTACAAAACTGTAGTCCACCATTTTTCACTAAAGGATTATGCACTTGCCTGGCGTCAACATGTAAAAATTCTGTCCTTGTTCCTTTTTGATTATATTCTTTCATTTTTCTTGACATTTTGCATGTTTGCCGATGACACATGTTTATCTGCTCCCCTTCTCTTTTTTCATTTTATTGTTACATCAAAGATGTCATAAAAATCTGTGCACTAAGTATAAATATAATCAATAAATATTATGTGTAATATAGTAGCTTGCCAAAGTATACAAAAAATTGCTGGTTACCTTTTTTGGTTATACATTTATTGAACAGGGTCATTTTTCGTCGAATGCCGTTTATTTTGTTTGTATTTTTTCCTAGTCATTGTAACAGCGAATTCGGGTCACTATAACAGTTACTGATGCGTGTTAGCATACTCGTTTCTGTAAAATCGCTTAATAAATCCAAAAAAATTTGGAACTCTGGTTCAATCAATATATTTTACACACATTTTGCATTTATCTGTATCTAATTGTTGAAATTTGCATTTTTAAAGAGGCTGAGAAAATATGAAGGTGGCAAGTAATTACACAAAATTGGTTAAAAGAAAGCAAAATAACCCTCTCTATAACGTGCAATTATCTTTTTGTGCTTTTGTACTCAATTGGCTTAGGAAACCGTTCATTATTAAATATTAATTTACTGCTGTTTTTCTTCTGTTTGGTCAATTTAATAACACACCTCTTAATTCCCTTATTCATAATAAATTAATTTTATTGTGATACATTTAAGTTATAAACTAACAATTTAACATATTTAAAGAATTTATATTTTTATTGACTCATTCAAATGTTTTTTATTCTTATAAAATACAAATTATTAAATGTATCCGATATTAAAAACATGCTTTGGAAACCAGGATTTAAATATATTAAATAAATGTAGTAGTTCCGTCTGTTTTTTCAATATATTTTACGAACATCTTTTAAATGCTTTACATCACTGTTATCACGCACCACAATCGCTGTATCTGTAACTGTAAAGATGAGCTGTCGTTTGCAGTGATGGTGAAATGCAATTGTTGTTACTAATGTAATTTACCCCCACCGCTGCAAGAATTTATTGGTGGGAAGAGGGAGCGAAACAGGTGCTGACTGACACACCGCTCGTCCCATACCCCTCGCACTGTCTACCTCGCTCTCCATTGGGGCATGAAAACGAACGTACATAAGTGTACATGTTGCGCGGATGTGTGGCTGCACTTGTTATATCCGCCGGATGGTAATTGTGTTTGTTGATTATGATATGCGGTCACGTTGAAAATGCACCGTTTTATGTGTTACAATTGAACATAAAGAAATAGACTATGGGGAAATTCAAAGAAAGTGTATTTTAGTTAAGAACAACACACTTGATCAGGCAGAATTAATTTTTTTTTCCAAATTGGGGTTTTTTGTTGATAAATTTATTAAGAGATCTGAACTCAAACAAAATGATTACTTGGGCCTATACCGGTGCTTTCGTCGTTAAATACCAACAAAATTATTGTTTGTATTTCGAATTGTTAAAAAATTTTAAATGGGAATTGCAGCGGTCGAAAGAAATGCACAGATTCACGATGCACTACCCGTTTTTGTTTCTTTTACTAATGTCTATCACCACCCATTAAATGTGGAACGGAAATAAATAAATATGGATGTACATACAATAAATGGGGGAATTGTGAGTATGTGAGCGCGCGTTTGCATATTTTATTGTTGTTTATGATTCCTGTTGTCAGACACGTATGTACATATGTATGTACATAGCTCACATTTCGAAACCCTTCCACAAAATACTAATCTCGTGTTTCAGTGAAATTGGAGAACTGCGAAATTTGTGGGCGAAAAGGGGGAGGTAAATAGGGCCGAATATTTACCACGAATCGTGGGAAATGTCTTTGTAGTCATTCCGAGACAGTTTCAAATTTTCTATGCTAGATAACACAAAAACGTGGACATAGAGAGCTTCCAATCGGTTTTTAATACCATTCTGAAATAATATGTAAAAATGTCATGTGGGTACAGTCGAGGCTCGAATATTTAAACTATTTATGTATGTAAATAATTTCTAACAGGTATAAAACTAATTTAAAAAAAAAAAATAACTCAAACTTTTTTCAAAATAAGGTTAAAAGTTACGTAATCTGCGAATAATTTTCCAAAAATTTTTTTGGTCGTTCGTTACAGTGAACACTTTCTGTTTTGAGAGTATCTATTTAAACGAAGGCGAGGTTAGCTGTCTTGAAAAATCATAGATTTATAATCATAAGGAGGGAGAAGCAATAAAAAATCTACCCAAAACGGCAGCCCGTCAATTGTTAATTGTGAATTGCGAATTGACAATGAATTGTCGCTTGGCCTTGAACCTGAATTTTGCAGTTCACTTTATTTTGTTTTTGTTTGCCGTGTGCTCACTGTTTTTGTGTCTTTGTTGGTTATTATTATTAGTATAATGCCTTTTGTTTTATCTGTCTCTCCTACTTCTCCACCCATTCCCCCCACCTTTTTACACATTGCACTCTGTTGTTCTCGTTTTCATTTTCGTTTTGGGTTAATGAACTGAAATTTTACCATTTTTTTCTTTTTGCGTATATCTAGGGGTACTTTTTGCGTAAATTTAAATTTTTCATTTCTCTCGGCTTATTTTAGCGCGTGTGTTTTTATGTACGTCTGTACATATGCATGTGTGTTTAAATTTGATTTCGATCAAATATTTTGGTACATTTTTTGCATTCCCTGTGGCCTGCTATTTTTCTTTCTTTATTGAAATTCAAGCAATGAGCGGCATTTGCATCTATTGTGCATTTGTTTTCCCTTTTATTGCTTCCTATTTTTGACCCTCTTTGTTGTTGTGTCACTTCTGTTGCCGAGCTGTTAAAAATAGTCGACAACGAGAGAGAGCATAAGAGAGAGAGATGGAGAAAGAGAGCGCGAAGAGCGCGAGAGAGCGAGAGAGCGAGAACTGTCAAAAAAAGCAAAACAAACTGTCAAATGTCTACGTCATGTGAGTGCGCACACACACGCACGCGCGCACGCAGCAATTGTGTTCGTGCAGTGACGTTTCATATCGTTTTGTTTCGTTATTTGCTGATTAATATTTACAGTGAATAACGGCCATCTACGCGAAATAACTGTGATCCTTTGGTAAAATATATTAAAGTCATACAAATAAGTAAAACCATTTTCAAAAAATTATAAGCATTGTCAATAACGGTTAAGAGGTACGGGGTATAACTGTGATCCTTACAAAAAAGAAAATTATCTATACACATGTGTATTTAAGTAAGCTGACAGCTACGCGATATAACACTGGGAACGTGTATAAAATCCAAATAACAAGAAAAGTAGTGAAATGTACAAACATATAATATATACATACATAAAGGACACGGTATAATTGCAATCACACCTATGTATGTACAAACGTGTTTAAATGTTACCAGTTTTAAAAATACAAATGATTCTTTACAACAAAAATTTGATTTGACATTTGTGAAACTAAAAACAACAACATAATTTAGTTTGAGAAACGAGAGGTTTCGTCAATCGGACCAAATATAAACATGTTAACAATAGATATTTAGTGATAAAACATCGCAAACTACAAACATCACATATCCATTGTATTGAATTGCGTTAAGAGCAAAAGAAATGCAAAAAATGAAAACTGAATATCCAGGGATTTTTGAATAAATATATGGTTTTTAAATATAAATATATTTAAATATGTATGTATGTAACTTCAATTCTTTTTTTGTAGGTCACCCAAAATGAAACAAACACCCACACACAGACACCCACACCCACACATCTTGTTCGATTCGTTTTGTTTTATTTAAATTTATTTCGTTGGAATGCAGGTCCAAGTGTATCTGCACATTTTTTTTATTAATTTATTTTGTTTTTGAATGATTCACAATAAATACATATGGTAATAAGGGGACGAAGATAAAAGTGGCGTGGGATATAATCTACATCCGGACTCGGCCAATAAAAATAATAGCAAATGCCGGCATCAATAACTGGATAAAACTAAGCATCCAGAAATTTAACAAAACATACAGTATGACCTCTCCATAATAAACCGACAACTGTAACATAACAATAATAAAAAAAAGAAACTAGTTATTAAAAAATTAAAAAAAATCGTTGAGAAATGGAGAGACGGCGGTATTGATAGAGTTGAATTATACAAATATTAAACATTTGAATATTTGCGACTAAATATTTAAAACATTTTCCTTTTTATTGATTTACTGGCTAAGCATAAATAAACCGTTTAAAAACGTTTCATAAATTGACTAACCAGGTCTAATAACCCAAGAATACGGTTTTTATAAAGAAGTTCCACTGTTGAAATTGAAATTCCCTCAGGAAATTGGGTCGTCAAAGTTTTTTGAAAATAGATTTATGTATGTATTTGTGAAATACACACCTATGCACATACATACGGTACGTACATATTTCCGCTCTCATCAACGCTTTATATTGTAATTTATGGCAATTTGCTAATTTACAATAACAATTTTCATTTGCACTTTGCTCCGAAAATAGCGCTGTGTTGCATTTTGTAGTCAGCGGGTGTAAGCGGGACAGCAATATAATTCGATGTTGGTGCATACATAACTGTTGTTGTTTTTGTTGCTTGATTTTCTTGCTTCTATTATTTTCGTCATTGCTGTTGTTTTTTTTTTGCTGCAGCGGCGTGGCGTTCAATTGACAGATTGTTCCACTTTAGCGAGCGCGTCCTTGACCTAGAAGTAATGGACATACAAGGGTATACATATGTACACGAAACCCCCTTTGTCTTCTTTTTGTTCATCCCTTCTTCCGTGCCTCCTTCATCCACTCTCTTCGAAGCCTGGATAAATCTATGTTAAGGTCAGCGCACTTCGACGATCCTAAAAGTATGTATGTTAACCCGCTGTTAAGTGCCATCCTGTTAACAGGGCCAGGCGACAAAAGTGTCCTCGGCTGAAAATTAGTGCTGTCCAACTTTCCTAATCCAAGCAAAAACCTCCACTTAAATAATATTTTAAGACTATTTAAAATTAAATGTACTCATAATTTTGTCACTGATAGTTGGCCATTAATTTGTAATTTTGTATACCCTTGCAGAGGGTATTATAATTCAAAAAAATTATTACTTTGTTGCTTTTAAATTAATTTTTGTTCTTTGGGATTTGGTGATATTATTTTATAAGACTTATTTTCGAAAAAATTCAAATCTATAAACATTTATCCAAAAGTAAATTTTTGTATTTTGTGAGTAACCCTTTTTTTATTTGCTTTAAACCGAGGGAAACCCATTTTTTTTAGTGTCAGCCGGGGGAAACCCTTTTTTAAATGTAACCCTCGTGAGTGTCACTGTTAACCGTTCAAAGTTCCATCCCTATTGGCTGTTGTTTAGTGCGGACTGACGTTTCTTTCTAAAGTTTTTTCCGGGGCGAGTGGTCGATGATTGGATTGATTTAGATATGGGGGTTATGTTCTAGTGGATTCGATTCGATTGGATTGAATGAAACATTGAACCCCTCATCATTTATCTGCGTGGCCAACCAAACGGGGGCAAAAATAATTAAATGCATTTGGAATTATGGATTCCATTTGCAGCCGGCACATTCAATTTGTTTCCTTTCTCCCAATTGCCACTTACCATCTCTTTTTCTATTTTAATTTCAGACTGCTACAAAGGAACAACATAACTAACAAACACGCAAATACTAAACAAGGAGAAAAGAACGGAAGACTAGAAATAATCATAATACATAATAGTTAGCGTAAGGGAACACACAAAAACACTGCAAACACTAATATTCTAATTCAAATTCACACAGAAAGAAGTATTTTTGGCCTTAAGAGCAAACAAACAAACACCCACACAAACACAAAACAAATCGAAGAATTTGTAAAAGAACACCAAACAAAAATCACTTTTAGCCTTATATACAACAACAAAACAAGTTAATATCAAGTTACATGGTTAAAATCAGAGAAGACGAAGCGAGGATCCCAACGATGGGGAGTTTGTAAGTAGGCTAAATTACTAAAGACCATATATATATGTATACACCGTAGATAGTATACACCCTGAATTATAATTAATCGCTAAAAAAAAACTACACTGCAGCAGCAGCAATACAAAAAACGTTCAGAAGGCTCTTCTCTTAAAAGAAGTAAATCAAGAACCTTCTCTAGAAAAGGAAGCTGGAGCGGAGGCTCAAGAAAACGTCGCAGAACCAACTCCTGGAAAACAAGACCCTGGAGGATCTGGCACAGAACCGGATAAAGAGAATCAATCCCCAAATCCTAAACGTTCAGCATCTAAGGATTTTGAAAGTAAAATAAAATATTCAGAACCCGAAAAAGAGCAAGGAAAAGGATACTATGTTTTGCACCCTAATCAGCATGACAATATACGCCAGAAATCGTTATTAAAAAGTGACCAAGAGAGCGGATCAGCAGCTAAACAATCAACATCCGAAGATTCAGACCGTGGATCTTCAAGCTCAGACTCCGAAGGAAAAGAAGGAAACGGAAACAAGACCGTTTCGCGCTCTAATCAGCAAGACGGTAATATACGCCAAGGATTGTCATTGAAAAGAACTCGAGTAAAGGGTTCTTTAGCTAACCAATCCTCATCTGAAGATTCGAACCGCAAATCATCATATTCACAGTCCGAAGAAGAAGGAGGCTATAATATACGCCAAGGATCGTTGAAAAAAAAACGAGCTAGGCGATCTGCACTATCCTCATCTGAAGATTCAAACCGCGAATCATCTAAATCAGAGTCGGAAGAAGAAGGAGGTAACGAAAACTGCAACGCTGGAACTGTAGCTGAACCATCGTCTTCAGATTTAGAAAAGGGAGAGCAAGACGATAATATACGCCCAGAAGATTCAGACTGTAAAGCACCAAGCTCAGATTCCGAAAAAGAAGCAGAAAACGGCAACATTACCGTTTCGCGTCCTAATCAACAAGACGAAAATATACGCCAAGGATCGTTATTGAAAAGAAAACGAGTAGCTAACGAATCCCCATCTAAAGATTCGAACCGCGAAACTTCAAATTCAGAGTCCAAAGAAGGAGATACTATCCGCTTAGGACCGTTCTTGAAAAGAAAACGAGTACGGAAATCAGTACCTAAACAATCCTTATCTAAAGATTCGAACCGCGAATCATCCAATTCAGAGTCCGAAGAAGAAGGAGGTAACGAAAACCGGACCTCATCGGAGAATTCTCCAGCAAGCGGTTCTGTAGCTCAACGATCAACACTCGTAGTTTCAGGGCGCGGATTAACTTCTTCAGAGTCGGAAGAGGGCGAAACTCGAAATTTGTATGTTTTACGTCGTTATTACCAAGACGAACAATCAACATTCGAAGATTTGGGAAGTTATCCAGGATCCGACGAAGAACTAAGTAACGAAGACTGGACCGCTTCGAATCAAGAAAGTTATTATATACGCCGAGTAGCTCAACTACCAACATTCGTAGATTCAGACCGTGAGTTATCTTCTTCAGGGACTGAAGAAGAAGAGATTCAGAATTTGAACGTTTCGCAGAGCAATCAGGAAGACGAGGTAAAAGAATCTGTAGCTGAAAAAACATCATCCGAAGATTCAGACGTTGAAAGCCTTTATCCAGGTTCTGAAGAAGAGGACGATTCGATCCGAGTAAGAGGATCTTTGGCTGAAAATTCCGACATTGAATCTCTTGCTTCAGACACCGAAGAAGAGGACGATACCACACTCCAAAGAACCATATTGCAACGTGACGGAACAAAGGAATCTGAAACTGAATGTAAAGATTCCACTAGTGAAGACGAGCAGCAGCTACAAGATTCATCTTCTTTGGGACCAAACGCGAGTGATTTAGACCCCTTAGACATCCATCAGTTACAAGACTTACTCAATTCAAGCTTTGACGAGTCAGCAGAGGTGACATCTGATCAGGAAGACGATAATAAATCCAAAGAAGAGGTATCGGAAACCGATCAAGAAGATACAGAGAGTGAAGGGGACCGTCGCCGAGATACGGATATTAGTTCTGATTCTGCTCCAGAGGATTTCCGTGAATATTTTAATTTCGAGGAACCGCACGAGGAGGAACGTGAATATCCTGAAGGCGGAGAAGGCTACGAAGGCCAAGGATCAGCTTCCGACGAGGACGGTCAAGAACAAGGTTTATCTTCACCGGGAAAAAACTCGAATGATTCATACGGCTCAGACAACCAGCAGTTACAACCTTTAGTCAATTCAAACTCCGGACCTAACTTTGACGAATCGGACTCCGAAGAAGAGGAAGAGATCGCTGGGCATAGAAAAGTTTCGACGCCTGATCAGGAAGACGATACTAAATCAGAAGAAGCCTCGGTAAAAGCTCAGGAATCGGAAACCGAACAAGAAGATACAGAGAGTGAAGATTCGGAGGAAGAACAGTGTGATACTTCAGGGGACCGTCGCCAAGATACGGATACTAATTCTGATTCTGATCCAGAGAATTTCCGTGAAGATTTTAATTGTGAGGAATCGCATGAAAACGGAGAAGGCTACGAAAGCCAAGAACCAGATTCCGACGAGAACGGTCAAGAACAAGATTCATCTTCATCTGGACCAAACTCGAATAATTCAGACCGCTTAGACGATAATAAATCCAAAGTAGAGGTATCGGAGAGCGAAGAAGAAGATACAGAGAGCGAAGATTCGGAGGAAGAACAGGGTGATACTTCAGGGAACAGCCGCCGAGATACGGATACTAATTCTGATTCTGATTCTGATCCAGGGGATAACCGTCAATCTTTTAATTCTGAGAAATCACGCGAGAAGGAACATCAATATCCTAAGGGCGGAAAAGGCTACAAAAGCCAAGGACAAACTTTCGGCGAGAACGGCAAAGCTGGAAATCGTGCGTCATACGAAAGGGTCTGTTCTTTTACAACTCCACCAAAGTTAAATCAAGCTTTACTCGAAGATCACTCCCGTGTTAAAATTGAAGACATCGACCGAAATTTGGACTCATTTATCCAGATCAAAAGAAAACGAAATCCGAACTGGGAGAAGGAAACTATAATTAAGACCAGGAGGGTGGATAAAATATTCAGGGAACTGCTGAAGGTAACGACTGTAGAAGGCGACACTCTTTCCGATTTCAGCGCTTACGGATCGGAAAAAAGCCTTGAGCAGGTTACTTATTCTTTAGAGAAGGCCAATAAAATATTTCAGCTTCTGAAGCGTGAGCAAATCCAGGTGACTAACTGGATTGAAAGGGAGCTAAACGACTTGGAATTCGATATCAAGTTGTGGCTGCAGCGCCAAGAAATTCAGATCAAGTTAACGCAGCAGGAGTACCCCAATACGCTGCTGCAGCGCCAGTGCGGGCTGATGCAAAACGAAATGGTCAGCATACCGGTGGCCAACTTGAACGGCGGCCTTAAGGCGGCCAGCAGCGGATCCGGAGTGGGTGTGGTGGCAGCCGGCGGCGTCGTCTCCTCGGCGGTGCTGGCCAATGCCCCCCGTGTTTACCTAACGCCCTCCTCCACCTTCATGGCCAATCGTCAGGCGTCGGCGGGCGTGGCGTCCACCGGAAAGATCAGCGGATCAATAGTCGGCGGTTCATCTGGCACCTCAGCCGCCACCGGTACCGTTCGCTACTTCTCGCAATTCAGCAAAGTGCAAACGGCCGGCGGACCCAGTCTGCAGAGGAAGCTGGCCAACGGTGACACCATTGTCCTGGCCAACGGCAACAAGAGCCTGTTCTTTACCAGCAGTGACAAGGGCGCTGTGTCTAGCATCGCCACCAATGGTAATTGCTCCCTCCAGGCCAAAACGGAGCTGTTGGAGGAAGAGGACATGCAGCCGGGAACTGTGATCGAGGAGGAGGAGGACGAGGAGGATAGCAGCCTCACTGCCAAACCCTTGGGAGGCAGCAGTGGGCCACAGGATCAGCCTCTTGCCCTAACCACCGCTGCCAACGAAGGCAACGCCTCGGAAGATGAGCCCGAGCTGGACATTGTGATCAACAATGTGGTCTGCTCGTTTAGCGTGGGCTGTCACCTGAAGCTGCGTGAAATTGCCCTCCAGGGCTCGAATGTGGAGTATCGTCGCGAGAACGGAATGGTGACAATGAAGCTGCGTCATCCGTATACCACGGCTTCGATTTGGTCATCGGGAAGGATCACCTGCACTGGTGCCACCTCCGAGGCAATGGTATGTGTTAATCTTGCAATTGTCAGCTTTCTCAGCTCTTTAGTTAATTATTTTTTTATCTTTTAGGCCAAAGTTGCGGCCCGTCGCTATGCTAGGTGCCTGGGGAAGCTTGGGTTTCCCACTCGTTTCCTAAATTTCCGCATCGTCAATGTGCTGGGCACCTGCAGCATGCCGTGGGCCATCAAGATTGTCAACTTCTCGGAGCGTCATCGCGAGAATGCCAGCTACGAACCGGAGTTGCATCCCGGTGTGACCTACAAGATGCGCGATCCCGATCCAAAGGCCACCCTCAAGATCTTCTCCACCGGCAGCGTAACCGTCACGGGTGAGTAGTGATCCCCTAGGGACTACATCCTATAAGTAGAAGTCCTAATTCCGGTTTTTCCATCATCAGCGGCCAGCGTGAGCCATGTGGAATCGGCAATCCAGCATATTTACCCACTGGTCTTCGAGTTCCGCAAGCAGCGTTCGCCGGAGGAGCTGCAGCACCTGCGCCAAAAGCAACGCCAGCAGTCCGGCGTCGATCCCAACGAACTGGAGAGTCAGGTCGTCTCCCAGAACAAGGTGGCGGCCCAGGATAATATCTTTGTTAACACAACGGCGGCGCACACAAAGCCACCGGGTGATAACACACCAGCCACCTCGGGCATCATGTCCAGCACTATTGATAGCATGCAGCGCCTGAAGCAGATGGAGAGCTACAATCAGATGGCGCAGCGTACGACCGAGGAGCGCCGTCACATACCTTTCCAGGGGGACAAAGTCGGCTCCGCCTCCACGTCGGCGGCCGCAGCAGCAGCCGCCTCCTCGGGAGATAATATCTGTGCCAATGCCCGTCGCCGGGCCACCGAATGCTGGGCCACCAAGCTGCAGAACAAGCGTCCGCGTTACAATGATCCCGGCACCCCGGGCGCTGCTCCCTCATCGTCCTCAGCCGCCGCCTCATCAGCCTCCGCCTCAGCCTCGTCCAATGTGTTCTCACCCTCGTTGGGTTCTCAGGCGTCATTCCTGCGTAATCCTCTCAAGACGGCCGCCTTGGCCAATGCTCGTATGCGCGGCGCCAAGGTGCCAACGAGCATGGTGCTCAAGCCGGGGACACGGATTGGACCCACCAGTGGCTTCCTGCACCAGCAGCACCTGCAACATCAGCAGCAGCAGCAGCAGCAGCAAAAGATGCGCCAGACCAGCTTCTCGCCCAGCGATTTCCAGGTGGACGACTTGATCGAGGAGGAGGAGAGCAACGAGATGGACCTGCAGTATTGAGCTAGCGCTGGCCATGCCAAAACATTTATAACTTAAATTAGAGATCGATGAAACACGTTGAAACAAACAACATGCCACAAAAACAAAAACTAAACGAATCGAAACACATACAAAGCCCAGAAAGCTTTTCCTCTGAATTCGTTGGTTCGTTTGTTAAAGCCATTTTTCATCACACATTTGTTTGTGTTTGTCGCATTTAAACGAACTCGAGGAAATACAAGACGCTGGACCGAAAACAAAAAATGAGATAGAAGATCAATCAAATAACATTAATCCAAAGCAAAACAAAAATTCCCCAGCCAGCAACACCAACAAAAATAGCAGCAACAACAAAACCAAGAGCCAAATATTTAACTTATAAGGTAAGTCTAACATTTAAAGAAGTTGAAAATTGGTCAGCGATTGCTGTTTATATATTCCCGAATTTAAAACTTCGATTATAGATTTTTAAGTCAATACGTTAAAAAATAACAAGGCATTCTTTAATGGTAGTTTTTGGTTTCTTTTTTAAAAGGTTTTTCAAGAAATTTAAAAAAAAATAAAAATGTATGTTTAATGCATTTAAATGTTTTACAATGTCTTTATAATTTTTGTATGATTCTCAGACTTTAATAATGCTTTGTTAAGTACTTATAATTACTATTACTATTACTAATGTGTATCTTTTTTGACTTATCCTTGCAGATTTACGTTTAAACTTTGTAACTTAAGCGAGCACACAGAAACAAAAAAACAGAGATAGCATATAGATTATTTCGACTCCCCATATATCCCAGAAACCTCAAAAACATCCATATGGTAAACACAGAGCTTACCACAACGTAATTTTAAGTATAGACTTAAAACCGACAGCAAAATACGCGTTTTGAATACGTATGCCAGCGAGCGTTTTACGTATATAACAAATCTGTGGATTGCGTTAAGTTAATTTTTTTTTTTTTTGGTTTATATAGATTATTTATGTGAGCAAGACCACCGCCAAACAAATACTGTAAACTTAAATGGATCGCATAATAATGGATCACACATACGACTTATCACAAGCAAGCAGTGCGAGACGAGCAAGCAGTTAGCAGTAATGCAGTTTGGACGCACGATTATATTTTTGTTTGAACTCAAATTCAGACCAAGTTCTTCCGAAGCAAACCAAAATTCTCAAGCAAAACACGAAGAAGAGACCAGAGAAAAATCTAGGCTAATTACACTAATTACTGATAAACAACTAATTAACTTCATGTATCTTCATCCATTTTTTTGTTTTCGCTCTAAGTTTTATATGCTATAAGCGCTTCGTGTGAAGCAAAACCAACAAAACAAAACCACATTTAAATACGATTATAATTATATTATAATACACAAACCAATTTCTGGTCACTTCTAAACCAATTATAACAAACTAAAACTACAGCAAGTAAATATTTTAATTTATGATAGTAGTTTTCGGGTTATGCATAAACTCGTCGAATTAAGAATGAACACTTTGATGATGATGACAAGCAACATAGGCGTAGGCAAGAAACAAAAGTGAATTCTAAGGGGATTATTTTTAATGCTATAGGTTTATGCGAAACTACGAAACTATTATCAGATGTATACCTAACATATATATATTCGTATATATTAAAGTTTTTTTTTTAAATTTCGCATTAAAGAGGAAGCAACTTAAGCGTAGACTTACAAACTTGTTCCTGTGTTGTTAAAATCAGAAAGTAAAAACGAATCATAAGCAATAATATAATGTTTTTGTTGTAAAAGAGGTAAAAATTTAAAAAGAAAATACTCACGTTAAACATAAAAATAAACTCTCTAGATGTTTTGGCGTGCCTTCACCCATAAATAGTAAAAAGCGATACGATAGCCAATTGTACAATCATTGAAATAGTACTTCCAGACCGGACCCGAACTTTTGTACATAAACCCTAAATTGATGTTTTCCAATTAAACGTGAATTGCCTCATCTTACATCAACTTTAAATTTCTTTTGTGCTTAACATAATACAAACTTTCATATCGTTCAACTTATGCATAATCAAAATAGCTTAAAAAAAAACTTGAAATATGTAAGAGAGAAATATCAATGTTTTTCTTTAATAATTTACACATTTCTTTTAAAAATTTATTTTGATTTGCATGAACGAGATCGAGAAATGGAAATGCCTTTAGGGAACAAATAACTAGTGCGGAAAAGAAAGAGATAGGTTTAGGTATAGGAAAAGAGAAGGATATTGACCAGATCGGAGCCGAAATGTATTTTTTGTGTATGCGAATGTGGATAGGTCGAAACAGACCCGAACGTGTTACAATTGCAAAATTAATTAGCCACTAAGCTTTAGCCCTAAGTTAGTTGAGAAACGGAATACTAAATTGTAAGCCAAACTGCAAATAGCAATCTAAAATCTAAAAGAACCTAAAGAGAACCTAAATGTACATAAAATAGTTGTTAACAAATCACAAAACAAACGAAAGCAAGAAACCAACAATAGAGTAAAGTCTACACGTCTAACTGCCTTCGAAAAAGAAAAAAACGAAAGAAAATCCATTTAAATGTGAAGTAATCTATCAATACGTATGTAAATTACTTCAATTGAAACTTGTACTTTCACCCCATTTTTTGTTAAAACGACAACAACAACAACCATAAACAAACAGACAGATCGAAAGGCCTAAATAAGTGTATTTGGTTTCATGAACTTTAAAAAAGCAAAACTAAATATTAATATAGTATACAGATATATTTTTGATTATTATGTATTTAATGAGAACAATGAAATGATGCAAGTATCGATGATAACTAAGAAAAAACAAATTAAGAAATCAAATAGCATAATTCTGTTTTTGTTTTGCCGTAAAGACTGCATTATACCAACAATTAATTATATACAACATAATAAATAAATAACTGATAGATGGCGAATAAGCTTTGCATTAAGCAGAGAACAAAACGGATAAATAAATATTAAATCAAACAGAAAAAAGTCTATTACAAAAAAAAAAAGAAAAAAATACATGGAAAAGAAAACCAAGAAACATTTATTTATTAGATCCTAAGATCGCAGAGAGAAATTTGCGTTAGCGGAGATCGAGTCAGGCCAGAGCGAACCTTAAAGGTCTCGCATCCAATACGAAAAGCAAGATGAAATTACCTTACCAAATCGTGCTAGCCCCCAATCCACCACAATCCATGGTAATTCGGAGGGAGAGTCCACAAAAGTCTATAATAGGGCGAGAATCGGAATAAGTAGGACTACCGTATGATAAATCAATTACCGTCTAGCTGGCTAACCTGTACCCACTAAGATTTATAATTCCCTATAATCCCTGAAACTAGTTTTAAGTACATAAATTGCAAGCAAAAAAAAAAACCTAAAGTTAGATTTATACACGAAGGATATATACATATATATATATATATATATATTGAGAAGAGAGAAGCGGAGAGGAAGAGGGAGGTCTACTTAAGTTCTGAGATTGTTTGCCCCATCTTCACATCTCAAGCAATAAATTATGTACCAGGGTTATTCCGAAGCTCTAGGTTTTGAATGAGCTGGTTTTAGGGGCACCTGAACTGGCGATTTCTGATATCCGAACGTTTCGCATATTTAGCTAAAGGCCTCACAAAACATAAAAACGACAACAACTCATTTGATGTATTTAGTTTAACGTTTAGCCCCTAGTTTCAAAATCTTACACAAAATAAGCAAAAGCAAACTTCGAGGAACGTGAATATGCCTTTCCTGAACTGCAGTCAACACTCAAATAAACTACAAACAAACAAAAATAAGAAAACAAACCAACCAACCAAATGAAAGCAAATTGTTTGAATAAAAATCAAATTACATAAAACCTTAGTGCATTTTTATTGATACGGCTAGCGATATCGATGGTCTTTGTAGGGAATTTAAGTAGAAATTTAATATTGGTGGCACACGTTAGGCAAATAAATAGCTGTTTTAAAATCACTAGAAAATTGTAACAGAAACAAATTAGAGGCAATTGGTATTATTATTCAGATTTTATCTGGGATACTGTTTTTTATTTTGAAATACTTTGGTTTCGTGCTTAAATGATAATCTCCATGGATTTTGTTGGAGTAATTTTAAAACATGATGTATTACTCCACTACATTGCCTGGTATTTTAAGGCTGGTTGTAAACGATGCAGTGGTTCCAACCATGGAATGATGCAGTTTACCCACTCAGATCCGCATGCCTCGATCCGCATGCGGCTGTGGCAACTTGAGGTGCTCCTGGCAGAAGTGGGCCAGGAAGAAAACCACTGATGACGCGGTGGTTAGGGCGATGTAGTACAGATGGTAGACGATAAAGTCGTTGCACCACAGATCCATGAAGGGCTCGCGATGATGGAGGACAACAGTGGCCACCAGCAGCACCACCGATAGCAGAGATCCCATCAGTATCATCTGGATAATTGACAAGATTATATATGTATTATTATTATTAGCCATCCATATTACCGCATTGGAGGTGGCCATGTTAATTTGAAAGTTGCCCAAGTACTTGGCCCGGATGAGGAGCGTGGCAGCGAAGGAGTAGATCAGCGTGAACACCACCGTCCAGCGCATGTAGAAGAGCTCCAGCCAGCTGAGATGCGGTGCATCCGGATTGTCCACGATCAGGGTCCTTTGGCAGCGGGCGCCGGAGGCTTCGTTGGCCTCCAATTCGATGCTGACATGAAGGGCGGCGTCCAACTGGATGTGGATGATCTTGTTCAGCATGTGCAGGGTCACAAAGCAGGAGATCTGGGTGGAAGACGGTTATCGATTGGATAGGGCGGCAAATGGAACTGAGCGGAAACTCACGAAGGCGCCGAGTGACAGGAGGCCGCAACAGAGACCCAGTCCCTTGCACATCTTGTTCCAAGGAGCCGCCGGCAAAGACTGCCTCCGATACAGTCTACCCTCTGGTTTCCAACTTCTCTCTTTGCCAATACCCTATATACCTGAAAGTCACTTAGTGCTGCACTCTCATTTGCATAAACTGATCAATGATCACTATATTTCACATAATTCAGAATTAGTTTACAAAAAACATTATTTATATGGGATATTGGAGTTTGGGATCATCACTCTAAGGAACGATTGGTCGTTAGTTTGGTAAATAAAATATATTAAATAATTCAACAATGTTTCAATGTTTCTTGTAGTGCTTATTTAATCTCTTAAATTATTTAAATTGTTCGTTTTATAAAAAGTAATAAATTGATCATAAATTTTATAGGAATAACACTAAGTTTTATAAATTTTCAAATTCCAAAAATCTTTTTCGTGAATATAGGTTTTACATAATTTAACAAAATTATAAATTATTGCTTTTAGAGGTCTTAGTGATTAAACAAAATAACCGATCAATATTTAGTTATTGACTTAAGTACCTTCTTTTGTGCGTGGTAATGTCAGTATTTGCAGTGTAAATCACTGACTTATACAGTAAAGGGTATGCGACGTGTCGGTTACCTAGGCCCACTTCTCCCACGCAATTGGAGGCATCGCAGCTGGATTTTTGCTCGGAACGGGCGGTAAACAGTTTTATTTTACAAATGTTTTGGCGACTTAAATGCAGCTTAATCATACAATGACGATGCGTGGATTTGGTGTCATGTGGCTGGATGCATGAGGCTTTAAAATTAGTCAACTTGTTGAGCTTGTCTTAGGGAAACTACCGAACCAATCGGGTTTGTAAAAAGTAAAAGGGAGTCCAAGAAGTATGGTTAGAAGGCTAAAGTGAATGCCAGTTACTGGCTGAATTTCACGCCAATGTTGTTCACACGCGTCTGCATGTGCTGCAGGACGTCCTGTGAGAACTCCTCGATGGTGGTGAAGCGGCTCTTCTGGAAGCTGAAGATGTCGCCCAGAAAGGCGAGCAACTGCTCCCGGAAGTAGTGACATATGTCACGCAGGTTCTCGTTGGGCCCGAAGAAACCCCAGGCCATCAGCGGCGATATCTGCTCGGATATAACGTAGAAATGCGACATGAATCCGTTGGGGAACTTCAGCATCCGCTTCTTTGCCTTCAGCACCGACCACACGGCTGTGGTGAGAGCCTGGGGAAAATAAAACCGCACAAGATGTCAATTAATGTGCATCGACTATTTAAGAAATTACACTCACCGTCTCCTTGAATCCGTTAGACAGCCAGCGGTTTTGCACCACTGCCGTGACGCTGGCTGGCGGTGCATCTAGGTCCTTGAACGAATCCAGAATGATAAAGTCCAGGCAGATGTCGTAGAAGGTCATCGCCTTGACGTTGCGCTGCTCTAGCTCCATTTGGATGCATGGCCAGTTGCTGCTGTCGTGCAGATAGTTGACCATGTCCTCGTAGCCCACGAGAAACTCCTTGGTATCCTTATCGCCCAGGCAAAGCAGATCGGTGAGAATCTGCCGGCCGGCATCGCAGATCCACTGGCCCACCGCCGGATCCTTGAACAGGAACTGAAATGCCAGCCGAACGCAGTGGAGCTTGGCCAAGTATTCGGTATCGGTGCTGCAGTGCATCAGCTCCGCCCGAATAGTGCGGCACGGCACCGTATACTCATCGTGATGCTTCAGGGCAGTCTGGAACAGCGGATACTCCTCGTACGACGTCTCGATGAAGCCGTCGAACTCCCGCAGATCCGCCACCTGGTCCAACGCGGAGGCAAAGCTCTCCGCGGAATCAAAGTTCGGATCGGAGCCGGCTCGACTTAGGACACTGCCGGACTTGCGAGACCGCCGATCGTCGTCCGCCTCCTCCTCGGCCTCATCGATGGAATGCTCCTCGCGGAACAGCACCGAGCGCTGGTCCAGGAAGAGCAGTTCACTCTGCTCCTGCAGTGTGTAGGCCATCTCCAGCAGGTTCTGGATCTCGCGGCAGAACTCCGAGTCCTCCGCCGTGGTTAACAGGGCGGGAAGGCCGCCGGGGGAATAGTGTGCCGCCAGGGCATCCTCCCAAAAGTTGATTACCGTGTCCAGCGCCTCCATGCCCATCATGCCCAGCTGTTGGGCGGTCAGCTGTGTGACCACCGAGCTGCCAGGCCCCGCATTCTGTACACCAACGCCAATCGATCCAGAGGCCATGGAAAGGCGGTCCGAGTAGGCCAGCATGGAGCCCACCGGGCTGCCTGATCTCGCCGAGGCCTTGGACCCGGCTATCGAAATGAGGTCGTTGGGACTGCGCATACTGTTGCGGTTCCTCCGGCCCGTGTACTTCCTTGCTCGGCGAGGCGGACGAGGCGGCTTGCGGCGCCGCAGAAAGCGGGAGAGGACGCTCATCAGGGCTACGCCGGCGGTCAGTGAGAAGAGAACAACCTGCCGATGATGACGAGATAATTAGTAAGCAGTCTAGATAGATTACAAATATTTTTGTTAGTTAATAAGCTTAATTTGTCTCTTGACAGACATCCGTCAGTCCTTCCCTATATCGTCCATAGCTTTCAAAGCTGTTGAAGATGAGTAGGGCATTGCATCCCACTGATCCATCACCTTCCTTAATTTTGTAGAGTATTCTGAGCTGAGAACCCACCTTTGTGGTGGTGGAGACGCGGAAGGGCAGCAGGCTGCCGCCACTGGTCCAGGACGCCGGCATGAGGCGCTGCATGTTGCGGCGGTGGAGCTCCTCCGTGGATCCTGATAGTCCGATCCGCAAGGAATGGGAATAAGGAATGAACAACGGGAATCTCTGGGTGCCGATGCGTGCTCGTGCTTTGAGGTTAGGCCTCCGCGCCCACTTTGCGATGACCGCTCATCGGCTGGCGCTATCTGTGTGTTCCGGTCTTTCTGGCTCGCCTTTGACCCTGCGCCCCATGTGCGGCCGCCCTTTGGAATGCGGAGCGGGTCAAGTTCTGTTGCTGCTACTGCTGGTGACCCAATCGATTGACTCGCCCTGCTGACTCCGGTCGGGGCTTAAGTGGTCGGGGACTGGGCGGATTTGCGTCTGTTATCAGTGGAAACTTTCACTTTTAGGCCCGAAAACAACAAAATTAAATTGCATCACAACGTTTCTGGGAGAGGAGAGGAGAGCAGAGCAGAGCGCAGCGCGGCCGATAGGCCTACCTCCTCTTACCCATTCCAGGACTATCGGGATTCGATATCAGGAGGCGTGATTTCGATAGGGTCACAATAAATCACGCCGATAAGAAATTAAAATAAAAAGGTTCTTTTTTATTTCCCAAATGACTAAACTATCACATATTTGCAACCTTAAAGATGATTAATTTTATTTTTCGTTGTTAATTACTGTTTTAAATTACTGTTACCTAAAAACTAAAAATATTAAGATGTTCAGTAAACGGAATCGCTGAATCAGCTGTTAGGCAGCTGTTCTAAGCAAATGTAACTTTTATAAATTTCAGCAATTCAATTTCAACTTTTTAATCGATGAAACCGAGAGTTACTTATCTTAATTCATTACAAAGCCATGTCAACTGTATAATATACTAGGATCGCAGCACGCATTATTTATATGAAATCAAATTAGTTTAACTACGCGGGTCATTTCTAACAACAACAAAATAAAAGAACACATGTGTTTGGGAACCAAAAATTTTCAAATAGTTTAGTTACGCGGGTCATTCCTTTAAATGTCTTTTAAATTTATGTTATATTTTTTAAGACCCGTTAAAACTGCTTAGTCGCTGTTCCCTAACGGTTATCGGTTACTGCTTACCAACTGATTACCGTGACTTCTAGTCACCGTGTGCATCAATTGTGCATCTCTGACAGAGTTGTACACTGCAATCGATAAATGATTGATTTGCTGCAATGCCGAATTGGCGGGAAGGGGGAAAATGTTGCTAATTTAAACAATTTTAAACCAAATTAATTATGACTTATTTTTTGTTGTTTTAATAGTTTCTGCCAACTTAATAAACTGCTTCGATAACATGGCGGCTATGACGTCACATGCCACATAGCAACCACAACAACAAAAGCACTTTGAACCGGCAAGAACCGCTAAAGGCGAAATATTTTGGCATTATTATTAAAAATTCTGTATTTTGGCATTGGCACGGGCCAAAATACACGCAATTAACATTCACACGCACACAAAGGAGCGAGAGAGAGAGCAATAAACACTCATAGTCATATGCTGAGAAAAAGAGAAATTCCGAGATATTCTACGATTCAATGTGGAGGTGAATTGTTATATTTTGTTATTAGTTCAGCGACGCCACTCGTCATCAGCCGTCACCCGTAAACGATGTCCGAAGATGCCAAGAGTGAGTGCATGCATAATGGTCTGGGTCTGGGATTGGTCGGATGAGATGCCCAGAAAAGACCACGGAACACAAAGAGCCCCATTCCATCATTCATTTTATATGCACATATGTAGGTCCAGGACCACGTACGCGGAACATCATCGAGAACCAGCTGTACCGCCGGCAGCGCAGCCTGAAATTGGAGGCACTGCAGCGCCAGCGGACCTTGGATTCCGGCGATGGCGTAGAGGGACTGGGCCCAGACCCGGAACCCTTCGACAAGGTCAGTTTTAAATGCATTCCAAGGTCCCTCTCATCGAAAGATCTTTCCCCAATGCTCTGCCCATATCCAAAACAGACGCACATCGTCATCATCTTCACGGAGAAGGCTAAGCTGCGACACTGCCAGGATGTGGAGAAGATCATCCAGGAGTTTGGCATCCAGACCACGCTGGAGATCGTGGGGTGAGCAAGCCTTTTTGAATAGATCCCACCAAAAAATCCCCTTTATCCCACTAAAACTGCCAAGAAAAAACCGAGACATTTGAATATTAAATCAACTCATTCAAGAGTAGTTTATATAACCAAAAAAAAAAAGTTTAAAAACATAATATTAAATTTAAAATTGAAGACAAGCAGTCCAAACATTCCAGTGAAACACTTAAATTTTATGAACTTTATCGGTTTAAAGCAGCTGTTTATAAACTGTTTCCAGTGAAACACTTAAATTTAATGAACTTTATCGGTTGTTGGATCAAAAGAAATTTTAAAACATAGAAAACAACAACTTATTTAAAAAATTAATTATATCATTTTTAACTCAATTTTTAATACAGGAAAAAATGTTCGTTTGTTTTACTGATCAATAAAAACCGAGACGATACTCTCAAATTATCAAACTAAACAAAGCCATCTTTATATAATCAAAAGTGCATTGTTTATAGATTAACAATTGTAAACAATTGTAGTTAAACAAATATTAAACATTTTTTTTTCAAATCAGGTCAATACCACTTCCAACTATAACTCATTAAAGAAAATATGTTTTAAATTTTATAAAATTTCATTATTGATTAAACGTAGAAATTAAATGTAATTTTCGTGGTTTCTTGGTTGTTTTGATTTTTCCCAGAAATGTAAAAGTATCCGTAAAAAGATTCAGATAGTTTTTGCGACTTGGCACATTGATTACTTTTTATGAATACATAGAAAATCACTTTTAAACTAACCCAATTAAATTTCATCCAGAAAAACCGAAAAGTACCTGTATCTGTCGGCCAGCGTGGATACGTTACTGCGCTTAGCTGATGCCGCCGAGCTGGAGAAGATGACCACCACGGACAGCATGCAGAAGTTCAACAACGGCTGCATCTCGGACTTCCTTCTGCCGGGCATGGGCAAGGATCAGATCCTGCGCTACTGCGAGATACCTGTCCTCATCAAGGACGTGATCCAGGACGGCATTAAGTCATACCTGCAAAAGGGCTACATCGAGGATTTGTTTCCCCTGCACGATATCGTGAGTTTTTGTTTTTAATTACAGGGGACATAAAGTGATATTATCCATCGATATATTTAGCTGTACCTGGAACGCTTCAATTGGGACCTGAAACGCACCAAGCTGCCCATAGAGGACATCCGGAACTACTTCGGCTCCAGCATAGGCCTTTACTTCGGCTTCATTGAGTTCTACACAAAGGCTTTGGTGTTCCCCTCTGTTTTCGGTATACTTCAATGCCTATTCGATCTGAATATCTCGCTGGTGTGCAGCTTCTATGTGATATGGACCACGGTGAGTTCATTTGATGAATCAAAAAGGTGACTAAGTAAACTTTGCCACATTGAAAGGAAATTGCGTTTACAGTTTATAAATCTTATATGTGACAGTCTAAATATAGCACCTTTTAAGTGCTCTCTTAAGTAGGAAACTTTTAAGTGCGATAATATAAATAGCTAAAACGTATTTTATGAATTTCAAAAATTAGTTTGTATCTTTCAACATAATTCCATTTAATACAATTTTATATTATTTATATTTTTTATTATTTAAAGCCACAGGAGTAGGAATATTTATATCTAGCCAATTCTTACAAAAAGCAGTTTTAATTTACATATTTGCCAAAATCATGGGCATAATTAAAATCAGCTAATTCCAGATATTCGAGTGCCAATTTTGAACAGAATAATTGAAATGGTTTATCTTATTGCATCAATCTACTTCTTAAATCTTTATACAACATTATATAATGCTTAAATATTTTCAGATTTTCCTGGAGCTGTGGAAGCGCAGGTGCGCCGGCTACTCATACCGATGGGGCACCATTGAGATGAGCAGCCTGGACAAACCGCGTTCCGCGTACACGGGCCAGATGAAACCGGATCCCATTACGGGAAAGATGACGCTACACTATCCGATGCGCTACACGTACCTGCAGATGTACTGCATCTCGTATCCGGTGGTCCTGGGATGCGTGGTGGCCGCCGGCTGGTTTGCCCTCTACCAGTTCCAGATCGAGGCTGAAGTGCTGGCGGATTTCGGACCGGATTCCTGGCTCTTGTACATCCCAGTCATCGTGCAATCCGTGCTAATTGCGATCTTCTCGTGGGCGTACGAGAAGCTGGCCACATTCCTCACCAACCTAGAGAACCATCGCACGCGGTCGCAGTACGATCGTCATCGGGTCAACAAGCTGATGCTCTTCGAGATCGTCAATAACTTCTTCTCGCAGTTCTACATTGCCTTTGTGCTGCAGGATCTGCGCCAGCTGAAGTACCAGTTGATGATGCAGCTGCTGGTCTTCCAATTGCTGTGCATCGCACAGGAAATAGGCATACCGCTGCTGGCGGTGCTGCGCCAGAAATACGTCGAGTTCCGTCATCGCGAGGTGGCAGAGGAGAAGCTGCGTTCCATTAGCGATCTGCCGCGCTACGAGCAGTCCTTCTACGAGTCCGGACTAGATGAATACCATTCCACGTACGAGGACTACCTGCAGGTGTGCATCCAGTTCGGCTACGTGGTCCTCTTCGCCGCTGTTGCCCCGTTTGCCGCCATTGGAGCTCTGCTGAACAACGTCTTCGCCGTGCACATTGACATGTGGAAGCTGTGCAACATCTTCAAGCGGCCGTTTGCGAGGCGGGCCAAGAACATCGGCGCCTGGCAGCTGGCCTTTGAGCTGCTCTCTGTGATGTCGCTGCTCAGCAACTGCGGACTCCTCTTCCTCCAGCCGAATGTCAAGTGAGCAATGGCTTTTTGAAAAGAAAAAATAACAACTAATAACCCTCCGTTTCCTTCTTCCCTCAAGGGACTTCTTCTCTCACTGGCTGCCCTCGGTGCCGGACCTTTCGTTTGTGATCTTCGAGCACTTGCTGCTGGGCCTCAAGTTCCTCATCCACAAGGTCATCCACGAACGACCGCGTTGGGTGCGCATCGGGCTGCTAAAGGCCGACTACGAAACCAGCCAGGCTCTCAAGCAACTCAAGTGGGTTTCAACACTCTCTACTGGAAACAAAAATTCACCAAAGACTCCTATGTTTTGCAGAAAATTCAAGGCGGAGGCCAATAAGATGGCCTGAGGGGCTATTGAATCGCCGGATCTCCCACTCCTTTTGGTGCTAATCAAACCAGTCCATTTTAAAAATGATTATTTATAAAGATACGACTAAGCGCTTTTACTGTGAATGTTCGAGACCATCGGAAGAAAGGTGCCTTAAGCCTAAAACTCATAAATATATATGTCCACGAATAACTTAAGATTAAGACTTTTGTCTGGCCGGGATTAGCGCGCTCCTCGAAAGTGCCGGAATGCCAAGTAGGCATCCAGAGCATGCAAAATGCCCGCCGCATAGCCCATGTACTGAAAGTTATGCATTATTGCTGTAGACTTCCATTATTTTCTTTGTATTTTCTGTCACTCACATAGCAGGCAGTCATGGCTGGATATGCCCAGAATCCGGGACGCACCAGGAACTGTGGATGCAGCCAAACCACGCAGGCGAATCCCATGTAACTCGCCGAACTGAAGTACATGCAGCTGGCGAGGCCGTTAAACAATGTCTCCTGAAATCATACGAAAGGCAACAAATTCATTGGATTAGAAACTTCTTGGTAGCTTACAAATTAATAATGTTCAAAGTTTCCATTTATGTGTATTCAAAAACAATAGTTTTCTGGCAGGAACCAACCTATACTTATAGTCTGGAGATTTTTTGTCAATAATAAAAATCACTTTAAATTTACATAATAAAAATATGTGCCTAACTATATTTTTCCCATGCAGAGTAGATAAACATTTTTACGAAAATACATTATTAACTAAAACCATTAACTTTGTTAAGTGTGATAATATCAAGAATATTTTAAAAAAAATGTATAGTTGGTCAACTAAAAAATATTTATTTTAAAGTATTGGAAGGGATTTTGTTAAGTTTGAAATTGTGAGAGTTAAATTTGGCTTGGATTCTTTGGTCTGTATTTATTTGGAGTTTTTCAGCTACTCACAAAGAGGGACTGGCGGATGAGGCTGTAGGATTTGTCGGAGAATGCGTAGCACAGCAGCAGGATGCCGGTGGTGGTGAAGCAGTGACCCGTGGTGGCCAGGAAGCTGGTCAGCGCCTGGCCAATGGAGTCTGCATAGGGCACCCCGTACCGGATGAGCAGTCCCTCGCAGAGCATGGCCAGGCCCAGCTGCATCAGCTTGAGGAGCCCGATCCGCGACAGAACGAACCCAAAGTTGATGCAGGTGCACACGCGGCAGCAGCAGATCCGGATGCCCAACGGCTGGCCCATTCCCCGAACTCCAAACGAGGCCATGGTCTGATTGCAACTGATTCAGATCCAGATGCAGATGCAGATGCCGCGACTCCGCTTTGTTAAGGACACCTATGAGGTTCTATAAATAACTGACGAGACATGTGTGCCCCAAGCGGCGCATTTCGCTGCATTTCGAGTGGTGTTTGCACCTAATCCTCCCCAATCTGAAGTTAAATTTAGATCGGCTATGATTCTGTCTGCTGAATGTTTACTGTTTATTTGTTAAAATATTTCGTTTTGTTACATGTTGTAAAATTGGTATGTTAATTACAGAAGCCTTGAATAATTAAAAAGAAAGAGACTATGATCATATCTTTATTTAAAATGAATAATATAAGATATTATATTTATATATATTTTTTTAGTATATATATTTATGTAGTTTCAAAGTTATTTTTTTAGTTTTCTAAAATTCTGCAGTGCTAAGAAACATTTAAGGGAAAAAATTCCCCTTTCAAATTAAATGGTTTTTGGCTGTTTCATAAAAACTAATATAAATACGAATTTAAATATAGATCTGAAGTGTGTCTAGAACAAAGGTCGGAGTCTAAATCATAATAATTAAAGTCAGGGGGTTCCCTAAAACGAATGGAATAATTGTATATTAAATGTGGATGAAGTGTGTTGTGTTTTTAAATTTATTTTAATTTTATTCACATACTCCATGAGATGACTGTCATGCCAGGTGTCAGTTTCTCCATTCGAAGCCAATCAAAAAGTCATAGCAAAATTTCAGGCTTACACACAAAAACGTAGAGCATAATTCCCCAAAATTAATTGCCAGCCGGTAGCAACAGATCCTGCATCCCGTATCCTGTATCCAGTATCCTGTGACCTCTGACCTGTAGCCAAAGCCACCGCTTTCAGGATGTGCATGCCGTACCTGAACAAGCTCTTCGGCGGCGGCAACCGGAGGGAGCGACGCAACCAGAATGGAGGCATCACCCCGCTGCCCAGTTTGGCCAATGTGAACCAGCTCTCCGTGGACACGGTGCGCACCGCCAAGTCCGGCAAGTCGGGTAAATCGGGAAAGTCGGCCAGCCGGAGGAGCACCAATGCCAACCAGTCCAGTGAGAGCAGCTTGGAGTCCAATGCGGGGCAGTCCATGGCCGTTCGCAACACCTCCGCCTCGGCGGCCCCCAGTGTTGCACCCGTCGAGGAATCGAGGACACACCGATCCTGGTGGGGCTACCTCGGCATGAACAGGAACAAGAAGCCCAGCATTGATTCGCTCTAGAGCCCCCAATCTGCCGGAAATCGGATACGGATCGGATTCGGATTGGGCTCCCAAAGAAGAACTCTTCAACAGGATCGGTGCTGATCATCGAATTTGGGTTGGACTCTCGCTGAAACCAAGAAACCAATGAAGACATTCATTTTTCGGTAGTGAGATATTAGTTAATTAAAAATTTCCATCTATTGGATCTCTGGAACCCATCGAAGTTGGTATTCTGATTGTGGTGAAGTGGTTTTCTTAAATGGGAATTTATTTAATAGATTTATAATAAGGCCCAAGATCTCACCAACTTTAAAACCTTCAATGACTTTCTTCTTTAAACACTTAAGAATCGAATCTTAATAGTTTTACAATTTTAAGAAATAATTCCTTAATTTAATATTAATTATAATTATAATTATTTCGATATACACTCCTTAAGATCTACTTATACATGACTCCAATTTAAGGTAATAAAAGTTTGTAGTGTGATTTCTGAAATGTTTATAAACAACCGGTTTACTTTTGATATGAAACACTTCTGATATTTATACCCTTGCAGAGGGTATTATAATTTTGGTCAAAAGTGTGCAACGCAGTGAAGGAGACATCTCCGACCCTATAAAGTATATATATTCTTGATCAGGATCACCTCCTGAGTTGATATAGCCATGTCCGTCTGTCCGTCTGTCCGTCTGTCTGTTTCTACGCAAACTAGTCTCTCAGTTTTAAAGCTATCGAATTCAAACACCCTTCCTTCCTTTGCACGCAGTATATATGTCGGAACGGCCGGGATCGGCCGACTATATCCTATAGTTGCCATATAACTGATTGATCGGAAATGCCATAACTTTGGTGTTTGTAAAGTTAGGAAGTTGGAATTTTCTATGGGTTTTATATTTGGCCAATCAATCCGACCTACAAAATTTCATAAGGATCGGCCGACTATATCTTATAGCTGCCATATAACTGATTGATCGGAAATGCCATAACTTTGGTGTTTGTAAAGTTAGGAAGTTGGGATTTTCTATGGGTTTTATTTTTGGCCAATCAATCCGACCTACCAAAGTTCATAAGGATCGGCCGACTATATCTTATAGCTGCCATATAACTGAACGATTGGAAATGCTATAACTTTGGTGTTTTTAAAGTTAGGAAGTTGGGATTTTTTATAAGTATTAAGAACGCATCATATGAATAATTTTGGAGAATATAATTTACAGAGTATTCTGCAAGGGTATATCAACTTCGGCTCCGCCCGAAGTTAGCTTTCCTTTCTTGTTTTAGGTACATTTTAAGAATCAAATCTTAATAGTTTTACAATTTTAAGAAATAATTCTTTAATTTAATTTTAATTATAATTATAATTATTTCGATATACACTACTTAAGATCTACTTATACAGAACTCTAATTTAAAGTAATGAAAGTTTGTAGTGCGATTTCCGAGATGTTTATAAACAACCGGTTTACTTTTGATATGAAAAACTGATATTTTTAGGTACATTTGTTCTTCCCTTTATTATGCATTGTAGCGTTAAGTGAGTTACTGAGGCAGATAAACCCTAAAATATTAATGAAAATAATGAGGTAATAAATCAGGAGGGCTACTGCCAAGTACTTTCACTTTCCCGTTAAATCTTTTCGCCCCTGAGCTTTCTTTGTGCTTCCTTTATTCGCCGAGTTCTATACTCTGGGATATATACTCGGATCGGCTGCTGCTATAGCGGGTAAATCGTGTTGTGCCCGGGGAGGGGGCGTGGCAGGGGCGGCAGGCAAACAAAGCTCAAACGTCGCCAACCGCCAGCGATTAGTGTAATTTATCAGTCGCAACGGCAGTTTATTTACATACATACATATATAGCTAAGCGCGATCGGTGGGATAAATATATATGAACATAATATATATGTATGTGTGTATGGGGGTGGGGGTGCGGGGGCAGCGATTGCGGGGGTGGATGCTTTTTGACAATACAATTAATGTGGCTGTTATCACAAGTAATTGTTGCTGCCGGCAGTTGTTATTGTTGCTCTTACCGCTATTGTTGCCGCTTGCGTCAATGGGCAGCTACACTGCAATTAAATATATATATACACCACATCAAATATAATTTTATTTTATAAAATATTTAATTTACTTAAACAATTATTTTGCGTGTTGTTTTTAAGAAGGTTGCCTTTCCCAGCTAAATAATACTATTTTTTTACATTTCGATTCCAAGTTCCAAATCTCAAAAATGTGGTTTTTCAAATTAAAATTATTAAAATTCAACAAACTTTTCAGAATTTTATAAATAATATAAACTGTGTGATTAAAAACTAAAAAAAAATGTTAGAACACACAATTTACAAGATTTTTCTTTTACATTCATAAATTGTAATAATCCCAATAAATGTATGGTTCAATTATTTCCTGATATTCATTAATTCGAAAAAAAGTGTTAGCTTTAATTAATTTTAATTTAATTTAATAACTTTAATTTTGTATTATTGAAATGAAAAAAGGTAAAAATATATTTTATTGGTTCAAAAATGATAACCTTAGATTCTCTAAACAGAATATTGATAATTTGTTTTGTGTGTAGAATGGAAAAAAGATAGCTATAACGATGAAGCTCCAGAAATGTTGTAACAAGTGAAACCGTTCAGAAATTGCATAAATTGTTTGGCTTGAGCGGAATTTTGCAATCTGCAATTAGGAATTCGTCAATTTCGTCACGAATTTTGCACGTGCATAAATTAAGGGAGTTAGTTAATCGTTTGACTTCCATTTTGCGGCAAAATGTGGGATGAGAGGCATATTTCGTTTTGTCCGACTTTTCTGTTTTCCCTTTTTTCCGCCAAACAACGACGATCTCTGTACTCGTTCTCGTTTATTTTTAAAGTCAAGAATAAGAATAAAATATATGTGTTTCGAGATATATATCCACCGATCGGGTATAGAATGGGAAAGCTCTGGGCGGCTTTCATTGCGGCAAATGCCTCTGACGTCGCGACAACGCCGAAAAACAAAAAACAAAAAAACGAGCGAATAAATTAACAATTTCGTTTCGGCTGTAAATAATTCGCATCGTCGTGTTGCACTGAAAAATCGCTTGTAAATTGTTGTGTCATTAATTGAGCCAAAAGACAAAACAAACAAAAAGTCGACACAGTGCGCTGATTGTTGACTCCAATTAAAATTGCGACAAATTTTCAATTTTGTTTATTTCGGTTTCGGTGTTATTTCGGTCGCCTGACAATCTCTAAATTACATTTAAAACGTATCCAACAACGGCATCTAATTAAATCCAAATAAATTGCATACATCAGTCCCAGTCAATAATTCCAGTCGCCAAATCCGACATATATCCAAACATTTTGAGAGATCCAATCTGGCGAGGGAACCCAGAACAGGAAACAATTGGATTCGTCTGAGAAATCGGTATTTTTGATGGGAACCTTGGCTAAAATTTGAGAACACAAATGTGGGCTATACTATTTACTATTTACAAGGAATTTTGTTTGTGGGTGGCGAAAGAAACAATGATATACTACAAATGATACAAGAATAGCCCCAAAATGACGTCTTGAGGTTTAATTAGTCAAACTGCTGAAAATACGTATTTACTCGATGGGAATTTCCATTATTTACCAAGCAAAATTGTTTTTCTTTGGCTTTCTGGCTGATAAAATGTGGCTGTCTAGAGTTTAAGAAAGGTAAAACTAATAAAAAATAAACTCTTATTTCAACTTGTATGACTTATATTATATTGAAGGTATCAAACGTTTAATTTTATAAGCATTTCATTTGTTTTAAATGCCCCAAAATCTATAGTAATAAACAATGTCTATTAAAACCTGTATAAAATAATTTGAAAACCCCTTTACTTTTCTTAGCAGACATTTAAGTACTCACAGAAGTATTGTGATTAGGTGGAAATCGGAAAATACGTGGCTTTCTCAGAATAACCGACACGTAAGAGGCCCTTAGACATCCGTAAACTGTTTTTGTTGGCCAAACAAACCGCTTTTCCCCATTAAAAGCCAACTGCAGCTGCCAATTGGTCACAACAACTTGCAGGCAAATAGCAAATATTTCCCCAACTTAAAGTTCGATTTTTACGACCACCATTGTAATTGTTGATAAACAAGCAAGTGGACGAGCACACGCGACAACAAATGTTTTCTATATTATTTATTTTTTGTAAGCATTTTCAGTTTTTTGCTGAAACGCAAATTCATGTGACAACAACTCAAGATGAGGGCAATTTCTTGGGGCGAAAGCCGCAAACACAACGGCCTATCTGGGCCAAGTATCGGAGATAATGGCGGTCGTCTGGGCCCACTGATTGACTATTATATAGCTGGTCGATCCGACGCGATCCTGGTCTAGAAGTGGGCCTGCGATTGCGGTTTATTTATAGCAATTTGTTTGCCGTCCCCCGACGTCACTATCATTTGCTATTGTCATGATTTTTGGAAGTCTAAAAACGTATGGTCTGGGGATTTTCAAGCGAACGCTTATGTTTTAACAACATTGGTGCGTAAATCAAGTACACTCGAACTTATATGGGTTTTGAATTAGGTATGGGTAAAATAGATAAAGTTAATTTATAGAACCCTTCTGCACAATTAAAGCTAGAATTTAATTTCAATTAAAACATATAAACTATATAGCAACACTGCTTAATTTGTAACCTTAAAATCCTAAATAAAAGTTTAAAGCTTGAATTTATTTTCAATAAAAACTGTTTCCATAAAAAAATGAATAATTTTCACACTTGAAATTAACAATAAAATAAAGTAATAAATAAAGTATAAAATGTTTCTCACCGTGTACTATACACAGGAGATGAGTTGACAAATTGTGAACAAGTTCCCGAATTATATATTGATAGGGAAGTGCTAAATCACATGCCTCTTCCATGTTAATGGGCTATATCTTCTAAAACTTTTACCAAATCGGGAAAACCCCCAGAGTTCGATGACGATGCAATTTATAAGATATCCTTTGAGTTCCCTGATTAAATACAGTAACAAATACCCAGATTAGTTGTATAGGTTTGGAATCTTATCTTTAAAGAAAACACGACAGCACTTATAAGTCTAATAATTAAATATATGTTCTTGTCATAAAAATTAACTTAGTCATTGCTTTTTAATAGAAAATCAAATGGATTGATAAGAAGATTGTTTTATTATTGTTTAGATCCCAAAGTGATGGATTGCTTTTTAATAGAAAATCAAATGGATTAATAATAAGATTGTTTTATTATTGTTTAGATCCTAAAGTGATGGATTACAGATAGGATTATTAAGTGATATGATGGTGTTACTTTTCCTATATGTTATGTTCTCAAGTGGCCAAGATGGGTCCACATATATGGATGATTCACCTCCAGACGGATCCAAGTGGTTGAATCTCCCCATTTCTGGCTGAAAGTACCCATGTGGTTGGAAAACAGGGAACAGTTTGCCGGTCTGTCAACATGTGTCATTGCGAAAATACTTGTCGCCCACTTAAAGGCAAAATGGGCGGGGCCGCAGGTTTGCTGACACACAAACAGTTGGGGGCACAATTATATAATAACTTCCAGGTTAACTTAACAAAATAAGAATCGGTACTTACACTCAAAAGACAAAATTTTTTAAAAATGGCTAACATGTTGGAAATATTAACTTAAAAATAGGCCTAGTTCGTATTTGTTTTTTGCTTTTCAGGTTTAGGTTGGAAAATAATATGTACATATCAGAGTATTTGTAGATATTAAAATATTTTATATAACTGATAAAAAACTTAGAGTAATAAAAAAATGAAAATATATTAGACTTGGAGTAAGAAAATTATGATCAATTGCTGATTATTCACTAGGTAGATATTTAATATTTATCATGGGGTATTTCCCATTCTTAATTGTAAAATTAAATAATGAAATTAAGAGGTTGCAACAAAATAAAAATAAAAGTATAGAAAATACAATGGAAAACTATTACTTGGGTGATTATGAAATGCTTTCGGTTGTGTTATATATTTTACCAATTAGATCGGCATATTTTGAGACGCAGTTCTAACATTGTGACCGCTGCTGTGCGCACCCTTACAAGCGGTTACGTTGAAGTGTCTGTCGGAGGCGCCATGTACCACAAATTCCTTTCTCGTGTCTCGCGGGTTCGCGGGTCGTGTTCTATGCTGCCATTGCTTATCAGCTATACGCTATCGGCAAATCGATAAATCATGTCCCCAGGGGCCGGCGATCTTCGTTCGATCTTCCCCCACCTTGATCTACTGCCAGTGCTGTTCCATTCGTAACTGGCTTGATCGCTTTGATGGCATATTGCATATGGCATATGGCACATGGCATTGAGGCGCTGGCATCGCTTTCATTTGGCTACAATTTCAATTTCAATTCCATTGCGTTCGTTACATTTTAATTAGATTTAAGATCATTTTCGTATCGTCGGAGTGTAGACCCAGCTCAACTTGACAGAGATCCCGTCCCCGTGCTTCCGATCTCCTCCTCCTTTAACCCTCTGGCTCCTTAAAACGAGATATATAATAGTTGCATGTAAATGTTTCATTTACACAATGCATCAATTGCAAAATAGAACAGGAAAGAATGCAAGCCGAAGTTTATATACCCTTGTAGCTGTAGCAAAAATCAAATATTTTTGATTTTATGGGTATGTGTTTAATGAAAACTAAGCTTTGTTGACTTTCCGATTGATTTTTTGATCGTTCTTATGGCAGCTATTATAGTTATATTATTATATATTATATATTATAGTTTAAAAACTTAATTTAAAAATGTATGGTTATAAAAACAAAATTGACTGCTTTTGTAGAATCGCTTATACAATTAATACATTCGTTCGTATAACAAAAAATGCAAATCAATTCATTTTAATTAATGGTAATTGGATTAAGCGTGCTATGACAACAGTGCGTATTAGTGATAGACTTTTAAATATTTTCCAGTGGCATTTCATTTGTATGTACTCTTTATTTCGTTGTTTTTGGGACATGTAATCAAAGATTTAAAATAAATCAAAAATATAAATACATAGATGTGAAGGGATAACACTGCGTATGAGTAATTAAATAAGTTGTCAAATAACATGAAGCTTTTTGTATTCAATTTATATAGTTATCTATTATTATTATAAGTATTATTATTAATATAAATATATTATTATATTTACAAGTCGACTTAAGTCCTAATGTACATGTTGGTATATATATTGTATATTTTAGTTCTATAGGTGAACAAGGATATTTGTATACAAGTTGGTTAAATGTATATTTTTTAACAGATCCTTTAGGTTTAAGTCTGAATAGATCTATATGTCGTCTAGGATGTGGGCGATCTATACGGTATTAAATATATTTGTAAATTTTTTTTTAAATCCCCTAAAATTTAGTTATTTAATTACAATTTTACAATGTTTACCAATTACATGCTTCAATAAGAGAAATGCTCCCCAAAGTTAAGATGCAAATTCCACAAAATTGAATATTGGATTGAGCCTTTGATTTTGTCCAATAAACTGGGTTTTTTTATGGCCAACATAAGGTGCTTGGCCTGCAGAGGGTTAAGGCCCCTTCATCGTCGATCGCTCGACGTCGCCGCCGGCGTCGCAGTCGACGTCGCAGTCGCAGTCGCCGCTTTTGGCGCAATCGAAAGTTACGTTTGGGCTTTACGTAGAGCGCATTAGTCGAACGTCGAGTGTCGGCGGCGTTAGTTCAGCGTTTTAAACACACAAAATTCGATCACTCCATTATAGCCAAATACGAATCGCCCGCTTTGGCCACAAATCAGCAACGATACCTTGGAGATATTGTAAGTGAGAGGTTCTTACCTAATATTCGATGAACATCATCGACTTAGGCTCCAAAAACCAAGTGGTTCCCGTTCAACGAATTACCAATGTTAATCAATTGATTAGTGTGAATTTAGGTGGGAGTGCTAAAAGACAAGTTCTGAATTTATTTTAATGTGCAAATTTATGTGATTGCCGAATTTTAATGAGAAAATTTCACCGCCATGCTAATGCCATAATTTGTGCCATTAAATTGCAAATTGTTGCCACCACAAATGATTAAATTAATTAAATTATTAATGGCGCGGTGGCAAAATAACAAGTGAAGATGCGACTCTACATATATTATATAGTGTCGTAGAATGTATGTACATATTAAACTAGCTGAAAATCGTGCTCGCATTTCTCCAGCGATTTCGCATGCAATCCCCGCTTTTCACTGCCCATTCCTTCCGGTCCATGTCGCAAAATCACAATCAAAGTGTAAGACACGGAAAGAAATTAACCACGAAAATTGGTTTAATTTTTTATAATTTAATTGTTGTAATTTAAACAAATTAAATTTTAAATAATAAGGGCACCATTTGCATTTGACAACGAACAGCAGCATCATTATAATAATTAACACACATCATGTGGACTTTATTCTAAAAAAGACTATAAATATTTAAATTTACTTTCTTTTTTTATTTTCTGAATTATTGTCATTACTTAAATTGGCCTAGAAACCTTTTTTAACATTAGAATTTATGTCTACCTTTATTTTTTTACAATTTAATAAACTAAGGTTTAAGATAAGATTCTAAGTTTGAATAACAAATATTTAAATTAATGTGGAAAACATTTTAAAATAATATTTTATTTTTCTTCTGGAATTGAATAATAAACTATAATCGACAAAAAATAGTTTCCTATTTAAGATTTTATTTTGAGTGTACCTTTTTGCATTTCCAGCCCTCTTTATATTGCTAGTTTTCGATAGTTATTCGATTCGAATGCAAATCATGTGGGGACCTAATAAAAAACAAATACATTCTGTGCTAATCAGTCGCGCCTTTAAATTCCAATCATGAACCAATCAATCTCCCTTTTTTGGGCCTCCGAATCGAAGAAACCGCCAAATAATTGGTGACGACTGGAGATATTCCCCATTTAACAGCTACTATTGGCAATAAAAGGGTTTTTATGGCTATCTTATTCCCAAATAATTTCCACACTTGTACTAAGACACGTTTTTCTTTGGTTTTTCGGCGTATCGTGAATTCGACTAATTGCCAAACGTGACAGATAAAATTCCTGTCCAATTTGGAGATATCACCAGTTACAGACGTACTTCTTCAAAACCGAGTTATGTATTCCCTCGGGGAAGTTGAAATACTATTTCTATAAATATCGATGAGTCTTAAACGAACTAAGCCAACATGTAGTAAATACCTTTGTGTTCTACTTGTTACACATCGAGCTTAAAAACTATACAAAACTATACTTCCGCACTTGGTAAGATGTTTTATTTTTAGGGGAAACTAGTTTTTAAATTTATTTATAAAGTGTTTGTACAGCTTTTAAGTGGTGAATGGCTGTTTTTAGCAAAACACCCTAGCTTCCGACTCATAGGAAGATGCAAAGGCAATAGGAGTACAAAATATGTTATTTTTCAATCGTATATTAAAGTTACTTAACATTTCGGTGACACATTTATGCACCTTTAAATATGTTTCCTAATGAGAAACTTGGTTTATTCATTTAGTTAAAATTCACTCAAACCTAAGATAGTAATGTAAGTATCGAGAAATATATATATATAAATATAAGGAAGTCTTACTGCTTCGCCAGCTAGTTAGTGACTTGTCAGTCACAATTAACTGAAGAATAATGTTTTGCGGTTAAAGCTGCGCCGCCGAAAATCGTCTGTAAACAATAAAATCAAATTAATTATGGCCAAATAAATCACTGACATCTCAACTCGAGCAGAATTATTGCCCTCTCCTCTGCTCGCTGATAAGCGACATCGCTTAGCTGCGCTCCAGCCAATTAATAAGCGACGTGGGCAGAGGCGCTGGCAGAGACGCTGGCAGAGGCGGTAGCCGAGGCAGCGGCGGCGGCAGAGGCGATTGGCCAACAACAGTGCGATGTCGAAGCGGTGAAGTCGAGCGTCGGCGTCTGCGGTTGCTGCAACTGGGCCAGTACGGTCGAAATTCCATAATTCCGACTCTCCAAGTCCAACTTTCAATACTCGAATTTCCATAAAAATGTTGTTAATTACTTGAGAAAGACGAAAACTATGTTTTTAAACATTCCTCTCCCAAAGTATACCAAATATTACAGCATATACAGAGCACTAAAAATTCAAAAATGTTAACTTTCGGTTCGAATTTTGAATATTCAAAATTCCATAACTTTTAACAACTTTTTTTAATACTCGAAATTCCCTAATTTAAATCAAAACGAAATAACCTTTTATTTTAAATACTTTTAAAGGCTAAATAAAGTTTTAGTTCCAAACATTCAAAGTTAAACTTTCAATACTGGAAAACTTTCAATTTTGAAATTTCGAGATTGAATTCGAATTGATACTTTTATAATTAATTGAAAAATCATGTAAAACATTCGGTATATGATGTTTTCAAATATGCCTTATTCTCTTAAGTTTAAAAAATAAAGGAGCATCTTTTTTTAAAATCTACGTGAAACCTCGAAAATGTCATAATTTTAGCCTTAGAAATCGAACTTTTAATAAAGGCCATTTTTTTTAACACACAATAAACTTTAAAATTCCCAGTAGGATTTATGTATAAGTTAAAAGCCCAAAGATAATTCTAGCTTACAAGTTGCACATGATATAAGGTCCCGATTTATTGAGGTTCCACTGTATTTCGTTAGATTAATTTGTATTTGATAGCTGCAGTTAGCTAACTGCATTTACACAGATGTTTCACGGCCTCCTCTTGTTTTTCCTCAACGTTTACACTGCAAAAAAACATGATATCTTGGAGCTCATATAACTTGGACTTTTTGCAACATGATAGTTGTAGTATTAATCTCATAGTTCGTCGAAAATAAATTCCCTGAATACGGTATTTATTTAGTTATGGTTTTTATTCCAGAACATGGACCTGAAAATGGAGCTGGGAGGTTACGTGCAATCCGCGCCCAACACGAAGCGGTTCGTTGTGGAGGACTCGAGTGAGTGATCTTGATCTGATCTTGGGGGGTTCCCCCTTCTTCCGGTTTAGAAAGCGCGGAAATGCGTCGGCGTCGTCGTCGGCAGTTAATTAAACCTGCTGCCGCCGCTCCACTCCACGCATTTTGAATGGGATCAGATCGGATTCCGATCAAGTTGAAGTTCAACGGCTATTGTCCCTGAAACGCCAAAACATCGTCAAACTGCACTCCAAAATACAAATTGTGCTGATTCCCCAGAATATTTAAAAAATGGTTTGCATAAAGACAATCAAATTTAATACGTTTTTGAAATGTTGTTTTATAAACTATATAACACATGAATATGAGATTCCTTAAACGCTTTTCCATATTTTTTGCATAAACAACATTGTGATAGAATAACACTAAAACAATTCTCAAAAATCAAAATCAGAAGGAATATAAAAATGTTAGGCAAAATGTTTGCTTATAAACAATGTTTCTAACGTTTTTTAGTTAACTTTCTGCACTTGATAACAAACGGCCTTAACGTAAAGCGCGGAGAAGTTAAAAGGCAAACTATTTAAACATATATTTTCAGTGTTTGCGTTAGCTTTACAGGTTGACCTTGGTAAATTTACATTTCACACCTGCCAAATTGGAGCAGCCCAATCACTCATTCGCTCACCTGTCGCTTTCCCTCTTCCCTCCGTTTCGCAGTTACCAAGGTGACCTCCGATGGAGAGCCGCACGGAATGATGACAATGGTGGCCGGATTGTCCGGACTCTTGGCGGCCATCATCATCCTGGCCGTGCTCGTCTCCATGGTGGCCTGTCGCAAGCAGCGGAGGTAAGGATATATTAGAAATCAATATTTAATTGGTTTATTTTCCTGCAAACTACGTTAGTTCTAAAATAAAATTAGATATTTTACATACAATATATATAAGGATATATTTTATCTAGAAAAGAGTTTATTAGACATTTTGAAAATTTGGCAATTGAAAAGTATACTGTAAACAGTATTTAAAAAATATTTAAAAATACCACAATTTAAAAAAAAAATTATTTAAATATTTGATTTTAAGACGAATTGTCTGATTTCTATGACATAATTATTTTGTGTTATCTATCACAAGAAATATTGTTGGCTTATTGGAAGGAAAACAAACGATATAATAATTTAAAAAAAGGATTACTAAAAACAAATACTTTTTTCCCCAAAGCAACACGAACCGGAAGAGCAACGCCTCCACCAATGTGGCCATGACCAGTGTTCCCCAGGATCAGCCGCAGTTGGCCGGGAATTTGAACGCCGCGTTTGCGGAGAGCACTCTGACCTTGGACCAGGACAAGGTCAAGGACAAGGAGGCCCAGTGGCGGCCCACTTCCGTGGTGGTGCAGCGGTATTAGCTCCGAAGGCTATCCCCAACCTCCAACTACTGGATGGGCACGTGATGTTTTTTTGTGAACGTTTGAGACTGAGACTTAGCCTAAGGATTTCCATCATCATCTTTTATCACATATGGTACTTTTTTTTGCTTGTTGAAATATTTTAAAATACATATGTATATATATTATTATAAGAATAGGATGCTTTTAATGGAGGTGGAAATATTTAAAATAGTCCAAAGTTAGAAGTTTTGCCAGCTCGAGATCAATCGACAGATTAAACCAGCTAGAACCAGTTGGGAATTATAGCGTCGCCTAATTTCGGCCCCGTAAAAAGTGGAATATATATACCTTAATGGTATTTCTAATTCGTCTGCTGGATCAACACATCGCGTTCTGATTTGATGCTTACACCTTCCACTCCCCCTTTTGTTACCCTCGCTATCTCTAATAGTTTTCTGAAGATGATGGCTTGGTAATTTTAAATCTCGTTTTAAATAACAAAATTTCCTTTTCAAAATTTCGATTTTTAATCGAAACTATCGATCCATACGCTAATTGGTTTGTATATTCGCTGACTTGAGAGAGTGACGGGAAAATAAATTTTTATCAACGTTTCCAACCCTTAGGTTGCGACACCGCTAATCCCACATCACGGTTTCCAGTCACACCACTCGGTGTAATTTAGCGCCAACAGCACGGTATTCCCGAACGTTCTCGGAACGGTCACACTGCTAGTCGCGTGTTCGCACACAAATCGCAATTTCGCTGTCGTTTTTGAGCCAAATATAATAAAAAAAGGCAAGAGACAATCGCACTGTTGGCTTTTTGTTCTCCTGAAATAATGCAAAGTTGCATTGCAATAATTGCACTCCACAAATTTCGGTAATAATTCGATTCTCGAAAGAACCAGTCGTTTGCGTGTGTGTGTGTGTGTCAGAGTGTCTCGCTGCGTGCGAATGTGTGTGCATAAAAAGGCATAGAGGCAAGGAGCGAAAGAGAAAGAGCGAGAAATAGCTTATAAGGATATATAGCAAAAGAGCGAGAGAGAGACGGGAGAAGAAGCAGCAGCGACGCCGACAACAACTGTAATTTTCCATTAATTTTTGGGCGGGTTTTGAGCTGCAAAAAAACAACTGTCATACTATAACTCTGCTTTTTTTTTATGGCCGACATGTGTATTTTGTGCACGTTTCGGTAAGTGCGTGTGTTTGTGTGTGTACGTATATTATGTATGATAAACTTGAAATACAACGCAATCGCAACGAGAACAAAACTCGTCAAGGTAAAACTGCAAAAAAAAAACCAGAAGAATTGTGTGTGAAAAATTCCAACGGAATTACGCGAGAAATCTACGCACGTGTGTGCGTGCAAGAGAGAGCGAGCGATTGAAGTAGTCTGCTTAATTGATTTTCGCTTAATTACTGCAGCGGTTGCATAAATTAAATGTTTACATTTGCCCGGCCAGTGCTGTAAAGTAGAGCCTTGTTTCGTTAGGTGGCAACCCTGCCGGTCTATCGAAAGCCGCTGTAATTAATTAATGAGGCTAATTTAAGCCCCTCATATTTTTGCCGGTTAAAACAATAAAAATCCTCCCTCTCTCCTCATTATCACCTCATCTCTCTCACGGGTGTCCACTTTAAGACGTTAACCAACACTGACCAGCATTAAGAAAGTGTTAATTTGCCTAAAATGTACAAGTACATGTGCGCAGTGTGTGCGTATGTGTGCGGGAGTTTTCCTCTGCCAAAATGCAACTTAATTTGTAAGGAAAATTCAGTGATCGAATGAAAATCGTATGTAACTCGTGTGTGTGTTTAGTGGAGCTTTAACATTGCTCTGCTTTGGCTCCTTTTTTTACGGTTATTTCCCTTTTTTTTTTTGCATAATCGAAGCCGCCTTTCGGTACATGTGCATGTGTGCTATCCCGCTCCCACTCCCACCCCCATACTACGGCCACCTGTACGCCCTTGCATACACACACACACACATAGTCAAACTAGAGTAGCTGTGAGTGTATTGGTGCGAGATATAATATCACTTTGGAAGTCATTTATTTAGTCTCGTGAGCGGTTTTTTTTTCCGCTTTTCACGTTTTTCGTATGTGAAAAACCTTTTTGTAGTGGCCCATTTTTGTTTTTCTTTTCTACCAGTGTGTGTGTCTACAAAAATTTTTGCGCTCTGAAAAACAATTTTCGCCTGGCGCCTTTAAAAACGCTTCAGCTGCAATTGGCTGCAAAAAGGAGAGGGAGAGAGAAAGAGAGAGGGGGAAAGTGGGAGCGAGAGAGAAAGAGAGAGAGAGGGGGAAAGTGGGAGCGAGAGAGGTAGGCATTTCTATTTGTAGAAAAGAGCGCATAATTTGCAATAGTTTGCCATTTACGCTTTCCATTCGATCGAAATGCATGCAAACGCCTTTTTGGACAACAACTACTACTTATTGTTATTTTCCCCCTCCTTTGTTTATTTATTCCCATCAGTTTAACCTATATATCGGTATCGCTATCAGTCCTTTGTCATTCAAGTAATGTATACAATTTTTATTGATCTTTCCGGAGGATAACTGCATATTAATAATAATAAAGGCTTGAAAAATCATTAAAATCATACATTTCGAATTGTCTTAAATGCTTTTTTTTTACGGGCATTCAAAACTACTTCATCTTTTTTAGTTGGCTATAAAGAAGATCACAAGTTGGCTAAATAGTTATTAAAACATCTAAAATAAAGCAAAGATAAAGTTGTTGCCGACAAATTTAATATGTTTGTATAAACGACATTTCTCATTTAAATATGTGCAACATTTTTAAATTCTTAAACCAGAGTGTTTAATGTCATACATCAGTTTAGAGAATTGACAATTATAGAAAACAATACAAAAGATCTAAATTCAATATGAAAAATGATCAAATAATGTACTATGTACTATAAGTGATAAAAAAAAATATAACGCATGGTAGTAGGCCAAAACATCAATTTAAAATTGATAATCATCAATGTTTTTCCATCTTAAAAAGACTGTAAGAAACCATTTAAACAAAAACCTAATCAATTTTCTATATTTTTTTTAAACACTTACAGCTTCTGAATGCTGAGAAACCCGAAGAGGTGAAATTCCAGCTACAAGGAGACGCTTACTCACTTCCCCTGTGGAACACACAGCCCACAGATCACATCAGATCTTTACAGAAGCATATATTTAATATAGAAAGGACGCAGAGGACAGCGGAGGAAGGACGAAGCGAAGGAGAAAGGCGCCCCCCTCGTTTCCCGCCCAGCCAACAGCCGTGTGAAACCGTCTTGAATGGATCCATTTGTTGGCTGGTTTCAGAAGGAACAGGAGGGACCATCGCTGCGCACATGGTTAAAGATTTGGGAGACGAATGCCCAGGAGATGGGCGCATTGCTTGATCAGCAGCTACAGCAGGCGACGACGACCAACGGCGGCATTAGCAGCAAAAACAATAGCAGCGCTAACAACAGCAGCAACTCCACCAACAATATTGGTAACAATTCAACGGGCAAATCCTACTTATCGCGACCCAACAGCTCTTTGAGTCGGGTGTTGAACTTCCGCGCGGATTCCCTAGAGATCCTGCAGCAGCAACTCAACGGAACATCGCAGCGCCACAGCATCAACACCACCACCAGCGGGAACAGCAGCAGCAACACCAGCACGTCGGCTGATTCAACAACGAATCGGGACAATAACTCACCCGCCAACAGCACCTCCACCAACGGACCCGGAGGAGCTCAAGGGACGGCAACAGGAGCTACCGGCACCGGCACCGTCACCGTTACCGGCACCAGCAGCCCGGCGACCACAGCGGCAACCACAACTGCGACCACGACCGGTCCAGCCACCAGTATGAGCGACACCAGCAACAACCCGCCACAGACAACGACCACGCCCGCCAGTCGCACGAACAGCATCTACTACAATCCGTCGCGCAAGAAACGGCCGGAGAACAAGGCCGGCGGGGCCCACTACTATATGAACAACCACATGGAGATGATCGCCAAGTACAAGGGCGAGCCGTGGCGCAAGGCCGACTATCCGTATGGCGAGGGCGTCATCGGGCTGCACGAGGAGATCGAGCACTTCTACCAGTACGTCCTGCCCACGCCCTGCGAACACGCCATCCGCAACGAGGTGGTCAAGCGCATCGAGGCCGTTGTCCATTCCATCTGGCCACAGGCGGTGGTCGAGATCTTTGGCTCCTTTCGCACCGGCCTCTTTTTGCCCACCTCCGATATTGATCTCGTTGTGCTAGGTGAGTACATTTTTAAGTTTCTGCTATTTGGCCGGCCAAAAGTAGCCAGAAAACTTTGAAATTGCATGTAATTATGCAGTTTAAAATCTGGTTATGGCATAATATTAAACAGGCCTTGTATTTCCTATAGCTTTTGTGCAGTTTCTCATCCCATTTTTATTTTGTATCCCTCAGGTTTGTGGGAGAAGCTACCGCTGCGCACGCTGGAATTCGAGCTGGTCAGCCGCGGCATCGCCGAGGCTTGCACAGTGCGCGTCCTGGACAAGGCATCCGTGCCGATCATTAAGCTGACGGACCGGGAAACGCAGGTGAAGGTAGACATATCGTTCAACATGCAGAGCGGCGTGCAGTCGGCGGAGCTTATTAAGAAGTTTAAGCGCGACTATCCAGTGCTGGGGAAGCTGGTGCTGGTGCTCAAACAGTTTCTACTGCTCCGCGATCTCAACGAGGTGTTCACGGGCGGCATTTCCTCCTACTCGCTGATCCTCATGTGCATCAGCTTCCTTCAGATGCATCCGCGTGGCATTTACCACGACACAGCCAATCTGGGGGTGCTCCTGCTCGAGTTCTTCGAACTGTACGGACGCCGGTTCAACTACATGAATATCGGCATCTCCATAAAGAACGGTGGCCGCTACATGCCCAAGGATGAGCTGCAGCGCGACATGGTCGATGGGCATCGGCCCTCGTTCCTGTGCATCGAGGATCCGCTGACGCCGGGCAACGATATCGGACGGAGCAGCTACGGCGTCTTCCAGGTGCAGCAGGCCTTCAAGTGTGCCTACCGCGTCCTCGCCCTCGCCGTCAGTCCGCTCAACCTCCTCGGGATCGATCCGCGCGTCAACTCCATACTGGGTAAGTGATTGCCAAACATTCCGGAAGAAACTAAAGAGCCAATAAAAAATAGGGCAAATATATTCACAAATGTTGATTATATCCATATTCATATTTCGCTTTAATTCCTTTAAAAATTAAACTAAAGCAACTTGATATACTTAAATGGTTTTAATATTCCGAATTCAATATTCACACGAATAATAAACGACTTAAAAACCAATCGCCGGCATCCCTTGGAATTTGTATTGTCCAACCAATACATTGTATGTGCTTTAATAGAGATTATTAGAAAACTCTGTAAATTATAATCAAAGATTATTTTAGTTGCCGGGATTGCTGAGAAATGTAAACCACTTCCGGCTCAGCTAATTTAACTGCCGACACATTACACAGAATCCGGTGATAACAGCTACATATATTGAATTTTGTGTACACGAGTTCGTGCCGATCGCTCTGGATTTGTAATGGGTTTCTTTGTTCCGCACCACAGGTCGGATCATCCACATCACTGACGACGTCATCGACTATCGCGAATGGATCCGCGAGAACTTCGAGCACCTGGTGGTGGTGGACCGCATCTCGCCGCTGCCCACTGCCGCTCCCGCTGCGTACGCCACCTCCAATGGGGCTCCCAAATATGTGATCATGCCCTCGGGCGCCGTTGTCCAGCAGCTGTACCACCATCCGGTGCAGGTGCCCACCGCTCACGGGCACAGCCATGCGCACGGCCACAGTCACGGCCACGCGCATCCCGGCGGCCACCTCGGCCAGCCGTATGTGACCGGGTCCGCCACATCCGCCGTGACAACAACGACGACGGTGGCGGTGGTGGGCGTGGGCGTGGCGACCGGCGGTGCCCAACAACAACAGCAGCAGCAACCGAATGCGTCGGCCCATTCCCACGCACAGCAGCAGTCGCAGAACCAATCGCAGTCGCGTCACAGACGTGGCAGCACCTCCTCGGGAGATGACTCCGAGGACAGCAAAGACTGCGATGTGGTAGAGACGACGTCGGGTGCCCAGGAGGTCATCGACATAACGCTGTCGCCACCGAATGGCCTGAGCTCCATGTCCATGCCGCTGCCGGTGCTCGCCGTTGGCATGGCCTCGTCGAGCAGTTGGAGCGGCAATGCCAATGGCAACGGTAGCGGGAACGGGAATGGCAACGGGAGCGGGAGCGGAAACGGAAACAGCAGCTCATCCACGGGCTCGTCGGTAATGCACACAATCCCCCGCCTTGAAACATGATGATTGGTGGTGGCCGGCTGCCTAATGCCCAGGCATCAGGTGGTCGGCTATGCTCCCATGCTGGCCGCAGTTGAGTCCCGGTTGTATTTGAAACCGAAAGCCCTAACAAAATTTCATCCAAAGACCTTGGGAGCAACTGCAGCCAGCATGACTAGAAGCAACAGCAGCAGCAAGCACACATGTATAACCTCTTCACCACCAAAACAGCCGGAAAACGCCCACATCGCTGCCCAGGAGATGGACCCAGAGCTGGAGGATCAGCAGCAGCAGCACCAGCACCCGGAGACATCCGGAAATAGTGGCACCACCGGAGGTGTCGGTGGGTCCGGATCGGGCACCGGCAGGGGAGGCGGCGGAGACGGCAGTGGTGGACGCAACTACAACCAGCGGGGCAACCACAATTCAAGCGGCTACTACCACCAGCAGTACTACGTGCCACCGCCGATGCAGCAGCAGCTGAGCAAGTCCAACTCGAACTCCTCCTCCTCCAATTATCACCAGCAGCACCATCACAGTCACAGCCATAGCAACCACAGTCACCGGCAGCAGCACCACCACCAGCAGCAGCACCACCAGCAGCGGCCGCAGCATCTGCGGCTGGGTGGCGGCAATCGCTACCAGAAGTCCGTGGGCGGATCGCCCACCATCAGTGCCGGCAATGCATCGAACAGCAGCAGCAACAGCAGCAACAGTAGCAGCAGCAGCGGCAGCAACAGCAATAGCAATAGCAACAACAACCGACTGCCGCCTCTGCGGGGCACGCTGGTGAACTCATCGTCGGCTATATCAATCATTTCCATATCCTCAGAGTCATCCATTGCCAGCAGCAGCTCCAGCTCGTCGAGATCTGGGCAGGATCAGCAGCAAAACGAGCGGGACGAGCGATAGGATTAGGGTATATGATCTATGATATAGGAAATAGGATATAGGATGAGATTGTGAATGAGAGAGAGAAAGAGATAGTTACGAGTTAGCAATATTTATGGATTATATTTCTTTCTCAGGTTAACTGCAAACTATGCTGCATTTTTCTAATTAATATCCCCAACTCCTCCCTTCCCTTCCTCCCACCATACACAATCCAAAAAAAAAATAATGGTTAGACTTTATTTTACATTGCTGTCTCGCTTAAACTAGAAGAGCGAAGGAAACCTACTAAGCTTAATATTAGGAACTTTGCCTCTGATTTCGCTAAACGTATTTCATTTTGTTTCTAAAATAAACATGAAAGCAAAATATATATATATATATATATATATATATATATAGATATATATTAGATAAAAAAGGTATAAATATAAATGTAAACTCATAATTAGATTTTAATGGTTTAAAAGAGCGATAAACTGAAGTATGAAATTAGCTGCTAACATATTTAAGGTCCGCGAACATATGTTTAAAAATCTCTCTAGAACTCCATGTTCCCATCCCCTATTACCCATTTTCACACGCATTACAACTTGTAAAGTACTTTGTAGTTTCTAAAATGCTCTACATTTTAAGCAAATGTTTTGTGAACTAAAAATCCCCCCATCCTGTTACCCCCCCCATCCCCAAAAAAAAGAACAAAACAACGGAAATCCTGCGCGCAATTCTTAAGATACTAATACTAAGTGAATTTGCGCGCTAACTGTAAAAAAAAGTAACATAACCAAAAGCTAAAAATCCCATCTCCCTAGAAACCCAAAAACGATACAAAAATGCGCCATCTCCCACGTAACTTCTGATAACTTTTTATTATTTCGAGTTAATTTTATGCCTGAAATGTAAATGTTTTTATTATTACCACTATTACGATTATGATGATTATTATTATTAGTTTTTATAACTATGCTTAAAGAATCGTAAGCCAACTAAAATTGTATGAACACATTGCCCAGACCCAAAGCAATTGTGTTTTAAAACAAAAGCAAACAAAAAAAAAACAAAACAAAAGAAACCAAAAACACAAAAACGACAAAAAAAAAAACAAACCTACAACAAGAAATCCATCTTTTTTTTATCCTTTTTAAGTTGAATTGATTATTATGATTATGCAATGTGCATTTTGCATAGATTCCTGCCATTTGTTTGTATAGTTCAGATTTCAGAAAGCTCTGTAAATACTTAGTTACCGCCCCTGTGACAACCACACCCCGCCCCACCCACCACACCCCCTTCTAAACGCACTGCCATTTTGAGAAAGGTTTTTAAAAAAAACGTCGAAAAGGAGCTAGCAGAAGAGTAGAAAAGAACATTTAGACTTTGTACATGTATAACATTTTAGGCTGTTCTTCTTTCCATTTGTAAGAGAAAACAAAGAAAGCAAAACAAAAAAAAAACCAAACATGAAAAAAACAAAAACCGAAATAATTGTAAAGCCACTCAAATAGTCTATGAATATGTTTGTCGATCGTTTTGTATGCGAGTCTTGAAAAGAGATCAACTTCGGATATGTAATACTAGGCAGCAATGTTTGAATTTTTATTTAAAAGTCCAACTTCTTTTTTTTGATCCATGTGAGATCGTAAATGACAGACAAACACTTATAAAATGTGCGTCAAATATTTTCTCAATATTAAAATATTGCATTTTTTAAAGGATGTCAGAATTTTTGAACGCCAGTTGTGGAAAAGATTTAAAATGATTATTAGTACACTATTATTTTGCGTCGTTATTTGTATTATTATTTTTTATTCAAATAACCTAAAGAAATAAGAACAAGTGTAAACATGCTTTCCAAGAACTATATAAGTTCTATAAGTTTTCCATTTATTAGTTTTTTTTTTAGTCATTTAAGGACCCTCAATGTTTTATGGAAAAGAGGTTTGGTACTTTATATACATAAACAATTTTTTTTTTCTGTTGCCTAGTGTGAATTAAGCGATGTCCAGTGTTGGCAAAGACCGAAGTGCTCTCTCCCTTTCGCACGATGACTCCTACAAGCTTGCAGCTGAGCTTTGAAGCCCACCTTACACACACTTTCTCGCTCACTCACATCACAATGACACACACACACACACACCACACAGGCGCATTAGCACTCACACGGCCACACCAACAGAGAGGGACACTTAACGGTAAAGTTAGCATAGAAAGTTGAAGAAAGCTAGGAGCAGTAAGTGAGAATGAGATAGCGATAGCAAAAGAGAGAGAGTAATGTATAAGAATTATTAAATTTATGCACTCGTCTGTTGAATATTTATATGAATTATATGTATGTAGTTACTAATATTAACTAATTGATAAATATACAATATTTATATGCATAACTTGTGGATTAATGTGGACAAACAAATGTTTAGAATTAGCGATCTAGCCACGTAAGACTCGAAAATCGTAAATCGACAACTACTTAGACTACATAACTGTGTACCAGAGCATAATTAAGCACTCCCACACACACAAAATACACCACTAAACACACAGACACCCACGCATAATCGCTATGAATGTTGAGGTTATGTCTTAGATTTTTCAATATCCGATCACTGTTCGCCTAGCATAGAAAGTAAGCCGAAGAACTAACTGTAAAACTAACTTATTTCTTTACTGGATTCCATGTGTCTCGTCCTTTCTCCTTCGTTTTCGTTTGCGTTATCGTTTCGATTTTTTATATTCCCAAAATCTTCTCCTATCCTTCCATAAAATGCATATGTCCTGTGTGCCGTTGTTGTTATATATACATTATACTCGAAAACATTTTTTGTCGTCGCGATATTAGTGGGTATTAATAAATTAAATTAAATTTAATTAACTACATTTAACGCAACTAAATTCAATTCAAGTGAATCAAATGAAACGATCGATACATGTATATGATAGAGTTCAATAGCTGTGTAAGAATCGGAATCGTAACAATTTAGTACGCAAAAATCGTAAATCTAACTGATTGTATAATTAGCGAAAAGAGAAAACGGAAGCGATAAGCAAAACGATGCGACAAATAAAAGCCGGCAAAAACTAAAACTTTGGAGTATTCAATGGGTGCATTGGCATATAAAGTCCGGCATTTTTTAAAATGGTTTTACAAGCCGAACTGTTATTTTGTAGCTTATAAGTGGAAGTGGGCTAGCATTAAACCGAACAACAATTATAATATTTAAATCCAAAATTTCTGTCTTAATGCTGGCATGCCCCAAAAAGTATGCAACATTTCCTAGCCCCGAAAGAAATGGTCGGTTTCGTCCAACATTTTTAAAAAAAAACTTTTTTGATTTGAATTAACTTTTTTTTAAAATTTTACCCTTCTAATTGAAAACCACTTAATGTAGGAGGACTTGAACGTTTTCTTCGTTTTTAACCTTTTTTGTTGTCGAATCTTATTAATAAATTATTTTAGAGGTTTTATTTAAGTTAACAAGCAAAGTTAAGTCTTTTATACTTTCCTGTTTTCTTGAGCGTAACTAAAATATTTACTATTAATTATCTTAACAAATTCGTTATTCGGGAAAATAATGAAATTAGATCCCTGGTGTTTCTGGAATTCCTGCGGCCACACGATGCCATTGATCCAGTCGACGAAGCTGGACACCCTGGTGTACACCGACGGCGGCCCACTGGCGCACCCCTGCCCCAGCGATGTGATGCCCACAATGTTTCCCCGCCGGCCGTCGTGCATGATCAGGGGTCCTCCGGAGTCGCCCTGGCACGTGTCCCGCTCGCCGGTAAGATCGCCGGCACACATCTGGGTGGACAGCACTCCCTGGGCCAGTTGGTCCACCTGGTAGTGCACCTGACACTCGTCGTTGCTGACGATCTTCAGCGGCACCTTCAGCAGCTGGGCGGAGGAGAGTCCGGCGAAGCTGGTCTGTCCATATCCGATGGCCGTCACCAGCGAGTTGGCCACCTCCTTCTCCGCCCACATGCAGATGGGCTTCAGCACCGGCTTTGCCGGGCTCTCCAGCTCCAGCAGGGCGATGTCGTTGTAGGCGGTGCTGGCATTGTATCCCGGGTGGACGATCACCCGCCGGATGGGCAGGTCCTCGCCCTCGGACAGGGTCAGGTTGTCGCCACCGAGGCGAACCTGGCTGGGCGGCTCACTGAAAGAGAACGAGAAAGGTCAAGGTGGACAAGAACGGAAGCAAACTGCGGCAAGCCGATGTTTATATACCCTAGCAGCTATTAAAAAAAAATATTCCATAAAACGGCTATATTCCGATTTGAATACGTATATGTTTAAATATTATAAAGCTAAGTCGATTTTTCATGTACATTTCTAGATCGTTTTAGGGCATCTATTAGATGTAGTCGTTCGATTTTAATAAACTTTAAACCGCAATTCTAAAATTATACATATAAATTATGTATATAATACAAAAATTCATGACCCACTACACACCCAGATAAATAGATATAAAATTTAGAAATTTACTCTGAAAGGCTCATTCAAGTCATTGTTAGCTCTAGAATGATTTAATATTAGAGGAATTATTGTTTCTAAGGGAGCCGTATGATAAAGGCTTCCAATCCTCTGATCCCACATATATACTATAGAAATAAATATTTTGGGAAAGATATAATAATTATAACTATTATCAACTTTTGAGCATTCAAATCAGCTTTTTAGCTTTTGTTCTAAAATTCCAAAGGGGTTTTCGATAATAATAAATAAAGTCACATAAAATACTGGCCAGCTTACCCGCCCAAGTCGACGCAGTGGGCCGCCGTCAAAACAAAGTTGTTGGAGATCAAAGCGCCGCCGCAGCGATAATAGATCTGCTGATCGAAGTTGGAACGCCAGCCGAGGGCCGCCATGAAGGGGAATTCCCGGTAACGGGTGGGTTTCCCGCCCACAACTTGTGTCTCCACGACATCGTTTAAATCATTGCAGGCTGTAAATACGAAAGGTTAGTCATGGATTACATCACGTCTTGTGTATTAAATTATTAAATTGTAGTGTTATTGAATTACTCGAGGTCATACGTTGGTTATATTTTAATTCCTTCTATAACACAACGATTTATTCCACTTAACTTTCATCACACTTACACTCCCTGGGGAGTGAACCCGACTATGATAGGACTAGCTAGTTTCGTCTGCACGTCACCTCAGACTCATCAGCTATCTACGGGGATGGAAGCAGAGCGTCAGAAACTCCCCAATGTTACGATCAGAGAAGCTTTTTGGCAATTGTGTGTTGCCAAAGTTCATTGGTTTTAACACAGGTAATTCAATAACACTACAATTATTGCTTACAAGGTCGATACAAAACCAACTTAAATTATTAAATTTATAGAAAACAAGGCAATCAGAATGGCTAACTTAAAAAATGTAGTTTATATTAATTATATGTTGCTCTTGCCTAAGGAGCTTTTTATATGTTTGAAATATAAGGACAATTTAAATATTCTTTTTTTTTTTTGTATTATTTGGTCAATACTGCAATATTTATAGATTATTGAATGTATTTTCCAAATATTCAAAAGATGGCCTGAACATTTTCGCTTAAAAAAATACATATATATTGAAAAAACGTGGTTAAAGCTTTTTAAATCTTTAGAATTATTTTAACTTATTTTATGTGGAGTTGAGTTATTGTTTAGGATTGAAAACGATATTCATCAACTTTTCAAATTTAAAAAATTTTATATAACAATTACAACATTTAAGCCCTGATTGAAGATATTTGTTTGATTAGAGTGATTGATTAGACCACTTACCCCACAGACTAGGTCGCATGAGCAGCATTGCTATGGGTGGTTTAATGGTGGTGATCTCCGGCAGCTCCTTCTCCGGTTCGCAGCACACGAAATGATCGAACCTCACGAAGAAGCAGGTCTTGGGGGCCTTCCGTCGCTCCAGCCATGCGTTCACCGCACTGGGACAATCCTCCATGCGCCGGCAAGTGCCCTTCGTCCTCGGGGGGTCGTCCAGGTGGCACTCATCGAAGGACTCCTTGGGGAAGATGATGCGGCGCTGCGACTGCGGACATATGGCGGGTGTTGCTTCCACTGCGGTGCAAAAAGTACCATTAGGTGCGAAATATACACATGTGCGTCACTACGATCTGGATAATCCCCGTGGAAGAGTTTCTCCGGAAATGGGTAAAAACATGATACATATTTGTTGATGGGTTTTTTTGATAGCTTTCTTCAGGAATAAATTTAAAACATTTTACTTCCAAACAACAGCAAATGACTTTAAGTGTTTTGGTACAACCTAATTTTACTAAACTATTAATACATCTTATAAATTTGTAAAGATTTCTATTAACAGTGTTGGAAAATCATAAGAAGGAAATATGGGATTTTGTTTAGCTATTGGTTTCAAATATTTCTGAAGAGTTTTAAAACAATACGATTCACCTCTGTTAATGGGCTTTCTATGAATGAACTTTTGGATTAGATCTTATTAATTAACAAAGTAAAGATGCAAAATTAACAGCAATCGAGAATGGCAATTGTTTAAATGTATTCATGTACACTTGTGAATTTTCAATTATTATAAACAAAAGTTGTTGAAATGTTAAATTGTATAAATACTACCACAGACAATTGCTTAATCACTTACTTTGTGTTGCAAATAGCTATCTATTAAAGAAATCCCAACAATATTTACCAAAACACATCGAATTTTGAACTTTCTAGGCTTTCTTTTCGTCGATTTTCCTGATTTTCAGGTAGATCTGCCATTCCTCTCACCTGCCAGCAGCGGGAGCAGCACCAGGAGATGGAGGAACACACGGGTGGGTGTGGAGGTGACCCTCTGGCTCCGACTCCGACTACTCATCCTCCGTTCTTGATCAGCGCCAGAAGCGGACTGCAGTGGGGTCAGCACGACGATCCAGATCTCAGATCTCAGATCGCACATAGCAGAGCAGAAACCAGCTGGGCAACTTCCAAGGGCCAATTAGCCAATAGCCAATAAACACATTGGGTATGGGTATATTCTCGGGAATTTCACCGGAAGGCCTATTTCATCACTATTGGTAATATTGCATCAGCCTCTAATAGTGCTGTGTCATGTTGTCGCTTTAAGAAATGGCGTTTTAGCGGGGCGACAGCGTAGTGTCGCTGTCGTCGAGTGTGATTCAGTGGTAAGCCCAGAAGGAAGAAGGGACGACGCAGTTAGTTGCGTTTAGGACTTGAGGTGTGCGAAACCGAAACTCGCTGCGCTACTACGATGTCGGACGAGAATAACCCTGCTGCAAAGAGTAAGAATCTATATAGAGGTTTCATTTGCTCTGCCCGCGCTCTCGAGTGACTTTGCCAGTGATGCCACATAGGGGATAAATTGAAAAAATCGAGCTTCATTCGAGCCCCATGGGGAATACTTATTGCTGCACTGATCGCTCTTATTCCTAAGGATTGGTGCGAGAACTCCCCATACTATTGCTTGTGCCTCGCACGTGTTGGGTTTGGTGAGAAACCGAAGTTAGCTTCGAACATGACTCTCAGCAGAGCTTTGGCAGAGGTGCGGGCAGAGCAAATGAAACCTTTATATAGATTCTTACTCTATGATCTGGCTTGCTACCTAGTGAATCATATGGGTAATGGAAAATTTGAATGGAAATGCAAAATAAAAATTTGATCGAGCTTATCAAAGCCGTAAAATCTGCGACACCGGAAACAACAAATAAAAAAACAATTGTGCTACCAAAATTCAACGCAGACCTTGATGCGCCATCGGAGTGGTGTTCTACGGTAAATATAATTTTGGCAGAAAAGGCAGTAAAAGGCAGCGCGTTGAGTGCATCGTTGGAAGTGTGGTGAACTTGGCCATTTTTCAACACATTGCAGTAAGAACAAAGTGGATAAATTCAAGGATACACACCAGATGAAAAGAGTGGAGCTATGCGAAGTTGTTGATCCCAAAGGAGAGTTTGTTCATCATGGTCAGACGTTTTTAACAAAATTCGACTCTGGAGCGGAATGTTCATTAATAAAACAAAAGATAAGTGTCAAATTAGTTGGTAAAAGAATTAACAATATAGTGATGTTAAAGGTTGTTTTGGACAATGAGTATTTGAAGAATGATATTATTATTGATCGAGAAGTACTGTACCCTGGATTTAATGTTATAATATCACCAGGAAAATTCGAAATTATTAGATAAAAAACTGTAAACTATTGTTCATATGATGAGAAATTGTGTGAATTAGATGCTGATCTTGTTGGGGAAAATAGAGATAAATTACAACATTTATTGGAAAATTATTCAAAATCTTTTATTAATGGAATTCCTTCGACTAGAGTTAGTTGGTGTGAAATGAAAATTAAATTAGTAGACCCAAGAAAAATTGTTCAAAGAAGACCATATAGGCTTAGCCCAAACGAAAGAGAATTGGTACGAGACAAGATTAATGAATTATTACAATGTAAAATTATAAGGCCAAGATGGCCTTACGCAAGTCCCATAATGTTGGTTTACAAAAAAGACGGCACTCATCGGAATCGTAACAATTTAGAACGCAAAAATCGTAAATCTAACTGATTGTATAATTAGCGAAAAGAGAAAACGGAAGCGATAAGCAAAACGATGCGACAAATAAAAGCCGGCAAAAACTAAAACTTTGGAGTAATTCAATGGGTGCATTGAGATATTAAGTCCGACATTTTTAAAATGGTTTTACAAGCCGAACAGTTATTTTTGAGCTTATAGGTGGCTAGCATTAAGCCGAACAACAATTATTATTTTTAAAATCCAAAATTTCTGTCTTAATTCTGGCATGCCCCAAAAAGTATGCAACATTTCCTAGCCCCGAAAGAAATGGTCTGTTTCGTCCCTGTAAAACTTTTTTTAAAAAAAACTTTTTTTCGATTTGAATTAACTTTTATTTAGAATTTTACCCTTGTAATTGAAAACTACCACTTAATGTAGGTGAACTTGAACGTTTTGGGCTCCGTCGCCTCGCAGACGTACAGCATCTGGATCTTGCAGTTGGCATCGTTGATCATTTCCCGCGTGGCGAACATGTGCACACAGTTCTCGTTCCCACCGTAGTTATCCGGCATTTGCTTGGGCCCGTTCCAGGGGGCATAGGTCATCGGGCGGCCGTTGCTCATCCAGTAGAAGGCGCCCTCGGTGCCCAGGTCGTTGCCCGATATCCAGAAGTAGTCGTTGTTCTTGAACCCCTTGGCCTTCATGTACTTGATCAGCGCCTCCATCTCCGGCTTGTCCTCGATGGAAGCCAGGTGGGCGTTCATCATCCGGCAGGCGCCGGCCGCCTGGAACCAGTTGACCTTGTTCATCGGCTCGATGAAGTAGTAGTTGTCCCCGATCCGCACGAACGGCGTGGTATCGATCTCAGAGGGAATGCCTGAAGTTGATTGCAAGTAATTGCCAATATACTAGCAGGTATATGACTTAAAAACTGCGTGTATCGAACATTTACAGACTGACCCTTAATTAATACCAATGTTTTAAGATTGTTTGTTTTTTGGGAATTAAATCAAATACAATCGGACTGGTCCTGCTTAAATCAGAGAATAAATCTAGTGATCGTTTCCTAACGCTTATATTTCTAACTTATGATTAATAAATATAAAAATGGTCGGATAAAAAGTTGTCTGAATAATATCAATTTAAAATATAAAAATTAAAAACTTGTAAAATTCCAGATACAGATTTTAAAGAAATGCAAAAAAGTCTATCGAAAAAAAAAGATTTTTGTTTTAGTAATATGTTCAACTTACCATTATAGACTTCTGTGCGGTAGTTGGTGAATATGTTTACATCGGGCAAATAGGCGAAGGAAGGACTCCAGGAGCTTGCCAGGATCAACAGGAGCGCTGTTGGACTGTACATATTCATGGGTGAGCGTCCAGATCTCAACTATCCGGCGTCCGCAGTTCTAGGCACTTATATCGCCCCCAACTCAAAAGTGTCTGCATTGCTGGACAACTGTTCCTCCGATGGAAAACAACTGAATCAGCCACATTAGATACCCGATCCACAACTGGTGAAAGGAAACACCCACAAAAGGCAAGTTTACCCAGACTTTTTGATGGTATAAATATTTTTTCTGTTTATTTGTTTATGTATAGAATGATGATTCGATAAGCTATTCATGATTATTGCTTTATTTAAATTGGAAATGTAACTAGTACTATTGTTTTCAAAATCTGTAAGGCACTGAGAATCAAAACATTAAATATAATAATAAAAACATTGCATCTTCATTTTTAACCTTTTTTTGTTGTCCAATCTAATTAATAAATTATTTTAGAGGTTTTTTTTTAAGTTAACACACATGCAAGCAAAGTAAAGTCTTGTATATTTTCCTGTTTTCTTGAGCGTTACTAAAATATTTACAATTAATTATCTTAAAAAATGCGTTTTTTTTCTTCCAATCTCCGATATATATATTGTCTAGCTTTTTTAAGGATTCAATTGAACCTTAAAATAAAGTTAAAGTATTTAAAATGTCTTCAAATTTGTAAGGTTTAACTTGTTCGGGGAATAAAATGAAATGTAATTGCTTGACTTTCTAGAAAATCCTTAAATATCTATCCTGTATCGTTCCATATCGAAACCAGTTCTCAGATCGCACCCCTCAGATCGAACTCGGGACTGGTCGTCCCAGCGGGTGGCTTCGGCTCCGTCTGAAATCCCTGCGGCCACACGATGCCCTCGATCCAGTCGACGAAGCTGGACACCCTGGTGTACACCGACGGCGGCCCACTGGCGCACCCCTGCCCCAGCGATGTGATGCCCACAATGTAGCCCAGCGGGCCGTCCTGCATGATCAGGGGTCCTCCGGAGTCGCCCTGGCACGTGTCCCGCTCGCCGGTAAGATCGCCGGCACACATCTGGGTGGCCAGCACTCCCTGGGCCAGTTGGTCCACCTGGTAGTGCACCTGGCACTCCTCGTTGCTGACGCTCTTCAGCGGCACCTTCAGCAGCTGGGCGGAGGAGAGTCCGGCGAAGCTGGTCTGTCCATATCCGATGGCCGTCACCAGCGAGTTGGCCACCTCCTTCTCCGTCCAAATGCAGGTCGGCTTCAGCTCCGGCTTGGCCGGGCTCTCCAGCTCCAGCAGGGCGATGTCGTTGTAGGCGGTGCTGGCATTGTATCCCGGGTGCACGATCACCCGCCGGATGGGCAGGTCCTCGCCCTCGGACAGGGTCAGGTTGTCGCCACCGAGGCGAACCTGGCTGGGCGGCTCACTGTAACAGAACGGAAAGTCATTGTTAGCTCTAGAATGATTTAATATTAGAGGAATTATTGTTTCTATGATAAAGGCTTCCGATCCTCTGATCCGACCTATTTACTATAGAAATAAATATTTTGGAAAAGTTTCATTCAAATAGTTTTAAGGGACTAGTTTGCGTATAAACGGGCAGACGGACGAACGGAAAATGGAGTTTTTAAAATCTTTTGTTTCATACAAATAAGGCAATACGTTTTGATTTTACAATATCCCAGAAACATTCTTATTACCTTATATGTATGTATACTATAATAATTAACATATCGATCGACTATTATTAACTTTTGAGCATTCAAATCAGTTCTTTGGCTTTTGTTCTAAAATTCCAAAGGGGTTTTCGGTAATAATAAATAAAGTCACATAATATACTGGGGATGGACAGCTTACCCGCCCAAGTCGACGCAGTGGGCCGCCGTCAAAACAAAGTTGTCGGTGATCAAAGCGCCGCCGCAGCGATAGTAGATCTGCTGATCGAAGTTGGAACGCCAGCCGAGGGCCGCCATGAAGGGGAATTCCCGGTAACGGGTGGGTTTCCCGCCCACAACCGAGACCACGAAGGTCAGATCGTTCTCCTTCACCAAGACGTTGTTGTTCGCATAGCAGGCTGTAAATACGGAAGGTTAGTCATGGATTACATCACATCGTGTTTGTTTGAGCATTTTTAATGGATTAAATTTATAGAAAACAAGGTAACTTAAAAAAAATGTTTGTGTACTTTCTAATTTAGTTTATATTAATTATATGTTGCTCTTGCCTAAGGCGTTTTTTATATGTTTGAAATATTAGGGCAATTAATTTTTTTTTTTTTTTATTTAGTTCAATACTGTAATATTTATAGATTATTGAATATATTTTCCAAATATTGCAAAAAAAATATATATATTGAATAATTTGGTATAAAGCTTTTTAGATCTATATAATTATGTTAACTTATTTTATGTGGAGTTGAGTTATTGCTTAGGATTGAAAACGATATTTATCAACTTTTCAAATTACAAAAATGGTATATAACAAATACAACTCTTCTCTGTTTGATGTTATTTGTTTGATGATTCTATCATTAGAGTGATTGAGTGGCATTGGATTAGACCACTTACCCTGCAGACTGGGTCGGGTGACCAGCGGTGCTATTAAGGGATTCCGGGTGGTGGGCAGTGTGGGCGGAGTGGGCGGTTCAATGGTGGTGATCTCCGGCAGCTTCTTCTCCGGTTCGCAGCACACGAAGTGTTCGAACCGCACGAAGAAGCAGGTCTTGGGGGCCTCCCGTCGCTCCAGCCATGCGTCCACCGCACTGGGACAATCCTCCATGCGCCGGCAAGTGCCCTTCGTCCTCGGGGGGTCGTCCAGGTGGCACTCATCGAAGGACTCCTTGGGGAAGATGATGCCGCGCTGCGACTGCGGACTTATGGCGGGTGTGGCTTCCACTGCGGTGCAAAAAAGTAACATTAGGTGCGAAATACACACATGTGCGTCACTGCGATCTGGATAATCCCCGTGGAAGAGTTTCTCCGGAAATGGGTAAAAACATGATACATCTTTGTTGATGGTTTTTTTTGATAGCTTTCTTCAGCAATAAATTTAAAACATTTCGTTTCCAAGGAACAACAAATGACTTTAAGTGTTTTGGTACAACCTAATTTTACTAAACTATTTATACATCTTATAAATTTGTAAAGATTTCTATTAACAGTGTTGGAAAATCATAAGAAGGAAATATGGGATTTTGTTTAGCTATTGGTTTCAAATTACCACAAGTTATTTCTTAAGAGTTTTAAAACAATACGATTCACCTCTGTTAATGGGCTTTCTATAAATATATTCACTGTTGAATTAGATCTTATTAATTAAAATAGTAAAGATGCAAAATTAACAGCAAAAGAGAATGGCAATTGTTTAAATGTATTCATGTACACTTGTGAATTTTCAATTATTATAAACAAAACTTGTTGATTATAAACATTTAAAATGTATAAATACTACCACAGACAATTGCTTAATCACTTACTTTGTGTTGCAAATAGCTATCTATTAAAGAAACCCCAACAATATTTACCAAAACACATCGAATTTTGAACTTTCTAGGCTTTCTTTTCGTCGATTTTCCTGATTTTCAGGTAGATCTGCCATTCCTCTCACCTGCCAGCAGCGGGAGTAGCACCAGGAGATGGAGGAACACACGGGTGGGTGTGGAGGTGGCCCTCTGACTCCGACTCCGACTACTCATCTTCCGTTCTTGATCAGCGCCAGAAGCGGACTGCAGTGGGGTCAGCACGACGATCCCAGATCTCAGATCTCAGATCGCTCATCGCTGAGCAGAAACCAGCCGGGCAACTTCCAAGTGCCAATTAGCCAAGAGCCAACAAACACACTGAGAAAACCTATTTAGTATTTCAATATCACATTGAAAATTGTTTTAAATATTAAAAGTAATTAAATACTTACAACACAAATGTGTTTATATTATTTGTTAAAAATCGTTCACATGTTTGCCAAAATTAATCAATCAATAAAAATTGTGTACCGATTATAAATAAAATATATTTATAAAATAGATTGTATTTTAACACTTTGTTAGCAATCAAAACTGGCTTTTAAAACTTAAATGTATAAATATGTATTTTTAAATATTAAAAAGCAGGCATTAGCTTAAAATGAAAAACATTAATTTTTTTTTGTCCATTTAATAATTTTTCAGTGTTGGATTATCAGTTTGAAATTGTGTTTGTTTCTGTACGGGGCACGCGCTCTTTCTCTGTGCCCCTCGAAAATTTAATAACAATATAAACAATCGCTGGCTTTTGTTCAATTCCGGAGCAGTATTATCTGTCCAGATGAGATGAGATGGGTCTTGACACTTCCACTTGTGTCAGACCATTTGGGCTTTTTTGATAGTAGCCAATACCGAAATAAAAACAATAAATGCAAAAACAACCGGTTCTCTTGCTTAATTTAATTGACTTATTCACTTCGCCTTGGCTCATTGAACCTGGATTATTTGCATTGTTTATTTTGTCAGTGTTGATTTAAGCAGCTTGAATGAATTCTGTTATTTTTTTATTATTAATTACTGTTGGTTTTTGTTGGATTTATTTTTAAATTAATTAATTGAGACAGCTTAAAGGCGCCAAAAAATAGTTGGGAGACAAATAAAATACGGTCACACTTGGCATCTGGTTGTGCAGCCCTCGTTTACAGTTACTTGCAACACGTTGGCAGCCTCAAAGCTGGTCCCCATTTTGAATTTAAGTTTTCATTTTCCGGAAAAGATGTCAAGCGGCCAGTTGGGAAAAACCAAGAACTCCACCTCGCCCGGTGGAGCTTCCTCCACCGCAAGCAAGGATCAAGAGATGTTCGTGGTGGAGAAGATCTGCGGCAAGCGCTTCCGACGCGGCCGTCCCCAAGTCCTAGTCAAATGGTTTGGGTTTCCGGAGAAGGACAACACCTGGGAGCCCCTGGAGGAGTTGGGCAGCTGCGCGGTCCTCCTGGCCGACTTTGAGGCAGAGAACTACAGGCTGAACCAGGAGAAGGAAAAGCAGAAGGAGCAGGCCTCGGCGTCCGTCGGCAAGAAGAAGTCCAAGGGGTCCAAGCAGCCAGCTGCGACTGCCAAGGGCAAGAAGCCGCAGGATGTGAAGCCACCGATTGGCGAAGCTGCAGCACCAAAGTTGAATTTAACGAATATCAATCCTTCATTTCTGAAGGGTGCCATCACACGGCGCATTTCAGTCCACATGCGCCTGATCGAGTCCGGTGACCAGAAGCCACCAGTAAGTGGGCCCACATCCGTTAAATTGGCAATGGAGCAGATCCATCAGTCTCCGACAACCATGGAGCAACCGAAGACCCAAGCTCCAAAACTCAAGGGCCAGGTGGACATGCTGCTAGAGGGGAAAGAAGAGACCGCAGTGCAGACAGGGAACCCGAAGCGCAGGAGCTCAGAGGCACGCTCTCCGGCGACTGAAGAAATAGACGTGGATGCCTGGAGGATGCCGCCGTGGGAGGGACCCTCCGGGGTGGAGCGCGGCCTGGAGCTGGAGAAGGTGCACCACTGCTTCAAGGTGCACGATCAGCTCTTTTTGTTCGTCACCTGGAAGGGATGCCCGACGATGGATGCCGTGCCCGTGGAGGACATCAAGCAGGCTTACCCCATGGCCCTAATTCAGTACTTCAGAACCTTGAAGCTACAGCTCGATTAAGGGTGTCAGGAACACTACCTTATATTTTTAATATTAATATTAATGTCAGGAATATTACCCTACAGGAAGGAAGAAACTAAAGAACAGACATGGCCATACATGAAGCTAAAAGCTGACCAAGGATGTCGGGAATAATATAATATTATTACGTCTGGACTATTGTTTTTATCTATGTTATGTTTTTATGCCAATCAATTACAGACCAATGTTTTTAATTTCTTACAATATGAACTGTGGTTTTTAAAATTAATTTTAGTACATACGCATGTATTACTTTCTTAAATGTTCAAATGTCTTCAAAGAAACCCGAAATAATAAAGTTCATAATTTAAACCGACAACCGAACTTTATTTTCTGATTATTAAATTTTTTCCCAAATAGAACAGAAATTAAACAAAAATAGGTGCATTTACGAGAGGTACATTAAATATGTTCGGAGACAGCATTTATTATTATTTAAAAACTGATAAATAATATCGAGATTTCCCGCCGATGTTAGTATGACCATCGTAGCCCGCAAAGCTTTCTGTTATTTCCCTTCAGCTGCCAAGGCGGTCTCACTGCGTAAGGCTTTTGGTATTTTTGGCCGCGCAACCGAAAGCCGAGTCTGGTCAGTCGAAAAGCGAAGTTTGAACGAAACGGACGCAGAAAGACGCATTTGGAAAGGGTATTGTCCATTATCCCCGTGTTTTGGTTTTGGTGTTGTTTTTGCCGGCGTTTTGGCGTAAGTGTACGCGCTCCTTTTCCCGCGCCCTTCGATTGCCACCCTTTTCGTAAGCGACGCGCGCACTAACGGTGAAAATATAGCCAGTGTGCAATTTTTATTAATATAAATAGCGCGTAATTCAATACACACACCTAGAAACTTTGTTCGCGGACGTGTGTTTTTTTATCTTCTTCTGTTCGGTTCGTCAGAATTCGTGTTTGCTTTTTGTTTTTGCAAGTGTAGAACAAAAAAATAAAAACTAATTGTTTTAAATTTGAATGGAGTGCGTGAGGGAGATGGCAATATTCGCTGATCAGCTGAAGGTGAACCAGTGTTATTGTTGTTGTTTTTGGCCTTATTTCAAGTGCAATCCTTTTATCTTTGTCTCTTTCTTCTATTGTCATTTAATGTAATGACGTCACTGAACCCGTTTCAGCGATCAGATGACTCAGGTGCACTGAAAGAAATGGGATCTTTTTGAGATCACTTAGAAATTGTCTATTAATAAGATTCCGAAATCAGTACTACAGGATTAACATTTAATGTTACTATGTTTTTAGACCTAATTAAATATTTGTTTGAATTGCGTCAGTAACATTTTAAAATAACTTGTACTTTACCGATCAATTTTTTTTTCTTGTATATACTCGATCTCTCACACCCTTTTTAAGCTCTGACGTCAGCTGAGCAATTTGAAATGCTCAAAACCGCTAAACAATTGATGACTACAACTTACAGCAAATAACAAGAGAGAAAAAAAAACAAGAACAAGGGCAAACAACAAACAGAGCAAATATCAATGTACGGGTTATCAGTTGATAGTGAAAAATTGCCCAACGCAACTCCCCCTTTTCCACCCACTCGCTGATAAGATATGATAAGATAAGCATTCTTTCCTCCGCGTGTTTCGCATTCTTTTTTTTCCACGTATTTTTTTTTTTTGCGCTGTGCATCAATCAGAATTCTGTGAAAAGTTGTTAACACACACGTTTTTTTTTAGAGCAGTGGAATAAACCAAGCACACCAGCAAGGAAAACATAAAACAAATTAAGCAAATAGAAGTGACCGAAAAGGAAAACCGGTTGCCAATCAAGTGGCAAACAAAACACGTCATTTTTTGCCGATCTAGCAACAGGTGAGTTTCAAATACAAAGTACCATGTGTAGAAATGTGGGTGGCAATGTTTGTTGTACTTTCACCTTTCCGGCGGCGTAATGAGGGTTATTTATAAACCACACTTGAAACCCAAGACACGGGCTTTGTTATTTTAGTTTGCCATTTTTGGGCATTTTGTAAAATATATTTTTCTTGCTTTCCATTGCCCGATAAGATTATGTTAACCAATTCAATTAGCCATAAATTAATTAGTTTTACTATAAGAAAGATAAGGAGGAAAAATCATGTTATTTTATGAACATATGCCAATTATCGAATTTTTCTTTAAATAATATTTAAAATGGTTTGCAGAGATACATATGTATAACTTACAATATTTAATTTAATAAGTTCTTTGCTTTTAAAAACTAATTAGCTATTTCTAACAAATCAAATTAGCCTCTCATTAAATTAGTCTTACTTAGAGCGAAATGTTTTTAGCTCTTCTTTTAATGTTTTAAAGTTGGGTGTTAATTTTTAAGATTCGAATTCTTTTCTATTATGTTTAAGTAAAACTTTTATTATGAACATTAAATGCTATTTGCAGATCAAAAAGTTTTCGCCTGAGAAAGAACTTGATATTCCGAAGAACTTGATATTCAAATTTCAATTCGTGCATAACCATTACGATTCGAGGGTATCATAAGCAATTTGCTGCCGTGATACATTTGAATTTCATTTTGAGCAATTTGAGCTGCGAGGCTAAGTGAGAATAACGATATTGACCTCCACGAAACTAACCGAACGATTACCCTTTATGCGTCTGGGGATTTGATATTTTTTGTGTGCATTTTGTACATTTTGTACTTCTTTGATAACATTATTTGCGTTCTTTGTAATTTACTGGGTTTATCTAAATCCATTTCCGCTTCCACGTATCGTTTGTCGCAGTTTATTGGCATTGCGCATTGTTTCTATTCCATTTGTCTGACCTGCATTTTCCCCCCTTTTTTTTCTGTATTTTGTTGTATGTCCGGTGTTCCAGTCGGTGGAAATTTGAACAACTTTTACGAGGCTAAAAACATTTGGTTAACAAAATGTATACAACAGGGGAGCACTGTGAAGAAACTGAAAAAAAGCGTGAGAGAAGTCTAAAAATGATCTCATTCTCGTTGGCTGTGCAGAAAATGTGTTGTTGCTTACTTTGCATAGTTTTTTTTTTTGCTTTTTATTTGCTTTTCGGCTTTTTGTTCCAGTTTATTGAGGCAATTTTGTTGCACATTTTTGTAAATTTTGAAAACAAATTGGGATTTAGGAAAATAAGGAGATTTACAAGGAAATCGAAGATGCGAATTTTTGCAGTTTCAATATGAATTTTCATAGCAAAATTACTTTTACAGTTTCCAATTACATTTTTATTAAACTCATTTTTCTACAAGTGTCGAGTTTTCGACAAGAATAATAATTCCAATAAAACATAGAACTTGTGCAATTAAAATAAGAACCAAATTAAAAGGAAAGGGTTGCTGAAGAAAAGAAAAGTTTATTTTTAAAAAAGATGTTAAATTATGATGTTAAATTAATATTAATCAAATCTCAAGAAAGTTTATAAAAAACTCAAATACTATACTATAGAAATTAGTAAAATTACTGTCAGATGAGCAAATTTCGTATGCCAGATCTAGAAATAAACAAAATGGTACACACTATTGGAAGAAATATCTGCTACACGAATTGTTTATTATTTTTAGTGTTATCAAGAAATGAATTACCACTTCGGCAGAGTGTTGGCCAGACACCTATTTTTTTGGGTAATATATAGCCAGTCGAGGCGAGACCATCTGCTGCCATTATAATTATCTGTTCGATATATATTTACAGTCGGTGTGTGGTTCATTCAACTTGGAACACCGCATCCTCCTCGTCCGATTCCCGGTCTCTTGGTCAATCGTCCGGCTCGGTATTTAAAAATAATTCCCAGTGCCTCTATTCCTCTTGTTTTGATTTCGGTTCTTCCACGACTACTTCCCCGATCTCGGGGCGACTTTAACATGGATGACATGGGGCGTGAGTGGGCTGCAACTGGTGTAAAGTGATATGGAGTTCAACCTCATTGTGTTTGCCGATAAACAAATGCAATTCGAGATGAGATGCGAATTTCACTCGTCTGTCAGTGCGTTTGGCGGCATATTTGAAAGTTGTTTTGCAATGCTAGAGCGGGGGGAATATGAATTTGTGTGGATGTGACCTGGATCTGGATGGATTTGCAGTTGGTTTTCAGCTGTTAATGAGTAGAGGGCTTGCATTCGACCGACCTCCCATATCTTATTTCTTTCAAAATTGAGTCATTTATCCATTGGCTGTGCATCGGTTTTAAAGTTTTATGTATTTTTTATGCTTTTTATACCCTTGCAGAGGGTATTATAATTTCAGTCAAAAGTTTGCAACGCAGTGAAGGAGACATTTCCGACCCTATAAAGTATATATATTCTTGATCAGCATCACCACGAGAGTCGATCTAGCCATGTCCGTCTGTCCGTCTGTCCGTCCGTCTGTCCGTCCGTCTGTCCGTCCGTCCGTTTCTACGCAAACTAGTCCCTCAGTTTTAAAGCTATCTGCTTGAAACTTTCCCAAAAGTTGTTTTTCTATTGCAGGTAGTATATAAGTCGGAACGAGCCGAATCGGGCGACTATATCATATAGCTGCCATATAACTGAACGATCGGAAAAGCCATAACTTTGGTGTTTGTAAAGTTAAGAAGTTGGGATTTTCTATGGGTTTTATTTTTGGCCAATCAATCCGACATACCGAATTTCATAAGGATCAGACGACTATATCCTATAGCCGCCATATAACTGATTGATCGGAAGTGCCATAACTTTGGTGTTTGTAAAGTTAAGAAGTTGGGATTTTCAATGGGTTTTATTTTTGGCCAATCAATCCGACATACAAAATTTCATAATGATCGGCCGACTATATCTTATAGCTGTCATATAACTGAACGATTGAAAATGCCATAACTTTGGTGTTTTTAAAATTAGGAAATTGGGACTTTTTATGAGTATTAAGAATGCATCAAATGAATAATTTTGAAGAATATAATTTACAAAATATTCTGCAAGGGTATATCAACTTCGGCTCCGTCCGAAGTTAGCTTTCCTTTCTTGTTAAATCTATTTTCGTGATACAGCCTCATTTTGATTCGTTAACTGCCATGTGGGTCACCTAATGACGCCTTAACCAGCCTCTAATCGGCGCTCCTTGAAGAACAGCGCATAGCAAACAAAGGCAACAGCACCCAACAATGACCCACTAAGGAACATTGCCCCCAAAACCGAAAGAAAAACCCCTTTGCCTTTGTCGAATGGGGTGGATTCCGAATCGGGGGGCCTTCACCATTTGTAAACTGCATTTTCGATGTGTGTTCCGTGGCCATAAAACTGTCCGACCATTGGCCATATTGCCAAGTTGCTCTAATTTATGGAGCACCACCCAAACCACCAACCACCATGGGCTTGGAAAGGGGGGGGGGGTGGTGCTCTGAACTTTGACCCGCTAATTCCAACAATATTGCCGGCTATTGTGTAACCAAAGGAAAGCCGACTTTTCTTTTCTTGCGTGTCCATATTTGAGTTTGCGTCCACTGTGAACACGGTCTTTACTTATTAACGATTGCACTTCTGCTGAAGCACTGAATACTGAGTAAGGGGTTGCTGGTGAAAATTGATTGGGAAATGCCATCTTGCGCACATTTAATCACTTTTAAACCTATTTTTATCCATATAATTATTGTGCGGATAGATTCTGCTGTGATATAGTCAGACTAGTAAACAGTTTATTCATAAATGGAGACAAAGCCAATCAAAGACCAATTTTCAAGATATTTTTAGAACCCTAATTTATCGATAATTAAAACTTTGCCACTGTGTTTTCGTTTTCCAAACATTTTTGAACCTTTTCCAAGCCCAATTCGATGATGATTTTATAGGGTATCCGTGAGTCGAATATCCAGTGGATCTCTGGGCAATATTTCATTCCGTGCACAAAGAAGATAAAAAGTTGGCGACCAGAAAATGGGGAAGTCGAAACGAAGATGGTCGTGCAGTTTGGTCATTCGAGGGCTGAGGAGGGGTTAATTGGAACCCACGCACTGCATCAAGTATTGATCCGCGGCTAATTGATCTAGTGATCCAATCATAGAATTCGAAATGAATGCCGATGGACGGGGCAAATGACGCATGCCACTTGTGATGAAACCCCAAATATGTTGCATCAACCGATTCGAAATTCAAGATTCGAGATTCAAGAGAGAACATTATTTTTTTGTCGCCCACACGAGAGACTCAATAAATAGTTGATGAGCCATCTGACGAAAGATTGTTCGAAGACAAATAAATCTTGCAATCTAAGTATATATATTTTTCCCATTTGCGCAATATTCTGGCAGTGAATCACTTGGTTGATTGGAAAATCCAGACAAACCGACGACAGGAAACATTTATTATTTAGCGATCTCTTGGAGAACGAATCAGCAAAACATAAAAAAGCTAATTCTGACTAATACCAAGAAGATGAACAAGTTTTAGTGGCGAAACAAAAGAAAACAAGATAAGACCCACTTATACAGAGTATTGAATTATATTCGTGATATCAAGTTCTCTTGCCCAAGCTCAGATTGTTTGCTTTGAAGGCCGGCTCCCGACTTCGCGACTTGTTTGCCGATTTAAATAATCACAAATGCCTTAAAAATTACGTCACAGGCGATTGAAACACACAAACTATAAATAAAGGGCTGACGTCACCGCAGTTTTGGACTCCTCGAGAAATCCCAACCTCAATAAGGTTCGCAAACCGCAAAACCAAACGAACTCAATTAACCGAAATGGAAAAACAAATTCAGTTGTCTAAACGCTATTCAAATATGCTAATTCTGATTGAGTTTGTATTCAAATTCGATTGACAATTAAAGTTCACGGCAAGAATGAATAATTCAATTTGTTAGAGGTCTCACAAAGTTTTTTTATAAAACCGGGATCGAAATTATTGGATCCAAAACGAGTGAAAGAGGTTAAGAAATACTAAAGTAATTCGTAAGCTAGAGTAAACAAACGAAAAAAAAACTAAAGCTATTTTTTCAAATTAAAAAAAAAAATAAAAAATCTTTTTTTTTTTTGAATTATTAAATAAAAATCATATTTGCAAAGAAGAATCTAGATATAAATGAAAACTTGGGGATCCCTAGTCTTTTTCTAAAAATCGAATAAGCTAAGCCCTGCCATATTTTGTTAATTTTTTTTTGAGGAACATAATGCTTTGCCAAAAACAAGGCTACAAGAATTTCTAAATTGTTTTATAAACAATCGAGAGCGATTCACTGCCAGACAATTGAGGCATTATGGAGGCAGGGTGAAAAATAAGTTCCGAATAACCTTGACATGAAACGAAATTATGAAAATGTCCAGAGATGTTGGGCCAATCAAGTATATTTAGAGCTCGGTGGGGCAAGATGCAGACATCTCTATTCGCATTGCTTAATCGGGCAGAACAGATGGGACGGTGGGCCCTACAGTGGAGCCTCTTTATAAATAGTATATCTCCTCCGCCCATATATTATATCTTCTTATCCAGCGACGCAGGCAAATGCAGTTGATTGTCAATTAACCATTAAATCAACAAAGTTCGATCCCATCACGTTTTCCGCTGTGAGTCACTAAATAAGTAACCGAGTTTACTTAACTTAATGGGTCTGTCGGGCGAATCGGTTCAAAACTTTGACTTTGAGTCACGTTCGCCCCTTCGACTAATTACGGCAAAGGGAAAATTAACTGAAATTATGCGGTAATTAGCTGTTGTTACACTACACTGTAAGTAGTAGATAAAGCGTATAGATTGTACACTCTCTGCATTTGCAATTTGTTGTTACGTATTCGTTATTAGCCTGGGAAAACATCGTGAGGTGAACGTGTCTGTGGGCGATCCCTCTGGATCCTTCGATTGGAACATTGGCTGTGAAACTCCTCGGGCAAAAATCAGACCCCAACCCCACGCAAAAAGCTAGTGGAGAAGTGTCTACGACAAATGTACGATGGTTTCTTGTGTGGGCTCCTCTGACAACCCACTTTCTGGCTGAGTTTGCTAGGCTTGGTCCACGCCTCACTTTGCTGGTACACTGAGCATAATCATGACCAATAATCACATTGCATTCGGTGTGTTAATGAGGTGTTAACAAACGAACCGAAGATTATCAAATAATATTATGGTGGCTGGCGTTAGTCCGATATTATTATTCTTGGAACATATTGCATTTATTTTAATGTTTTGATAGGATCGAGTTTAAAACTCAGTGTCATTTAGAAGTGTACATTGTTTGCTTCTAAGTGTATAAAAAAAAGACCCGCATTTTATAAAGCTTCAAATACGCCACAAAACGATTGAATTTATACTTACTACTTTCCGATTTATAAGTTTATAACAAAACATCAAGAACTTTGTAAATAACATACATTATTTACTAGAAGTAAGCTCATTAATGGTAAAATATAGTAAAGTTATAAATGCAGCCGTTAATGAATTTAGAATGACTCAAAACGTTTTCATCCAAATGAATGATAAACAAAAACATAATCTTAAATAAGTATGAATGATGGATTACGCACTTAGAAAAAATAAATAGGGTGCTCTCTATTAATATTAGGCTTGATGTTTTATTTCGTTTTATTTTCATGATTTTATATATTTATATTTAGTCTATGAAGCCCATAAAGAAGGGTATTGCAGAGTATATTGTTTGTGTGGGCTGCGGAGGAAACTACTAGCGGAAATTGCTGATGGATCCCTCCTGTTAAAAAGTGTGTTTTATTTCATCCAGCCAAATATGAAATTTGATTTTGTTTGTGTGCCGTGTCTGTACACATTTTTTGTGTCAAGACACGTGACTGGGGTTCTGTCAACCGTAAAGAGTTTTCGCCGGGGGCCAAGCCCTTTGCCCCTTCGGGAGTTACGCATCGCCAGGCACTTGCCATCGGAATTTCCATTTCAGTTTCCAGACAGACGACGCCCCAAAGATCGGCGAACTATAAAAACGGAGTATCGTTCGAAAAAAGTTTGTCCAGCGGAAGTGAAGAAATGCATTTCCAAAGGGAGTGTCCATAAGGCGGGACTGTACCATTTTTGGTGCAGTTTATCTTTTCATATATATACATTTTTTTTTTTGCTTTTGTTTTAATTGAAATTGCAGACGGCAAATAATTTCCGGCCGTGAAATTCGAGTGGTGCACCCTTTAGCGACAAAAGTGAAGAGGGAGGAAGCGCTTTAATCTAATTAAGTGCGTGAAATGAATGGATAATACTTTTTAAGGCTGTCAGGGGATGGATCGTTTCACAAATTTAAATATGTGCAGATTATAGTCATTGCAATAAAGTGTGTAAATCGATACCAATGAGTATTTTAATATTATTGGATATTATTATGAAACAGAATATAAAATGGACATCAGTTCTGATATCGGCCTTAGCTTTTTGGGTTTTATTTAAACACTTACTGATTAAATACAACATTCTGTACTACATGATGTTTATACCTCTTTATTTTATGAGTATAACGGGTATAAAAATAAATTAATAACAACTTTGAGCAAGTTCTGCCAGCTTAAAGTAAACAAAAATGGAATACATTAAACTTGACTAATGCCATTGTTTTGAGGCCCAAACATATAGAGTATTTATAATGGTTTCCCCTCATTAGCAAAGAATTTAGTAGCTATATAGTGAATTTCCTCGCCAAATTGTTGTTTTGGGACCTAGAATTCCAAGAACTGGCATTTGGAAAATGTAAATTTTCATATCCTCTGCACTTTCCGCTTTCTATTTTGTATTTTCTATTCGCCGACTCGGTTCATTCGCCTCTCCCTTCCCTGGGGGTTCTTTGTTTGTCCTATGCAAATTTAGCAGCAGGTCAACCCCCGGGAACCCCATTTCCTGGGTACATTTTCCTTGCCTCTCCCCCCCCGCCTTTTTTCTTACCAATTTTCCATCTCTTTCGCTTTTCCCCGAGCGGGTTCAAAAACCTTTCTGCGGCTGTTTGGTGACATTTGGCCGGAAGTTGGCTTTTGCCTTTAATTGCAGGGGGTGGCAGGTGGTTGGCCCAAACCCAAAACCAAACCCCATAGAACCCCATTTTAGCCCTCATTTTGTATGGTTGTCATGCACTTGGCGTTGCCAAGTTCCTATTGATTTTCTTCTGGCGATTTGTTTTGGTTTCTTTTATTGTTATTATTTCGTAGGCCCGAAACCAAGTCACTGGGTCGCAGTAAGCTGGAAAGGGGGTCTGGGGGCTGGATTTATGACACCAATTATTTATGAATTCTAAATTTGTTTGGCCCATTGCCAGACAGACAGCGAAAGAAGCCCCGAAATCAGACGGCGTCGAAAGGAGTCGAAGAAAAGGGGGAACAGGGGACAGGTATCATTTGATATGACCTACGTGGGGCCGGGGGAAATATGGAAATGCGAATACCTGGCTATAAATACAACCACAGTAAGGAGTCAATAAAATGGCCGAATTTTACCTCTCATCTAAAGAAAAACTCATGTTTGTTTTGGTAAGAAATTTTCAATTCACATATTATTATATGTGTAACATCACAATTTTTTATTTGAGTAATAAAGCATTTAAAGTTATTTTAAATAACCGATTAATTTATTTGTTAGACCCTGTTATAATAAATGCAAATATAATTATAAATAATTGCAGTTTTGAACTGTATACATTAATGCTTACCACTGTAATTATTTATAATTATACATATATATATAACTAAAATAAAAGGAAAAATCTATTTGGGAATTTAAAAGTGTACTCGAATCTTTTTACTTGTGAGCTTTGTATTTAAAAGTGGAAAATAGTTTTAATTAAACAACCAAAAAAAGGTAAAACTTAAAGGAACACTATTAGTTAGTAAACGATCTTAAATATGTGTATGTAAAGGTATATATTTTGTCCGCCTTAGGCAATCCCCACCGTACGCCAGTCACTAATGACAGTCGACTTTTGCTTTTCTTTCGGCAGCACCAGCAAGTTTGGGCTCAAGGACGTCGCCGGAGCAGCGGAATCGTATCGCATCGTATCGGATCGAAGGAGCAGCAGTTCCAGGAGCACAAGGAGCAGGAGGAGCAGGAGCACCATGTCGGAGCGCAGGAGTCACATACAGATGGGGCCACCGCCACCGCCCCCCAAGCCAAACAAATCGCAGACAGCCAATGGAAATGGAAATGGCAACGGCAACGGGGTCCTACCGAATGGCAATAAAAACTATGGCAAAATTGTCGCAGGCCAAGACCAGGAGCCGCTGGCTCAGAACTCGAGCGGCGTTCAGAGGAGCCAGTCGCCACCACGCACAGAACAGGTCGTTATGACGCCCCGGGGAAAGACGGCCAACAGCACGGTGATCCTCATCGAACGGAAGCTGATCGACGAGATCAACGACCGGGTGCACGTGGCTGGCGGTGACCACACTGGGATCATCATCAACAAGGACACTGTAGCCGGACAGAAGAGCGCCAGCAAGGCGGCCGCCCTTTCGCTGGAGTTCCGGGTCTTCCTGGTCAGCGCCAATACGGGCAAGCACTCGCAGGAGTCGCGCACGTTGAGGTTCTGGTTCCGCGACTGGCTGACCAACGACGAGAAGCAGGCCCACATCGCCCAGGACTTCTTCAAGGAGCTGGTCAGTCCGCAGGACTTTCCCAGAGGTAAGAGGAGTGCTTGCTTAACCAGGTTGAACCACAGAGACCTCTAATAATTCGAAAGTTATTTTTTAAAACCTTCTTTAAAGTCTTAAATCTTAGTAAAACTTATTTAGTCGATAAAGTTAGTAATAATATATATATATGTGATGTATTATATATAACCAATATATTTTTGTCTGATGAGCCTTAAACGAAAATAACTTTACGAAAACTAATGTTATTTATCCAGTTGATAAAAGTTCATAATTTAACCATTTGCTTTAAATTCCATCTTAAGATTTAACTTATCGGTGCTTAAAACGAATACACTTAAGGAATATAGAAAACAATGGAATAAGTAGTTTAAAGCTTGATTTATTTTACTAATATTTTATTCTTCAGACTATGTGGGATTCATCAAGAAGATAATGAAGCTGCTGCAGCACGGATACTCGGAGATCCAGTCCATCGAGATTGAATTACGCATCCTGGAGCAGACCTCCGCACCTCCCTCGCGACCACGTGAGTATCAACTATTCTTATTTATAGATATATAAGAAGGAACTTGATATTGAAAATAATTTATGACTATTCTAAGCATATGGAGTGCTCCAAATCACTTGGAAAAGCTCTTGAAAGTATGCTGTGACATATGTCATAGTTTTGGTCAGTCTATTGAGGTATTGTTGTGAATATCAAGTTCCATGCTTTTAATGACTATTCCCAAGTATACTGTACCATCGAAAATTGACTTCTCATCTGAACCACATGACTCCATCTATCCTCTGGGCTGTGCGTTGGTGGTTATTCGGGGATCAGCCCGGGATGGGTACATCATCTACTGCTACGGCGACTGCAACCGGAAGTTCGAGGAGGCGCTGATGGCGCAGCGGAAGACAGGTGACGGCGACAACCTGATGAAGGCCATTTGGCTGGACATGTACACCGATCAGCTGAGCGCCAGGCGGAAATGATTCCCCTGACCCACCGCTCCAGTGCCCCCACAACTAATCATCTAATCCGCTCAACGAACTCCGTTTTGTATCCGCTTCGTTGCACTTTTCCTCTCCGCCTTCTTTGTTGTTCGTTTTTTTTTGTTTTTTCGTTTTTTCTCGTTCCCTTCGTACTAATGCACGCACTAAAAACTCACGAAAAAATGCTTTAAATATGTTAAAAGTGTTGTGCACTCCAAGGAAAAAAAAAAACAGAAATGTAAAAAAAGCGAAATAAAATAAATTGCAAACTGTATAGGTTTTAAGATGGCTCTCATACTGTATGGCTTTGTATGCTAGTCAATGGCCTTAGAACTGCAATGGCTTGCCAACTGTAAAATGCTCGGCTCCAAAACCAACTGGAAATTCCATAGTTTCAAGGGGTAGCCAACTTAGATCTTCAATTCTCCATCGTTATCTGCTTGGATTTCTGGCTGGACTTCAAAAACTCATCTACTATGTAGTTGGGTTTACATTTTTATGATTTTTTGTTATGGCTCTCCAACTGTTCTTAACTTCCATTACAAATTTAAAACTATTTGAATGTTATTCAGTGGTGTGTTCGCAAATATGTAGCAATAACAATATAGAAAATCGTGTTTAAACCGAAACTTGCCCTTGAGTTGTTAAAAACGCTTTCTACAAACCACAAAAGATTAAATTAAAATAATACAAACGCATTTAAATCCAAAAGTTTGCAAACTGTATTTCCAAACTGTAAGTTTGACTTTGTAAGTTTGTAAGTTCAGTGCCTCCCCAACTTTGCGCTCCTTCCTATTTAATAGACTCTGTGCTTCTCAAACTGCCGTCTTCGTTATTTTCAAACCCCCCAAAAACATTTCCATTCCCCCAGTTGTCCTCAAAGTGCTGACGACACCTCAAGTGTCCAATTTGTCTGGCGTCTGCAATTAAAATCCGCTGCTTGAGCACTTAATTGACCGCCCTCCCAGCCGTGTGTGTGTTTTTTACTAACAGACACCGCCTAACCAGCCACGCCCACCGCTCAGAGTAGATGTCATTGCCCGCTAACAGAAGTCCTGGCTATATTAATAACCATCGGCAGAGGGGATTCCTGGACGTGTGGTTTAATCGTGTGTTTCCCCTTTGTTTTTCCCCCCAGTTTCCCTCGAGGAATCCCAGTTCGAATCTCCACCGTTGACCCAGGAGAAGGTGCTGGAGCTCATCGAACAGGCATATCCCAATCCCGTGTCCCCCGAGGATCTGGCCAAGTGAGTAGTCAACATAAGTTATTCAAATCTGAGAAAATGTTGCCTAAAAACGGCATAATTTAATTAGACCTTTGAAGCCCAGTTTAAGCTTTATCAAAGTTATATTTAACTCAAGTAAATGTAGGACTAAGAAATTAGAACCTAGGACTCAAAAAAGGAATTCACTAAAATGTTTGAACAAGAAGTAGTACCAAACCTTGCACTTCATTTAAAAAATAATATACAAACTTTTCAAAAATCAATTTCATCGATGTTATTCTTCATTTTTACGAAAATATGTATGTCAATTTAATTTACCTCAAAAATACTAATCTTGTAGTGAGATTTCAGTTACCAAATCAGAAATAACTAACATGAAAATGTGTCAAAATTTTTACCAACGTTAAATCGAAAATTTTTAATGCAGATTTTTAGAGGATCAAATCACAAGTCTTTAGAGGTACGCCACTTTGGAATCGGCTTGAATTTGAGAAAGTTATGACCTCTAGAAGTCAAATTTTAAGTAACTATATTACAAGAATCGGAAAATTAAAAATAACTAACATGAAAATGGGTCAAAAATTTGACCAACGTTAAATCGAAAATTTTGAATGCAGATTTTTAGAGGGTCGAATCACAAGTCTTTAGAGGCATGCCACTTCGGAATCGGATTAAATTTGGTAAAGTTATGACCTCTAGAAATCCAATTTTAAGCCACTCTATTTCAAGACATCGGAAAATCATAAATAACTAACATGAAAATGGGTCAAAAATTTGACCAACGTTAAATCGAAAATTTTGAATGCAGATTTTTAGAGGATAGAATCACGAGTCTTTAGAGGTATGCCACTTTGGAATCGGCTTGAATTTGGTAAAGTTATAGACTCTTATCATTACAGAAATTAAATTGCATTGACTTTCCCAAAACGTGAATACTAAAATCTATATCTTATTTTAAAGGGACTATGGCTGGAGTGAGCAGGATGTCCTGCTGGTGATCCAGTCGCTGCAGGAGCGCGGCCTGATCAAGTCGATGGAGTACAACGCGTACACCCGCATCCACCACGAGGACAAGGAGATCAAGGTGGTCAAGCAGATGCCCACGATCGCTTCCAACAAGCAGCCCACCATCGCCATCATCACGGCCCAGTATTGCGAGAAGCTCGCCGTGGACGCGATGCTCGAGAACAAGGAGACATTCGTCCGATACACCACAGTCGGTAGGTGGTTTATGTTCAGTTCGATAGTTCGATAACCAATTGTCGATTGTCGATTGGCATTGCAACGATCCGTCGACTCCTCCCCAACTCTAACTAATCGAACTCTTGCCTAACCAACTTTTCTCTGTTTCTCTCTTTCCCTTTTTGTTCCCCAAAACTCAACTATCGTGGCCAAAAAAAAAAAACATCACCACAAAAATTTGGCAATTGCCGAATAAATTTGCATACAATTTTGCTGATTGTTTGCTTGCCTGCAATAACAACAAAACATTTCACCCACCCCCTGAATCAAAAAATTCCAACCCATGCAATAGATTCCGATCCCAATCTAACGAACTCACTCAGAAAGTCCAAAAAGAAACGAAGATTCGGTAAGCTAAATATCCAGAATCCACATCTAAATTCAGTTGCACCCATAAATTAAGGTCAAGTTCATATGGTTTGAAGGTATTTCCGGAACTAATATATAATAAATTGTTATATTTAAAAAATTCGTACAAAAAATGTACATGTCTTGGTCGGTTTATCCTTTAAAATATTTGAATTTAAATGTTATACAAACCTATTAATTAATAGTTAGTTTTATGTTTTGATATGTACAGTAAACACTCGATGGTTGGGGGAACTCGGGGAGTTCGCATTCATCAAGTGAGTCCTGTACCCGAATGACTTGCCATAAACTTGGGCATAAAGTTATGAACTTGGCCTAGAATAATTTGATTTGCTGTTACTTTCGTGTCCTTTTTTGTGTCTGTGTTGTTTCGTCGGCTTTTTGTTTTATTTTATTTGGTTGTTGTTATGGTAAAGGATTGCCCTAGGATACACGACCTTCAATTGTACATACATGTAACTATCGTCATCAGGCGGATTGATTAGATCCGTCACGCACCCGGTTCATAAAGTGGTTAACCATATACATATGTATCTCAATTCACTGTATTACCGTGACAAAAAAAAGGAGGACGAGGAGTTCAATACATTTCAAGACAAAAGCAATGGAGATTATTAAATTTACTGGGATATTCCATTATTATTATTGTTCAAAAATTATTGTCAATATAGTTTTCATTTATGAATTGTTGAATTGTTTAATTTAATTATTCAAATGTCTGTATCATTGGTGATCTGTATCATTCATTGATCTTCGTTTCTCTTCTTTTTTTGTCCTCATCCTTATCTGGTGTACCCTATTGTCCTGAGCGTAAACACCCGTCTATCCGCCAACCTACTGACCACCACTGGCTCTCTATTCCGCAGGCGAATCGAACGTGTATACCCTGGGCAACATCGGGGCGCACAGGATCGTGAGCACCAAGCTGCCGTCGGTGGGCAACAACCGGGAGGCGATGACGGCGACGGGCAACACCACCACCCGGCTGTTGGGCACATTCCAGAAGGTCGACTTCGTCTTCATCGTGGGCGTGGCCGGGGGCGTGCCCCACTACACGGACTACAAGAAGCACGTCCGGCTGGGCGACGTGGTCATCTCGTATGTGGACAAGCAGCGGGCCCTGATCAGCAATAGGTAAGGATCTCGGAAGTAACCTGGACGAGCGGATTGGATTGTGGTGCTTAATGGGGAAAATACTTTGTCACGTTCTCACAAAACTGTAGCAATCTTAGATCAATACAATAGGATGTATTTATTGTTACATTTTCAGTTGAATTTCAAAAGATCTATCCTTGGATGGTTTTACCTATCCCGAAATGACATGGAAAAAGATAGGTAGAGATTTTATCTGTCCATTTTATCCGAGTCCCATTTCAGTATCATTTTATTCGTCAAACCAAATTGTATTATATAAGTTTAGCCACAAGAAAACTTTCGAATTATTCGCAATTTCCCCGGTATGCCAACTATCCATGTATACTTTGTCAGGTTCTCATAAACCTGTAGAGGATTAAAAACCGAACTTCTTCAATCTTAAATCAATACAATAGTATATTATACAATGGTATTTATTGTTACTGAACTCAGGACCACTATCCATGTATTGCCTTTTTATACCTCTAATAAGTTTCCACTTTTTCCCCCCAGCAAGGAGAAACCCTATGTGTACTTGTACAAGAGCGGCGAGGACGTGAAGACCTACTTCCCGGTGAACGACTCGCTGCAGCAGATCGCGGAGAGCCTGCAGGCCAACATGCAGGTGAAGCGGCCGTGGGAGGACTACCTGAACCAGGCCCAGCAGGCGCTGGCCCAGAAGACGGACGCGGACTTCAACCGGCCGGACGCGAAGACGGACAAGCTGTTCATGAACATCGGCAACAACGAGGTGATCGAGGTGGCCCACCCCATTGCCGCCGACGAGGTGGACGGGGTCACCCGAATGCGCCTCCACCTGGGTCCGATTGGATCCGGCAGAGATTTGGTGAGGAGCGACGATCTGCGCACCCAGTTCGCCCGGAAGTACGGCCTCCTGGCCACCGATGTGGAGATGAGCAGTGTGCTGGACAGCATCATCGGCAATTGCCGGGAGAGCTTCATCCTGGTGAAGGGCATTGCCGACTACAAGGACGGCACCTCCACCCGGAAGTGGCAGAATTTCGCGGCCATTTCCGCGGCGTCGGTGGTCAAGTCGGTCATCTGCGGCATGGACGCGCCCACGAATGTCTAGGGGGCGGGGTCGCTAGTCGCGAGTCCCGATCTCCTCCATTCCCTTCCCCGCAATCCTAGCATTTGATTTGTCCTTTTTTTCCGGGGGGCTGGGCTTTGGGACCACCCTTCGTAAACCAAAATGTGCATAGATTGCATCGTATATAATGTATGTTCGCGTAATATTGTATTAAATGATTTCTTGTTATTTATTTTGTTATAACTTTTGTACTACAACCAATCTAATTTACACACAAACACATGACGTATATAAACACATATATACAGCAGTAAATAAATAACGCAACTAAGCTTGCAAAAACTAAAGATGATTAATATCGTTATAAGGAATCATTTTATTCAAGACCTTATCTGATGGTTAGATATCTTTAGTCACCAAATAATTTTCGTTTGAGTTTTTCCCTTTGTTTTTATACCCTTGCAGAGGATGTTATAATTTTGGTCAAAAGTGTGCAACGCATTGAAGGATACATCTCCGACCCTACAAAGTATATATATTCTTGATCAGGATCACCTCCTGAGTTGATATAGCCATGTCCGTCTGTCCGTCTGTCTGTTTCTACGCGAACTAGTTTTAAAGATATCGAATTGTGACCCTTCTTTCCTCTGCACGCAGCATATAAGTCGGGATCGGCCGACTATATTCTATAGCTGCCATATAACTGAATGATTGGAAATGCCATAACTGTAGTGTTTTTAAAGTTAGGAAGTTGGGATTTTTTATGTGTATTAAAAATGCATCATATGAATAATTTTGGAGAATTTAATTTACAGAATATTCATTCCTTTCTTGTTTACAATAAAACTGTTTTTTGCTTTACATTTTCACAGATGAATTAAAATACAGAAATTAACTAAAGGTTTTTTTACTAAAGGTTTAAAATACAAGTGCCTTTAAATCTCTTACAAATGTGTCTCAAAGGTTTACACTGCAACAAAAGGACGCCTTTCCATCGGCATCCACCAAAGTGTATAATGGAGGGTGCACTCGCTAAGTTAAAAGGTGGCAGCGCTACATAGGAGGGTGCACTCGCTTACTCACGCACGAAACTGGGTGTTTTTCGAATTGTCGTCACGCGTGCATCTCTAGGAAGAAACTACAACAAAAAAAAATGTAATATTTTTTTTTAGCAGCGGAGCAGAGCGTTTGGCATTTGATATCAGCATTGCGTTTACACCTGTGTGGCCTTCAGTCGCTCGCACCTCGCGGCCCCTCCCCACCCCGAAAACCCCCCAAACGCAGCAACTGCGGCGCACTCGCTTTCCTTTGTGTGCTCCGCCTGGCCGAAAAGCAACGCAAGGTGGTGCTCCGCTGCCCCTCCAATTGGCCAAAATGCTGTGGACGGTGCACCTGGACGGTGGGCCGCAGCGGGTTAACCACGCGGCGGTGGGCGTGGACGACTTCATCTACAGCTTCGGCGGCTACTGCACAGGATACGACTACCGCTACAATGAGCCCATCGACGTCCACGTCCTGAATGCGCACACAATGCGCTGGACCCTGGTGCCCCAGCAGCTGGACGCGGCGGGAGTGCCACTCAAGTACCCCCTGGTGCCCTTCCAGCGCTACGGCCACACGGTGGTCGCCTACAAGGAGCGCATCTACATCTGGGGCGGCCGCAACGATGAGAACCTCTGCAATGCCCTCTACTGCTTCGATCCCAAGACGGCCCAGTGGTCCAGGCCGCAGGTGACGGGCTGCCTGCCCGGTGCACGGGATGGCCACTCAGCCTGCGTCATCGGCAACAGCATGTTCATATTTGGCGGCTTCGTCGACGAGATTAACGAGTTCAGCAGCGATGTGCACTCCCTCAATCTGGACACGATGGAGTGGCGCTATGTGCAGACATTCGGGGTGCCGCCCAGCTACAGGGACTTCCATGCGGCGGTGGCCTACGAGCAGGAGCGCATGTACATCTTTGGCGGGCGGGGCGACAAGCACAGTCCGTACCACAGCCAGGAGGAGACCTACTGCCACGAGATCGTCTACCTGGACATGAAGACCAAGGTTTGGCATCGGCCATTCACGGCCGGAAAGGTGCCGGTGGGCCGACGCAGCCACAGCATGTTCGTCTACAACAAGCTGATATATGTCTTCGGGGGATACAACGGCCTGCTGGATCAGCATTTCAACGATCTGTACACCTTCGATCCGCGCACCAAGCTGTGGAACCTTATACGGGCCAATGGCAAGGCGCCGACGGCGCGACGGAGGCAGTGCGCCATTGTGATGGCCACCAGGATGTTCCTGTTCGGCGGCACCAGTCCGAGGAGTGGCACCGCCAGCTCGCCGGCAGCCGTTTCGCCCACCCAGGAGGCAACTGCGGCCGGATTGGGCGGTGCGCCTGCCGGAGTGGCGCTCATCGACTACAGCGATCTGCATGTGCTCGACTTTGAGCCCACCCTGAAAACCCTGGCCACCATGGTGGTGCTCAAGCACCAGCTGGACATCTCGGGGCTGCCAAGGAGCTTCCGCTCCGATCTGCAGATGCTCACGCAGCCGAACAGTATTAGCCGGCCCATCAATCAAGCCGGCTAGCATCCAAAGCCGTAAAACCGAACGGATAACCCTAAGTCGACTGCCACAAAAAACGGGGGGCGGGAAGAAGAAGCACGGATCATCACGGAGCCACTAGTCCGGTTCCTGGAACTTGAAACCAATGGAGGAGCAAGCTCGAAATACGTTAACGAGAGAGATAGCAAAAGGACGACAGAAAGAGACAGAGAGAGAGAGAGAGAGAGAAGGAGAAGCCCCAGTAATTACAAAAGTTTTAGAAACTTGCTTTTGGTACTTCTGATAGCTGCTAAATAATACACAATAATATTGAAACTTGCGAATGATATTATGATAGAGATGTAGTTTGTAAAACATTTATAAATGTCCTTAAATAAAAACTCCATTAACTTTATTTTAAAAGAGTCATCTGCATTTGCCAAAATCATAGTTATAGCTAATTTCATTTTAAATACTAGTTTTGCTTTATTTTATCTTAACAAAATTATACTTCATATTGTTAGTCTACAAATTTAGTGCAAACAAATTTCAGATTTGCACGTATCGCTTGTTGAAATATTTATTTTTCCCATTATGACTTATACGGTAACTTTTTCTTTGTTAACTTTTACAATTTTCGACCCCCAAGGCATTGGGCCCACCTTGAACCTATCAAGCCCATTGATACAGTCAGGAAAACCAAAGTCTATGGAGATAGGTATAGATCGCAATAGCTTGCAAAGAGAGATCACCTCTTTCTGGTTAGGTGCGCTACTCCCCTTGAAAGCCGTTTTACAGTCGGGAAGCAGTCAGCGAAACACTCGAAATCAACAGCCTCGCACGCAATGCTAGTAAAAGTAAGGCCAGCGGCTCCGTAATTGGCTATTGTGAGTGGTTGTCGGATCGCAAGGTCTCGGGCAGTGCCTCCAGGGGCGGAACACATCGTGTGTATGGGATATATATGATATATAGAGCGACTATCCCACGGCGCTCGTATAACCCCGCACGGTTAGGTACCCATTGATGATGTCCGAGGGCATGTGCTGCATGGAGGCGTACTCATCGGCATTGGCGAACCTCAGCTTCGTGTGCGGATCGGCGTATGGAGCGGGCAGTCCGCTGATGTCCGAGTACTTCTTGGCCGGCACCAACGATGGCGGCGCATTGAGCGTGAAGTCTAAGAAATTGAATGGCAAATAAATGTGGGGTAAAGGTCCGCCCTTGGAAAACTCCATCTATCTGGTACTCACAGGTGGGTCTTTCGGCGGGCAGCTTTAGATTCCGCTCCATGTTGCTTATCTGCCGCAGCGGGCGGTACACACAGTTCTTGGGAAAGGCAAAAGGCCGCTTAAATGAACGTTTGGGTTTCGCTTCCATTTTTCGCAATTGAGATGGCAAAGTCTATTGACCATGCTAGAGATGACACATCTGTTGTGGTAAGTTTATCGAAGGCAAATTCAAGCTTCGAAAACTTCGGGGCGATTATTTTCGAACGGCAGTTTGGTCACACTGGAAATACTGCGCGAAATACAACAATGAATAGCGTAAGTTATAATGAATATTAAATATTTAAGCAATATAAGCGAACCACAAGGGCCCACAGGAACTCAAGAGGAAGGTCGAGAGCTGCGCCCACACGGCGGAGGACTTTGCGCGGCTCTACTACGCCTCCATCGACAATCGACGCCAAGTAAGTTGAGAATTCTGCGGAATGCCGACGTTTTCAATTGGAAATTGGATCCGTCCACAGCAAGTGGGTCGCCTGTACCTCGAAAATGCCACCCTCAGCTGGAATGGGAACGGGGCCTGCGGACGCGAGGTGATCGAGCGCCACTTCCTGGATCTGCCCCCGTCCAGACACTACAACACCACATTGGATGCCCAGCCCATTTTCGATCCCGCCGTGGGCTCCATGATCACCTACATAATCCTGGCCGGAGGCAACGTGCAGTTCGGTGACGACCGGCGCCGCAACTTCCAGCAAACCTTCATCGTGACCGCCGTGAATGACAAGTGGAAGATCGCCTCCGACTGCTACCGCCTGCAGGATTAGTCCTGTGATTAAACCAAAGAATTAAGGAGTTTCTTTCTCATTTGTTATTTTAGTTAAACTACGTGCGGTAGTCGTGTAACAAGTTTATTTGCATTTTTAAGAGTCTACATATATAACAATTACACTGAAATGCGCAGGTCCAGGTCGCTCCGCTCGCCAATGAAACTACATTTTTCTCCATTAACAAATGTTTTGATTTGTGAATTACATATTTTTACGTATTACACTGAAATATAATAATCTTTAAAATTCATTCACATATTTCTACGTTCCTTAAAAGGTATTTATATTTAACATTCAAATTTTAAATTGGGCGCGCAAACAAACAATTTTGCTATTGCGTATTACGAAAGTCATCATCGTCACTAACACTTAATCGCTATCGCACGTTATCAATCGATGACAAAAAAACCGATTTTCTCGAGCGCCATCTGGTAGCACTGGAAAAAATAACGGATTTTTTCGAGTGGCCTCTGGTAACATTGCAAAAAAGGCCTAAGGCAAAGGCCAATAAGTTTTTAATAATAGTTATATTTCTGTCGTTGCGTGCCTGTGTTTTTTGTATTTGCCAATAATTATAGCTCGCGAAACGCGCGTGCAGGCGATTGCCAATTTTGCCAGTCACACAGAGTCGCGCACACACAGGCCAGTTAAATGAACATTATTTTACTTTTTTGTCCACTGCACTCCACACGTATTTACGTAGGTTAATTTTGCTAAAATTCGTTAACGAATTGTGCGCGCTTTAATCGGGTCTGGTGGTCCAGCTAAATAGTTCAACAGGAAAACCCTGCGAAAATGATGTAAAGGAAAACTCTCAAGTAGTCCAACTGTGTGTGTGTGTGTGTTGGTGTGTGGAAATTAACGCAGTGTGAAGAAGAAAAGCGAAGGAAAAGCGACAATTGCAGTCCAAGGCAAACAACAAAAGCAACTGAAGGTTGCCCAAGTCGCCACGCCCCCTCCGCCCCCCGCCCTCTTCGAGGACATCAAACGGGAGTGCAGTAAGTAAACCCCTCTATCTCCCCACGCCCATGTACCCCGTCCCCATTCCAATTGGACCCCTGTAAACAAAAACAACGCATCAGCAATCAACACAAACAAAAAGTGACTGTTGTTGTTGTTGTTCTGCAAAACGGAAGCGGAGGAAGTTGAATCATCGAGCGGAACTTGTTTCCCCAGCTCCATTTGTTGTAGCTGCTTTTATGGAGCATAAAAATTTGAAATTCGAAGCATTCAAAGTCCAATCGGAGTCGCAGCTAATGCATGCGATCCAATACGAATCCAAGTTTATCATCGGGCAATGTAAACAAAGAATTTTGCGCCACGCGGAAAAGATACGGTGAACCCTCGCTGGGGTCACCGGAAGGAGGTCTAAAAAAAACGGCAGTGGGTCACCCAGAAATCACTATGATTTATTGGGCTTTTATCTTTGAATAACACACTGAAAGCATAATTGATTCGGTATCAATAATAATCAATTTAACATTTATCATAGATAAAAAAAACATTTTAATTCGATATCATAATAATCTTAAACGTTTTAATTAAATATACTATGAAAATAGTATTTTTTTAAACCATTTTTAATTAAGTATTTACAGAAACATAAATTAATAATTTGTTCATATTAAAAACTAAGAATAGTAAATTTTAGCGTTCTTATATTTTATTTCTATAATAAGCTATGTCAAAAGGCATATTTTTATTAAAAATTCTTGGTTCTTAAGTGCTCCTCAGCTTTTAAATGTCAAATTTTTAGCCCACTTGCCAAAAGTTGGATCGTAAACAAAAGATTCCGTATTAGATGACTTCTTAATTTTGTTAACCTAATTACTTTTGTCACTTATCGAGTCTGTCTGCGGAAATCCCGCTGACTTTGCCCCCGAATGTAGATAACTAAAAAATATGAATTAATATGGGATCGGGAGCAGCACCAACTAGTGTCCACTGTGGCCGGGCTGTCAGTCTCTTATCTTATCTGCCCTGCAAGTGCCGCCAGGCCCAAGAATTAACCACTCAACCCGGGTCTTTTGCTGTCTTTGCTTCCAGAGGAAACGGCGTCGCCATGGAGGAGAAGCGCATCGCCGACTACTTTGTGGTGGCCGGAATGCCGGAGCATCCGCAGCTGCTGCAGGAGAACAGCTTCAACGACTCGGGAAGATTGCGGGCGGCCAGCACCATCGAGCCGATCACCGACATCGGTGTCTACTTCCCGCTGCTCGGCGAGGAGATTCCCGACGGATACGAGCTCCTCTCTCACACGCCCACGGGTCTGCAGGCAAACCTCAACCACGGATCGGTCCGCACCACCGACTGCTACATCTACTTCCGGCGCGGCAAGGACCGCCCCCCACTGGTGGACATAGGTGGGTGACCCAGTGACGATGTCCCAACGGAAGTGGCTGATTTCTGGCATCCCCTTCCTTCTAATTGAGCTCTTATCGCGGTTTATGACCATTGCAAATTGTTTTATAATTCAATATTTGTTTGTGCGTATGAGCAAATGAAGGTGGGCAACCCAACAAATAGGCTGTCCCAATTAAAGTAGGGGGTGTCCCAGAAATGTCTATTAATATTCGGTCCAAAAAAGTCTTAACCAATCTCTCGGTGTCACAGAATGGTTTGAGATTTTGCTACTATAACATATTCTTAAAACGTTTTTTAATAATACTATTATCAGCATTTATATATTCATTTACTGCCACGCTGATAACATTTTCTTAATTAACAAAATATATTTCTGGGAAGTAATAATCTTGGCAAATCTGAATTCTCCACTTAGTTAATCTGAAAACTTGAAAATAACTAGCAGGAAATAATGACTAGGGCTTAAAAAATGTTTTATGACCAAACCGATATTGAAATAATTAATGTAAAATTCTAGACTTATGTTGCAACTTTCCTTGTTTTTTTCTGGAAACTTACAAATGTTTGGATTGGATTCCATGAATCAAAGGAAAGCTCTGTTAGTTTTCTTGATAACGAAAGTCAACTTTAATGTATGTAGTAACTGCGACGCGACTCGTGATAATGTCAATAACCTGCAGTTTATTTAAATCGTTACATTTTTTGTATTACGCAGAATAACTCACTTTAGTTTTTAGTTTAATGGTTTATTTAAAAGTAGTAGGATTGGGTGTTTCTAGCAGGAAGGGATATTCCCATTTTCACATATTTATTTGCGCGTTTTTAAATTAATCTGACTGTCCGTTTGCAGGAGTGCTGTACGATGGCCACGAGCGTATCATGTCGGATGCGGAGATCGTTGCGGAGACGCCTGGCGGCCGGGTGGCCAACGTTAACAACTCGACGGCCAAGACGTTCCTCACGTACCGCCGTGCCCGGGCGGACATGCCCTGCAACGAGCTGGTGGTCACCGAGCTGTGCGTCATCGTGCAGAGCAGGGGCGAGCGGGCTCCGCACGCCTTCTGCCTGATCTACAAGACCCTGAACAAGGGATACGTGGGCAGCGACGTCTACCTCTGCTACAAGAAATCCATGTACCGGCCGAGGCACATCAGCTACAAGCCGGAGATCCTGCTGCGCTACCCCACCGTCGACCACACCGACTTCCCGCTGAATCTTTGTCCGAGTGTGCCGCTCTTCTGCCTGCCAATGGGCGCTTCTCTGGAGGCCTGGCCCCACGTCAATGGAGCTGAGAAGCGGAAGCCCATCAGTCCGGTGTTCAGCACTTTTGTGCTGACGGTTAACGATGGCACCTACAAGGTGTACGGATCCGCGTTGACTTTCTACGAGGACTACGAGTAGGTTGCCAGCAAGTATTTGTAAGAATAAATGCACTTATCAACCATCCTTTCAGTGAGTCGCAGTTGTCGGCGGAGCAGAAGGAGCTGCTCGGTTGGAACGAGGAGCTCGGCGGCCAGCACTCGCTCCACATGATCAAGGCCATTTGCCTGCTGTCGCACCATCCCTTCGGCGACACCTTCGACAAGTGGCTGAAGTACCTCCATGTGAGTTTGGTCACTCCTCTTTGCGTCTGCCCGAACTGATCTTAAACCCACCCACTATTTTTTCCAGCGCATGGTGTTGTATGGTGTTAATATCCCCATTCCCGTGGAGCGCTACATCACTCAGCTGCTGGACGAGGTGCCGTTCCCGGCGCCCAGTATCCACTTGCAATTATCCAGCGAGTCCAATGATCGCATCCTGCTCACGCAGCCGGAGGATTCCCCGCTGCCGCGAAGTGGCGCCGGCTTCCACATGCTGCTCCAGAATCTGGGCACCGACAACTGTCTGCATGTGCTGCTGCTGGCCCTCACCGAACAGAAGATACTCATCCACTCACTCAGGTTGGTGTTCTTTAATAACCTCAAATGATTTCCTTATAATGTGTATTATTTCCCTCGCAGACCTGCCACGTTGACTGCTGTGGCCGAGGCCATCGTCTCCCTGCTGTTCCCCTTCAAGTGGCAGTGTCCGTACATCCCACTCTGTCCACTGGGATTGGCGGAGGTGCTGCATGCCCCATTGCCCTATCTGATTGGCGTGGACTCGCGCTTCTTCGATCTGTACGAGCCGCCCACGGATGTCACCTGCATCGATCTGGACACCAACAACATAAGCGTAAGTTTGGGGACACCTTTTATAATTGGGCTTCTCAAGGGGCCCATAAATAATCAATTTGCATGACATATCTGATAAAAACTTTATCTTGCAGTTGTGCGAATCGCAGCGCCACTTGACGCCCAAGCTGCTCCCGAAACGAGCAGCCCGCCTGCTTCAAAAGACGCTCACCGATCTGGAGAACGCCAAGCCCATCAGCTATGACTCCACGAACAGTTTGGACCGCGACATTCGGAAGCGAAAGCGGGAGCTGGTGCTGGAGCAGCGCATTCAGGAGGCCTTCCTGCTCTTCATGGCCCGCATCCTGCGCGGCTACAGGGACTTTCTGGTGCCCATTTCCAAGGCGCCCTCGGTGGGAGCCACCGATCCCAGTGCCCTCTTCCAGCTGAAGGCCTTTCTGCGATCGCGCGATAAGGTAAGGGATACCTACGAAATATAATAGAATTAAAAGATTAGTAGTGCTATTATTAACTCACTCAAATCCCAACAATTCTCAGGAGTGGCATTTTATAATTTAAACTAATTACTGTTTTCTCACCGCAAAACAGCCGCATCAGAAGTTCTTCGAGCTGATGATGAAGACCCAGATGTTCATCCGGTTCATCGAAGAGCGCTCCTTCGTGTCCGACGGCGACCATGGCCTGAGTTTCTTCGACGAGTGTGCGGAAA